GTTTGGGGGGTTTGTGAAGTGTGCAGCGCGGCCACAGCTCGCGGCCGCGTGGGGATAATGGGGATCTCCATATGTTGATGCAGGATATATGTACCCAGCGTCGAGTTCCGCGCGACGAGCATGAACTTATCATTTCCTGGAAATGGCGAGTGGTGGAATTGGCTGAAGGGGGGAGGGGACTCGGGGATAGAGGAGGGAGTGGTGAGGTTTCGTCAGGACCCGAGGGTCCGGCCTAACCCAACCAGAGGTGCTGTTTTGGGTTCCATTGCTTTGTCAGTGCGCCGTGCCTGCAGCTGGTCAAATATATTTCTGATGCCAGCCGACGCATTGGGGTGGCGGACATACAGAACACGAGCAGTGGACGGGGCTTGACGGGTTACCGAACACCCACTAGCAGGTCGTAACAGCATAGTATGGGGGGCTTGGGGGGGTCGGAAGTCAAACTTGGTCGCGTTCTAGAAACGCGACAACGTGTTTTAGTGCGTGTTGAAAGAGCCATTCGGGGCTCGGATTCGACGATTTGGAAACCATGGCTTGAAAGGGGTGTCTCCGTCCAAATGGCGAAGACGAATCAGACCTCGCAGCTGCAAAGCCGTTGGTGGTGATGGGCGAACGTTGACGCCGTCGAACACAGATCTGGAGAAAGGGGGGCACGTGTAGTGGACATGATTGGGGCCGATGTTGTGCATTTCGAGGGCGGCCATGCTGCAAGTGTTTTTGTTGAGCTCGAATCAGAGGGACGAGATGGGAATTGACGTTATCGCAGGCCGCCGTTGGAAAAAGTGCACAACGCAGTGCACAGTTGCAGTTTGTCTGCGACTTCATCTGTGGTCCCTCATGTTGATGGAAGCCGGTCCCTCAGGTAGAGTGCTGCAGCGAGCACCGAGCGGCCTGCAGATCGAGGCAGTGGGGGTGTGGCACGTCCGAGTTTGAATTGGATTTGGGGGTTTCAGAAGACTCAGCAGCACTCTCAGCCAGTTTCGCATTCAAGCAGCCCTTCTCAGCTCCAACTTTCCGTGCCCCCAACCCACCTAATACATTTCGCCTTGTTATGATCACGATGTGTTTTTATCCCTTGCAAATGGCACGCATGTGATGTGTCAGGGCTGAACTTGAAACGGACAAACAAGGGTCAGAAGAGGGTTGAAGAGAGCGGAACTTGGATGGAAACTTGTTGGAGAACAGGCGGGCAGGTGACTGTAAATCTTGACGGCCCGGCCGGGGTTGGTTTTTACAGAATACACTGCAGTATACAGCGAAAACCGTATAAGTGGGCTTATCACGGGAAAGGGCTTGAACGTGAAACAAATCTTTGCGTTGCACAAAATTCCCTGGTCTGTAACAAAGTTTGGTTTGAGAATGACCCAGGGACGGTCCCGAGCATAGAATCAACGGCCATTGTCGGAATCTCGAGAAAAGAAGCGACTCGAGCGAACAATGACGAAGGGCAACAAAGGCTCAATGGTTCGGCTCGAGGTCTTGAAAGGTCGAAAGATCGAGGGCGGGATGGCGACCAGATCCCTGCGAGCACGGTGATAGCAGCAGTGATTGGCTGCAGGGCAGGGATTTACGGGCCAATCGCCAGGCGGGGCGCTTAGGACCCTTGCCCTCAGGTGTGGTGCCCCACTTCTCCCCGCCGGCCGTTCTTGTCCCCTCCCCCACACCACAGCCAACCACATGCTGAATCTGCGAATCTCCCCAAGTTCGCCAAAAATCCAGGAACCACGCTTGAGCTACCACCGACCACTCACTTTGCGAGGTTCACGAATGGCCGCAGAGGACTCAAAGGAGGTGAGACGAGACTACGGAGACTGCCTGCCCGGACCCGATAATCGGTCCACCGCTATTCCGGAGCGATGGAACACTGATTGAGGAGACGAAAATGGCGAGCCCGCGAAAAAACAAAAGGTGGAAAAACAGAGTTTGGAAGCGAGCACAGGATTCAGCAAAAGCAGCAAAATAGGAAAAGAGCAGTGCAACCGCTTCCCCAATATCCACTATTCACTGACTTGCTCTCTTCCCGCTTCCCGCTTCCCGAACATGAACGGCACAGCTTCCATTGTTTTGCTATTGCTGGCTTTGCTGCTGGTGCTGGTGCTGGTGCTGGTGCTGCGGGGCGAGGTCCCGGCTGCAGATCGTTGCAACCTCGCTGGGCCAGGAACCGCTGTTCAGGGAGCCAGGTTCCTGGACATCCGGCCTCTCTTTGCGCGCTTCGACCAATTCGACCTCGACCAGTGCGGCAAACTCTCCAATTCTCCCCCAAGAAGCAAAGGCACGCAGAACGGGCCGCAACGGGAACACCCCGGCGCCATTGCCCGCACAGTACGGATTTTCCCACGTTCAGTTGTGTGTACACTACTTCGTACGTGTGACTTGACCTGTGAAAACCTTTGGGGTTCAGCATCCGGCTTCTGTTCGCGCAGGTTTCTTCAACAACTAGATTCTCGGCCCCGAGCCGTGCCCAGGGGCTTCTTGCTTTGAGATCATCAACCGGTAGAAAGGGGACCGACCGGTCGTCCAACATGAACCGGGGGCTGGCTTGAGGTTTGGCATCGGACGACGCCGCAGAGAGAAGGGTCATGCGGATGGCGTCCAACGCTGGCTTTGGCTGCTCCCAGCGGCCTAATTATGGCAAATATTGATGTTCCCATGAACGCTGGGCATCGGCCACTACGGATGCTGCCATGCAAGCCAAAAGGATGAGTGTTCGAACCCAATCCAGGACCGCTACCGAGCCCGCCCACCAGTGACAGTGCCAGATCGAAGGTCACTCTCACGTTTGCGAGTTGCGAGTCCTTGCTTGCGTTCCTGCGGACCAGGGTCTTCCAGCCCCAAGCGCAAGCCCGCCATGCTCACTCGACAGAACACCCCGGCTCCACTGTCCATTCGAGTTCCCGCTCCTCCCCCTGTCGATGCGCCTGGGCATCATTTTCTCTCTATTTTTTCCCTGCAGCACCCCCGCGGAACCACTGGACCAGGGAAGCACAGAACCTCTGAACCTCTGTTAACCCCTCCATTGTGCCCCATGGTCCGGAGAACCCCCTGGTCGTCCTGCACCTGCGCTCTCAGATTCGCGCAAATCGGTGGCAAGCGAAAGAGAGGCTTTGAGGGAAGCGGGGAGGATGACTATGTAGGACAGTGGGAGGAAGGTCAGATTTACTGGAGAGAAGCGAGACGGGAGAAAGCCAGCATGGCAGGATGAGAGCAGGAAAAAAACAGGGGGTTTTTCATCTTATATGTCCCTCATGTTCTCACTGGCTTGGGTGCTTGGGCATTTGGTCCAGTGGCAGCCCGTCGAGTGGCCCGCTTGGTCGAGTCCATCCGATTTAAGCGCCTGGCGATGGCTGGGGGGGTCGTCTTATTTTCCGGCACACACCTCTCACAGGGACACACATGCACACCTCACACCCGCCATTCCTCGTGGCAACACTGGATTCCCACATTCCGGACTGTTTTTTCTTCGTTCCCTTTTTTTCCCACCCTACGCAGGACGACACAGTAGTCACCTCTTTTTCGCCGCCTTCTGCAACGCCATCCTCGTCAGGTTGACTCACGTCGTGCATGCGCTGGTGTGTGTGTGTGTCTTCAAAAAGAGCCACAAAAGGAACAAACCAGAGACCAGCACCGGGAGAGGAGAGCTCGCTGGCAAGTGTTGATCCGGAGGCGCAGTTCACGGACGACGCCTCAGACAGGCCGGTACAGTGCCCGTTTCCTTTTTTTGACTTTATTCGCTGTTGCTGCTGTCGTTGCTGCTTGTTGTTGTTATATCCACCCGCCCACTCTGGGCAGCGTCTTTGCCGCTCGACAAGCGCCGGGGCAGAGAGAGGGCACAGGTTGAGCGCTTCGGGTGCTGCCATTCTTTCCCCCCTGAAAGGAAAGGGGAGAGAGAGCATTCTGAGGAGAGGACGGGTGAGGAGACTTATCTTTGCCGCCCCCATAAGTTTAGCGGCCAGGTTGTCCTGCGTTGAGCTGCATTGCACTGCACTGCACTGCACTGCACCCCCCTTGCCTACATTGGGTCCCTTTTCCTCTCCTGCGTCAACGGCGGCATCCGCTTCCCCGGTGCAACCGTGCGGCCGAGCAGGAAGCACGAAGCAAGCACGGAAGCAAAGCACGAATACCAAGACCCCCATCCCCAGTCCACGTCCATTCCCATTCCCACGCCCACGCCCACACTCACACCCACCCCATACCAATAACTTACCCACACTCCTCCTCCCCATACCCTCGTCTGGAAAACCCACCTCCTCATCCCGTCTTTTTTTTCTCCCACCACCGCAGTTACCCCTGCGAGAAACAAAACGCCCCCGTGCTGTTTTCGGGCTCCTTCTTTTTCGTGAGTTGCTCATCCAGAGACAACAACGCCATTGTCCAGTAGCAGCAGCGCAAACATATCCAGCTGTCTCTTGTTTTTATTATTTTACCGAGACTGACACAGATTAGACGGACAGCCAGGGACGATCTTCGAGACAACAGCCCGACGACATTGAACATTGTACTGCGCAAGCGGATCGACCCATGCCGCAGACGACGGGCGGACGCTGGGTATTGTTATAGGGATTCGGAAGAAAGGCATCGAGAGCGACGAACGAGACGGTGGAGCGGACGGTAGACGACAGACGAGTCGAGAGACGGACCACGGTCCAGGAATGGTTGGGGATCGGATTGGGTAACCTCGGTCTGGTTCTGCCACCTTCACGATCCAGTGGGTGGTCTTGCTTGAGGTGTGTTATCGTCGTCTTCTACCTCGACGTCTATTATGGTGTTGTTGTATGGCTTCGTAAACTAACCCCCATCTTACCTGCTCAGGTAGCACTCACAACCCAACCTGAGAGAACGACGGCTACGTGCCTTAATTCGCCACCATGTCGTCCTCGGCGTATTACCAACAACGCCAACAACAACACCCCCGAGGCCGCGCCGGCTCCAACACCAATACCACCTCCACAACCACCTACGACAAATCCCGACTACCCGGCGGCAGCGTCGGCTACCCAACCATGTCCGCCAACCCTTCCCCCCCACCACGCACCGGCAGCGCCAACAACAACACCACAGTCGGCCGCTACTTCGAGCCCTGCGCCGCGACAGCGTCCATGTTCCTCTACGCGCAGGGGACCTCGGTCGTATGCTGCCACTACGACACGCTGGCGATCGAACGGCGGTTTGCGCGGCACGCGGAGGAGGTGCAGCTGGTGGCGGTGGATAATCACAGTGATATTGGAGCGGGGAGGTTGGTGGTGAGCTATGATGCGGGGCAGACGGCGATTGTGTGGGATTTGTTGACGGGGGATGAGGTCGCAAGGTTTGCGTCGTATGAGAATTTGACGTGTGCTGCTTGGATGCGGAATGGGAATGTGGCTTTTGGTAGGTTTTTCTTCTTTACTCTTCCTCCCCCCTTTTTGGGGCGATTTGACGGGAAAGGGAAGGGAATGGAAAGGAAAGGGCTAACTCGGGACAGGTAACTCACAGGGCAACGTTATCCTTTTCGAGCCGACGACATCAGAACACCTGTCGGCGCGGACGATCGACCAGATTGCGATTACGGCCATCTCACCGGCGGCCGACTGCCGGACGTTTGCCATCGGGTGTGTATTCTCTTTCTATAATATTGCATTGAATATCGTAACATATTAACAAACAAAAAGCTACCAAAACGGCTCCCTCCTCATCGCCACTCTCCAACCACGCTTCACAATCCTTCACAACCTGACCACCTCCCGCGGGCCGTCACCGATCGTGACGCTCTCGTGGCACGCGTCGTCGGTGCGGTCCAAGTCGGACATGCTGGCGGTGCAGACTAATGATGGTGACTTGCGGGTGTGGAGCGTATCGAAGGCGTACAGCTCGGACGACCCGGCCAAGATTGTGCGGATTCTGAAAAGGACAGAGAATTATCTGACGGGGCCGAATTGGATGGGGTGGTCCAAGAACGGGAGGATTGTGCAGTTTTCTGAGGCGTACGTTCTCTCTCTTTCTCTTCAGAGTTTAGGGAGATACCGATACTGATACTAACAAAAACAGAGAAACAATCTCATGGGACGTCCGCACGAAACACGTCACATACGACACGATCCCAACGCTCGAGGCTATCCGCGGACTGGCTGTGTACGGCCCCGGCGCGGCGTTGTTCACGCTCGGCCCGCACAACACAGTGCAGCAGTTCGACCTCAACTCCCCCGCCATGATGGTGCAGAACGTGCAACACCCGGCCAACCTGCTGCCTCCGTCGCCGCCCATCTCGCTGGAAGACAAGCAGCAGAGCCTGGACCAGCAGGTGCTTGCGGGTACTCCTGAAATTAATAACACAGACGTGCAGATTGCGTTCCGGCCGAGTGACATGTCGGAAAGCGAGGGGGGGGCTGTGAGCGAAGACCCAAGGGACCAGCTAACGAGGGACCATCATGGTGTGGATGACCGCTCGCCGCTGGCTCGGTTCCTCCAGCAGAGCGATCGGGAGTCGTCGGACACAGAGGCGTACCGGCCGACGACGCCGGCGTCCAACATCTCGCGGTCGACGGTGTCGATCTCGTCGTCGACGTCGCAGCAGGCGGCTCGGCGAGGAGGAGGAGGTGGTGTTGGGTATGCCGAGTCAATGGTATCGCGGGGCATGACGGAGAACACGTACATCTCGGCCGGGTCATCGCTGCGGTCGGGGGTTGCGCCGTCGTCGCGGCTAAGGGGGTATTCTCAAACTCAGGGGTCGCAGAGACACAATCAGCGGGAGTCGATGTCGACGACGAGCTCGATCTCTGTCGGGAGCAGCGCTGCGCAGGGAGGCCACCAGTACCACAGCACGGCGCGACGGCCATCTCGACTACGCAATGAGATCCCGCAAAGCCCGGACGTGTCCCAGTCCCGCTCGCAGTCTCACACCCCTCAACAACAACCACCACAACCACCACAACCCCAACAACCCCGGGCAACCGACCTCTTCCAATTCACCAAATCCCGCCTGGCCGACGTCCCCTACAAAGCCCCCTTCTCCTCCGACCCCAGCCGGCTCACCAACGACGACCTGCGCAAACAAATGCTCAGCACCATCTTCGGCTGGCACCGCGACGTCGACGAACTAGTCCGCGACGAAATGGCGCGCCACCCACCCGGCTCAACCAACCGCATCTTACTGGCTAAATGGCTCGGCGACCTCGAAGACACCGACGCAGCCGACATCATGGCCATGGGATCCGAACACATGACCTCCTCCGACTGGATGCTCCTCGCGCTCAGCGGCATCAGCGGCGCCAACGGCCCCGGTTCCTCCCCTTCCTCCGCCCAACACAAACTCGGCCGGGCGTATGTCCGCCGCTTGCTCGAAAGCGGCGACGTCCACGCCGCAGCGACCATCATGGTCGGGTTGGGTGACCACAACGACGCGGTGGAGATCTACGTCTCGCATAAGAAACACATGGAGGCGCTGCTGCTGACGTGTCTGTTTTTCCCGGCGGCGTGGGAGCGCCAGGAGCAGATTGTGAAGAAATGGGGTGAGTGGGCGGTGCAGCATGGCCAGCAGCAGTTGGCGATAAGGTGTTTTGCGTGTACCGGAAGGGAGTCGACGGAGCCGTGGACTTCGCCGAGTGCGCAGCAGTTGAGTTTTCCCAGTATTGGGCAGGCTGTTCATGCTGGTGGGAATGCGGCTGTGAGTCCGGGGGCGGAATTGGCCAGTCCGCCGCTGTCGCCGCCGGTGATGAATCATGGGCCGCAGAGGAGTGTGGCGAAGAATGCGTCGTTGAAGTTGATTACTTCGTTTGGGGGGTCGGGACAAGGGCAGCAAGGGCTGGGAAAGAACAAGTTGTTGACGCATGTCGACGATGGCAAGACGCCGGTTGTGCGGACGGCGGTGGGTGGTTATCACGATGATGACGATGTTCGGGATGATGACAATGACGACGACGCCGACCCGGCCACGGCCATTCTCCGCGGGAACCGCAGCCAGTTTAATACGCCCGCATCAGCCCGGCCCGGCCATGGGTTCGGCCGTCAGCGACTACCGTCAATCGGTGAAGCGCCGGATTCGGGCAACCGGGATTTGTTGACGGCCATTGCGCGGGATGGTGATCCGTATGCGAACGCTTTCCAGTCGATCGATGTGCATATGCAGCAGCAGACCCAGATGCAGACGCAGATGCAGACGCAGATGCAAGAAAACAGCCGCAACCTCGAACGCGCCCGGCCCAACACGGCCAGTCCGCGGTTGGTTAAGGATAACCATACCGGCCACAGCCAAAGAACCAGGAACCATCCCCCGCCTTCCCCCTCGCCCGCTGCCATCAGCGCCCTCATGGACACGGCAGCCAACGCCCGACGCAACGGCTCGCGCAGCCGTATTCCTACCGGTCTGGACCTGTCCCTGCCCGGGTTCAAGGACTCGCTGCCTGAGGGGGGGACCGTGACCTCCCCTGAACCGTCGGCTAACTCATCGGTGCGGTACCACTGGCCGTCGCGACGACGCGGGCCTGGGTCGGTTGCCGGGTCGGTGGCGAGCTCGGTGAGTGTCGCGTCTAGTGCGCTGTCCGGGACGAGCAGTGTTGTGGGACGGAGGTATAGAGCCCAGGAGAAGGGCCTCGAGAAGGGCCTCGAGAAGGACCAGGGGAAGAGTCTAGACGATTACATCCACAGCTTGGACGCCGCGACACAGCAGAGCAAGCGGTCACAACAACAACCCCGCGGCAGCAGCCGGGACGGACGCAGCACGACGACAGCCTCGACCGCCACACACACCCGTGAGAGCAGCCGCACCCGCAGGGAGAACAACGCCAGCCGGGGAGAATCTCGTGGTCGCGCGGCCCAGCGGAGTTATACCCCTGCTGGCGGCAAGCGGTCACCCAAGTCGCCCGTGCCGATGTCGCCTGAGGATTTGATCAATCTGGCTACGCCGCGGGATGGGTACTCGGTTTCTGGGCATTCTGTGTCGGGGCATTCCGTCTCTGGTCGGCGGACACACAACACATCTCGATCACGGTCCCGCGCCCGAGGCACTAGCACCGGCCGAGCGACGAGCCGGACGCGGAGTACCGATCGGGAAGCTCGCAAAGTCCCGCAGGCATTGGACCTCCGCGCGGGAAATAGGTCGCCTTCGTCTCCCCAGCCCATGTCGGCTACCCAGGCACAGGGCCAGGGTCACTATTATGGGTCCGACGACGACGAGGACTACCGCCAGGCTGTCGAAGCGCAAGAACGGTTCCGGAGACGTAACAACCGGAGTACCAGCCGCGCAAGCCGGACCACCACTGCCACCAACACAACCACCGGCGAGACCCTCCGCGAAGGCCTGACCTCGCCCGTATCAGTCCGATCAACATCAGCCTGGTCGACCAGAGAAACCGCCCGAGAGAAAAAAGACCGAGACCGCAAGATCGGCGCGCCCCTGCCTACTCCAGCCCCCATGCAGCTCGTCACCGACAGCGCCGGCGACCTGCGCGTCATCAAGGACGAGCGCCAGCTCAAGAAGGAAGCGGCCGCGCGGGAGTTGGAAGCCAGGCGGAAGTCCCTTGCTCGGAGGCCGTCTGCGCCGCCCATTATGCATCCTGATGAGCTCAACCCTGGGACTGGAGGAGGAGGCCTGCCGACGCTGATGGAACTCCCCAGCACCACATATGTGCCCCCGCGCAAGGAAGACCTGCCCTCGCGCAGTGCAAGCGTTGATCCGAATGCGGGTCGGAGCATGTATGCCAACCGTCCCGGGGGGTCGGGGCCGGCGTTGATCGGACTGCCGGCCACGCCGCGGGCGATGAGGCTTATGTTGGAGAAGGGGGGGTCGGCGAATGCTGGGCCTGTTCCGCCTATCCCGGCTACTTTTGCCCAGGCTCCGGCGTCTCAGACTTTGACGCAGTCTCAGTTCCAGTTCCAGTCTCAGTCTCAGTCTCAGTCTCAGTCTCAGTCTCAGTCTCAGTCTCAGTCTCAGACTCAGACGCAGAGTCAGACGCAGCTGCAAGCTTCACCAACCCGGTTGTCACCCACCTCTCGCTCTCCGCCCATCCCCGAGGAGCAGCCTACTGATATCCCGCTGCTGCTGCCCTCGACGGTGTACACCCCGCCGCCGCGCATGGCCGCCCAGATCGGCCGATCCATGTCTGCGCCTCCTGTGGACCTCGTCCAGCCTGCACACCACTCACGTCGGCCGTCGGCTGCTAACATCAATGTTGTGCCCCCGCTGCCGCTTGCTCGGCGACCGTCACACGACGCGGCGTTCCCCTCGCGTCGGCCGTCCCAGGATGCTGGAGTCAACCCGAACGCTAACATGATCCCTCCTCCTCCTCCTCCCCCGCCTCCACCTCCGCCTGCACACCCACCCATGCTCAAAGAACTCCAGCATCTTGCCCAACCGCCCCCGCCACCACCGGCTCCGCTCCCACATCTCGCCGGGCCGAAACCGGTGGTGTACGGCGGGAGTTCGGGGACGATTGAGATTGTGATGGACGAAGAGGGTGTCTCGCCGACTCAACAACACCACAACCAGTCCCAACAAATCCCCCCTCAGCTGCAACAACTCTCCCAAGCGCAATACCAACCCCAACCGCGCATCCCAACCGCGAGCGAGGCCACAGTCCCAATCATCGCCACACCAAACCCCCGACAACAACAACAACAACAACAACAATCCCACACGCCTTTGCAAACCCCTTCCCAAACCCCCTTCCAACTCTCCTCCCAATCTCTAGCCCAGCTCCAGGCCCAAAACCAAACCCAGAGCCAAACCCAAGCCCAATCCCACGCGCAGCAACAACAACACACCCGCGGCCGCAGCAGCGCCGACCATTCTTTAGGTGCACGTATCTCCCGCGCTACCGAACGGATGCGTTCGGCCAGTAGGACGAGGGGGAGTGTGAGCAGTGGGGTCGGGGGGATAGGTGGGATGCAGATCCAGCATGGGGGGTTGCAGCATTCCACGCAGGGGTATGAGACTGTTTCTTCTTCTCATGGGCAGGGGCATGGACATGGAGGACATAGTTACTCGCTTTCTCAATCGTCGGCTTCGGCTTCGGCTTCGGTTTCGACGCCGGCGTATAGTTTGCATAACTCCCCTCCGGGACAGTCTGGGCAACTCCAAACTCTTGGGCAGCAGGTGTTTGGTCAGGGGCAGGGACAGCAAACTCCGGGGCAAGGGCAGACTGGGCAGGCTGGGCAAGGGCAGATGCTGGGACAAGGCCAGTACCGCGCGCAGAGCCAGATGGTGCTGCAGCAGGTGCAGGCGCAGGTGGCGCAGCAGGAGGGGAGGAATGAGTATAGGACGGGGTTGCATCGGAGTGAGATGATTTAGTTCCTCGCTCGCTATGCTATACTGATACCCGGGGAGAGAGGGAGTGAGAAGTGTGGGTTGAGGGTTGGCGGTAGAGTTGATGGGAAAGGAGGGTAAGGACGAGATGGGAGAGGAGGATAAGGACGAGCTGGGAGAGGAGGATAAGGACGAGATGGGAGTAAGGGACGGTTGACTTGATGAGATAAGAGGATGCGGTGGTATGATGGAGATTATGATATGGACGCTAGGGACGCTAGGGACGGTATGGACGGTATGGGCTTTGGATAAGTGGACGATACGACGAAGGACAGGAATCGGGTCCAAGGAAGGAGATTCAAGTGGCCGGTTGGTCTCGCTTTTTATTTTTCTACTATTTTATCTCTTGCATTTACTTTTACTTCTTTCTTCCACCCTTTACACCCAACTAGGTGATTATTTATACTTTCATCGTCCTACGTTATACCGCGTTTGCATCGCGTTGTTTCTGCGTTCTGCTTTTACTACTTCTCTACTGCTCTCTCTCCTGTTTGCTGTGCTCTGCTGTCCACGTTTGTTTCCATTCCATGTTTGTTTGCATGTTTTCACCCCCTATATCTCCCCTCTATCTCCCCTCTACACCCTCATCTCAATTCCGACTATACAGAGGCCACCCTCTATGACTGATGACATTGATATTCATTCCGTTTCGTTTCATTTCTTGGCCGGAAACCAAACAGGGAGATTGATACCTGGACATGGATTGTTGCGAGTTGGATTGAGGATTGGGAACTTCAGGAGGAGACAAAAAGGTGATGCAAAAGGAAGAAATCAGGCTACTTGGTGGACTTAGGTCTATGGGACCAAGGGATGGGCTGGCTACATTGTTGCCTCGCGGCACGTGTTTCGTTTCGGTGGGGGGATTAATAGTTTTGGTAGGGTTGGTTTGGTCTTAGGTTAATGAATTGATTGTGTTTTTGTTTACTTGATTTGTGGATGCATCTGGTGTTGCAAGTGTTGGGCTGGAGCTGAGATTTGTGTGGAAACCGTCGTCAACCGCCAAAAGTATGACGGGCCGAATCACTAGACTCGCCGTTTTATTTCACGGGAACCCACGTGTGTTTGCAAATAAAATAAAAAATAAAAATGTAGAAGCGAATTTAGGAGAGTTAGAAATGTTTCCGGGCATTTATTTTTAGGATATCATGGGGATGCAGATGCGCTGCTCCAACTCAGGCCAGCTCAGTGTTGTAGTCCGTGATGCAATTCTGGGCAGTCAAATGGACCTCACTTTCATCGTGACGACCACCGCCTCAACGTCAATTGACAGCGACACCACATTTGGTATTTTTTACAAATGTGATAATTCGCATCGCCAGGATCACATCTACCTCATGATATGCTCCTCGTAAAATAAAAACATGAAAACGACAAAAAGAAAAATGGAGTCGACCTCCCCTCCTCGCCACCCAGCCCCAAACCCCCGCCATCGTAATCCAGCGCGCCATCTGACGGTGAAGATGCCTCTGCAGAGTGAAGCCTCCCTCAAGTGTCATCTTCATTGCTTAGGGCCGCGCGCAGCAGTCGCAGGTTACCCGTGCGAGTGGGCGGCCACCGCAAGATTCGCGCTGGGCGCCGCGGGGGTGTTCTGATGGGATGGAGCAGAAGCGTGCGAGAAAATCGAGTGCCTCCGAATCCAAACTGACCATTACAGTCGGGGATTTTGCGCGTTGGACCTAATACATATACCCTGGTCTGGTTGTCGGGGCGGGGCTCACTGGTGAAGTGGGTCTGGACGATGGGTAAGGGTTAGGGTTGGTTTAGATAAGGACGACGGCTGCAACTGCGCGTCGCGACTGACTTCGACTTGGACTTCGATTTCGTTTTCGTCTTGACAACTCGACCAAGAAGATGCGCCGGCATCCACGGCTTGACTCTGGTCCCGGTGCAGCTATACCGATTGACCACAGACGACACACGGCCGAATAACCACCCCGACTCGAACTTGTCGACCCAAGCTATCGACCTCGGCACCTCGATAGAAATCTCGAGAACCAAAACCGGCCAAATCCCATAATCAACCCAGCCAGAACCGACCCGGCGCAGGCCAAAGGCCACACCCCAAAAATGCTCACAACAGCCCCCCACCTCTACATCCGCCGGCCCTCCCCCACAACCGCCGAGTTCACCGTCACCACCTGCCCGCCTCTGAACCTCCCGCTCCGCCTGCTCTTCCTCCTCATCCACCTCGCCCGTCTCCTCCTCGCCGCAGCCGCCGTCCTCACCCTCTACGCCCGGTTTCTCTTCGACCCTGCCGCCATCCCCAATCAACCCAACTCCCCTCGACCCAACACCCCATCCGGCCAGCCAGACACGTTAAACGGGGCAGGAGTAGACGAAGCCCTAACCCACCTCCGCGCGGGCCAAATCCCCCTGTTCCTCACCACCCTCCTCACAAGCGCGCACCTTTCCCCGGCAGGTCTCACCCTCGCCCATTTTACGGCGCCACTACCCGACTGGGCGCTGGCCCTAGCCGGTATGACTGTCTTATATGCCACGCTGGTGCGGTTTCGCTCTTTGCATACGACTGAGTCGGTACTCGTGTTGAGGGGGTTGGGGATTCAGATTTGTAGTGGCGCTGGAGCTGGAGCTGGAGGCGGTTTCTGGGGAGGGAGCTGCTTTGGGGGTTGGTTTGGGAATGGGGCAGGGAATGGGAATGGAGGAGGGATGATTGGAGGCGGTGGGGGCAGGGAGACGAGGTTTATACCGACGGAGAAGATACGGGATGTGTTGATTAATGAGGCGTTTCGGGGGTTTGAGGTGAGGTATTATCTTGTGGTGGTGGTTGAGGGCGAGGAGGATGTGGTGGTGCTGTTTCCGGGGTTGTTGCCGAGACGGAAGATCGTGGAGGCGGTTTGGAGGGGGGTTAGGGGGTGTTTGGAGGAGGGGAGTACCAGTACCGGCCAGGGGAGTACGGGGAAGGGTAGTCAGGGGAAGGGTAGTCAGGGGAAGGGGAAAGGGGGTTGAGGTCATACAGAGTATTTATTTATTTATTTATTTTTTCTCTTTTTCTGGGCCTCATTATTTAGAAGCCTGCTTACTCGCCCGAATCACCCCCCGCCAATTCTCCGTCCCCCGCATCGCCTCCGCACTCTCAAACCCCTTACTCTGCGCCCACCGATCATCCACCTCCTGCGGCGTCGCCAACAGCTGCTTCTTCATCACCGGCACATACACCCCGGCCGCGCGCGCCCCATCCCCGCCCTCAAACACCATCTGGCCCCCCTTACTCCTCTTCGCCTGCACCCCCCGCGCCGCTTTCGACCCGGACGCATCGCCAGTCCCCGTCCCGGCCTTGTCCAGCTGCCGTCGCAGATCAGCCCGCCGTGAGACGGTGTCCAGCAGTCGGTTGGCCAGCACCTCGTCCATCTTGTGCTCACGCCAGGTCGTCCATAAGCTATCGACTAGTCCACTACCGCCGCCGCCGTGGAGGAAGGCGGGTGTGTCCTCGCCGAGCCAGACCCAGTCCAGCGCGTCTTGCAAATCAGTGTCGACTGTCGCGTTGGGGTCGTGCATGTCGGTGCCTTGCATGTCGACGGCCTTCTTCTGGTCGTCCTCCTGGCTTTCTGTTGTCTGCGCTGCGCGCGGGAAAATGCAGTCCCACAGCACCAGGGGCACTTCGTCGGCCATGGCGTAGTTGGGTTTGCGCGGGGTTTTGTCGATGTCGAGAAGGTCGGCCACGAGCGAGGGCGGCTCGAGACCCTGGCCGATTAGGAAGAGGATGGCGACCATGTGCCGGATTTGGTGCCATAAAAAGGCTGATCCGCGGACGTGTAGGTAGTACACCTTGGGGTGTACCCCCTTTGAATCAGTCCCGGGGGGTTGGAACTCTGGCTGGCCAAGATACGGCAGCGCCGACCCGGTATCCTCAACCTCCACCACGTCTGCCTCAAACACCCTTCGCTTGTAGCTCGCGACCTGCTTCGCGCCGTCTAGCTTGCAGAAATTGCGGAAATCGTGCACGCCCTCGAACATCTTGGCTGCGTGGCGCATTGCGTTGATGTCCAACCACCCAGATTTATTCTCCGTATTATGACTGTCGCCCTCCATAAATGCAGGCAAAGGCGGAAAAGCCGGCTGCGTAAAAAAATACCGGTACTGTCTCTCCCAGCAAGAAAACCGCGCCGAGAAGTTGGCCGGAAGCGTCGGTGCCCAGGCCAGCACGCGGATATCAGGCGGGAGCAGCTTGTTTAGGACCCGCGGGTAGTTGATTTCGTCTGCGATGGGGTCCCAGGGGGGTTTAGCTGTTGGTTTCTCCTCGCTGTCGTTTTGATCCCCCGGCTCGGTCATCTTCACATCCCCGTCGCCTTCTACCTTCTCACCTCCCTCAGTACTCTCGGGTTGTTTCTCCTGCCTAGGTAAGGGCCGATTACTCCTCACCGTAATCCCCACCACCTGTCCAAACGCACTCACCCCCTTATCCGTCCTTCCACATTTAGAATACTCCCAGGGCGTGAAATCCACGCGGGCCGGGTCCTCGGGCCAGATCAGACAGCTCCGTACTAGGGCGCGCCAGAGGGCTTCTTCAATCGTCGCCGGGGTTGCTGTCGTCGTAGTTGTGGATGTTGTGCTGCTGGTGGCGGCAGTGGCAACGCTGCTTGAAGGCTGGTATTCGAACCCGCCGTAGCGTCGACCGAGGTAGGCGATTTTGAGGGCGATGGGGCGGGTGGTGTATTTGGAGGGGTCGAGTTTGCTGGGTTTGGCGTTTTTGGCTTTGTTGGCGGGGAGGTTGTGGGGGGCTTTGGGGAGTTTGTTTTTGGAGGATTTGGGTTTGGTTGCTTTTGGGGGTGGTGGTGGTGGTGGTGTCGATGTTGTTGTCGTTGTTGGAGTGGGAGTTGGAGCTGGAGTTGATGTGGATGTTGTTGCTGGCGGTGGTGGTTCTGGCTTGGACGTCTGACTCTTGATCTGTCCCTCCAATTCCCTGACTCGCTCGAGGAGTTGGTCCCTCGACCAGTCCTCGTAGTTGGGGTCCGCCATGTTTGGCCCTGATGAGTTCGACCCTGATGAGTATAAACCCTGGCCCCGCGAAAAATGGCGATGAGAGAAAGCTGAGAAAACGGGACGATGAGAAACAGGCCCCGCTCGCGACAGAAACGAATTCAAAAGTTGGCCTTGCACTTGGAGCAGTGACTTTCGGCTACGAACTGCGCTCATCAGGAGGCCATCGAATGAGCCTAACCCGATTATCTCGTTTGTCTTTGAACATGAACAATTCAAGATTGTAATTATGAGATTTTGTCACTGGGCCCCGCAGTGTGAAATTTTAGTGGGGTTGATCTTGGCATCGCTGATAAGATCTGTGGGGTGAGCGTGGGACTTGATGTATTAAAGAGTTCAGAAAGGCACTGTCTATGCAGTAAGGCCAACCCATTGACCGGTGAAGCGCTAATCAAAATGGAAGAGCACACCATAACCGTATTGCTGCTCGGCGACGAAAAATGCGGAAAATCGACATTTCTATCGTACGTACTCGGGACATGTCCAAGATCGCTAAGTCCATGAAAAGCTGACCGTAATGACCTTAACAGACGCATCAGCCAGGGGCGACATAACCTCCACAGCCAAACCCCCATCACCCTCCTCCGCGACCTGGACCAGCCATTTGTTTTCGAGATCCGCTCCCGCAAAGGCCAATACCGCTTCGAGTTTTACGACACCTCCAGCCCAGAAAGCTGGAAACTGCTCCGGCCCGACCTGGTCATTCTGTGTTATGACATAAGCCACCGGCCAAGCCTCGTCAACCTCCAAGAAGTGGTACGTCCAATCTAACCCCCCCAACCCAACGACATGACCACCACATGACCAAAACCTGACACCGCATATCTAGTGGATCAAACAAGTCCGCACCGTGTTCCCCTCCAGCGACGTGCTCCCCGTCCTCGTGCTGGGTCTCAAGCGCGACCTGCGCACCGAAGACGACCCCAACGGCACGCTCTACCCGCAGGAGGGTTACCAGGCGGCGCAGGCCATGCGCGTCGACAAGTACATGGAGTGTTCGGCGGTCACGGGCGAATTGATGACCGAGGCCTTTGACGACCTCTGCCGCACCGCGCTGCAGACGACCACCCCGGACGGAGGGCAAAGTGAAGGTGGCTGCGTCGTTATGTAAGCGGGGAGTTCCGCGATGAGCCTGACGCCCCGGCAGGCCGTAAGCTGAATCGGCTTCATCGGCTCTCGCCTGGGGTTTTGTGCTCCGTCAGCCTTGAGATTTAGAGGCCGTTTTCCACCGACCGCACCGGCACCGGGTCGACTTCCCCCTCGGCATCCATCTCCCCTTCGGCATCCTCTTCACCCGCGCCAGCCTCAGCCTCGCCCTCATTCGGCTCATCCACGCCGAGCACCTCCCCAATGATCTCGACAATGGTGTTCTGCTCGTCGTCGCCGAACCGCTCCTCCATGTCCTCGATAGCCGTGCTCAGAAGCGCAGTAGACGACGGACGCACATTGAGGATGGAGAGCAGCTCGCCCTTGGTCAGCTCGCTGGGCAGGTCGGCGGCCCGCAGCTTCTCCAGCAGCTGCGCGATGGCCGCGCCGCTGTAGGCTTGGGTGGTTTCTTGCTGGGCGAGGGGGCTGGGTTTGGTACTGAGATATGTGAAGACCTGTTGATTATTAGTTTTTATTTTCGGTTTTTTTTTTTTTTTTTGAGATGATCTTTGCGAGATAGTATGAGAACTCACCTCGGTCAGGACATGGTGGGCATTGCCGGGCAGTCGCCGGTCTTGTGTCTTGTTGCGCTTGCGCTGGTCGACAATATGCTGGTAGACCTCGTAGTTGGAGAGAAGCGCGTTTTGAGACTCGAGAATCTTCATCTTGGCTTTTTGTCTGTTTCCGCCTATGCGTCCCTGCGAGGCGGGTCCCAAAGGTTCACAGCGATCGCTTTGGGCGGTGGATGACCTCTGGTTGGTCTGTGAGTCTCAATGCAGAATGGCTGACTGTCCTCTAATTCCCGGGATCTGGGTGTGAGAATGCGTGAGCCGGCTCTTGTGGTTCCGGTTTGATTTCGTCGCGCAGCAACCGGCCGCCGGCACGCCAAAGCTCGCAATGTGAAAATGCGGTAAGGTGACTCCTCCTGTGCTGTTTGGCTGTCTGGTCCCTTCAACTTGCTGCAAGGTCAGACCGTTGGACGTGAGACACAGAAACGGGCGACAAAAAGCTGCCCCTCCATGGGTCCTCCACATGCCTGCAGGGCACGATCCAATTGAGCGGTTCCAGCCAATCAAACCGAGCGCAGATGCACTGATGCTCCGCCGAAAAATTCTCGCACCATCATTGCCCGCCCTTCTGCAAGGAAGGAACAACCGCATGAACGGGTACGTACCTGGCCTGACAAGCTGGGAACCTCATGGGCCGCCCGTTGAACAGAACCACGAGGCGAGGCGAGTGACCACTGGGACCTCTTCACAGGCCGCAGGCGTAGCAGGCCCCCTAGCCAAGTACCCCAGTATTGCCCAGTGCCCCAAGCAACCAACGCCGGGGAAGGCCGCAGGGAGAGAATTTTTTTTGTTTTAACTCCTCCAGGCCCCGCGGCCAAAACCGCGTTTCCACACCATGGGAACTAACCCTCCCCACATCCCAAACCAACTTTTGCCGCTCCGCACGGCAATCCGCCTTCTCTAGTCGATTCTCTTTGACTCTGCAACTAACTCCAAGATGGTTCCCCTGTGATCTCTCCTCTTTCTTCACCTTCTTCTTTTCTCCTTCTTCTTCTCCCATCCCATTGATCCGACCACCCTGCCCGGCCCGGCCGACCGACTCAAAGCCTCGCTCGGCCCGTGATTCCTGCTCAGGCGGTTTATCCCAGGCCCCAGGTACCCTCGGCAAGTTTTTTGTTAAGCGACCGATCAACACCGGCCGACCTGGGAAGCACATGCGTGTGTGTGTGTGTTGCTATAACGTTTTTTCTCTCTCGATTTCACCATTGAAGATCGAGAGTCGGGGTCAAGCAACGGCGATATATTCGACTGAGAGCAACACAACGTCAAGCCAAAAACAACCGAAAGAGCCTCACCGCGTATTAATTCTCTCTTCCCCCCCTGCCGGCATCGGTCGTGCAGTGTGATCAAAGGTGTCATCAAGCTCCGACTCTCGCCTGCACGCCTTGCATCGGAAGGGTGTCCCGCTTCCTGCACCCCAAACTCGTGTCGATTTGCCTGCCGCCACCCTTCCAACTTTCTCCGATTCTTCTCCGCAACCCTTTTTTTCTTGACTTTTTTTTTGGGTCTGCCTTATTCCACACCACGGTCTGCACTGTTCAGCCAACCCAGTTGAACGGACCACATCGCCATCATGGTCCGGAACATTGTGGTCCTCGGCGGTAACTCGCACCCCGCCATCGTCGAGAGCGTGTGCAACATCCTCGCGCTGCCGGCCTGCAACCGGATTTTGACCAAGTTCTCGTCCGGCGAGAGCCGCTGCGAGATCCAGGACTCGGTCCGTGGCAAAGATGTCTACATCATCCAGACGGGCTTTGGCGGCAACGGCAGCAAGCTCAACGACCATTTCATGGACTTGTGCATCATGATCTCGGCCTGCAAGACCGGGTCCGCCAGACGGGTAACCGCCGTCCTCCCCTTGTTCCCATACTCCCGTCAACCCGACCTCCCGTACAAGAAATCCGGGGCGCCGCTCTTCAAGGGCGGGTCCGAGAACGGCAGCAAGAAGGACTACACCTTTGAGAGCGTCCCGGCCACCCCGGCGCCCAATGTCCCACGCAGCGCTGGCCTCATCAACGGCACCGACATCACGAGCCGGCTAGCTAAGACGACACTCGGAACGACCCCTCTGCCCAACGGCACGAGCAATGGCACCATGTCGCCCGTCCGGCCGACCAACGGGGACGGCTCCTACTTCGCAGGGAACGGCCTCGGCATCAACAACAACACCTCGACGCAGAGCATCATTGGTAGTTACACGACCCACGACTACGAGAACGTGTCCCACGTGGGCGCATTCCAGGCCAAGCCGGGGTACAAGCAGTGGGTTGCGCAGGCGGGCACCCTGGTGGCCAACCTGTTGACCTGCGCTGGTGCTGACCATGGTATGTGTCCGATATTTGGGAGGAAAGGGGTATGTCCAGCTCGTGGGCTCGGTGGTTAACATGTTGCAGTCATCACCATGGACCTGCACGACCCTCAAGGTACGTGTGACACGCCAAACCGCAGCAACGTTCCGTCTGGCACGTGTGGAGGCTGCGGTTTTTTACTCCGATTACGTGCATATGTGCAAGACACTGACCCGCCACAGTCCAGGGCTTCTTCGACGTCCCCGTCGACAACCTGTACGGACGGCCCCTGCTTAAGCGGTATATCCAGACGCACATCCCCGAGTACAAGGACGCTGTGATTATCAGCCCTGACGCGGGGGGTGCGAAACGGGCCACTGCAATCGCCGACGGCATGGGCATTGAGTTTGCGCTTATCCACAAGGTATTATTTTTTTTCTTTCTTGCCCCCCCCCTTCTCCGGAGCCACTTACCAATTCATGTTATCTGTTCCAGGAACGCCGCCCGACCAAGATCACAGACCGGCAAAACGCCAGCATGATGCTCGTCGGCAACGTAAGCGACCGCGTCTGCATCCTCATTGACGACCTGCTCGACACAGGCAACACCATCACGCGAGCCGCCAAGCTCCTCAAAAAAGAAGGCGCGACCAAAATCTACGCGCTACTCACCCACGGCGTCTTCAGCGGCGACGCCATCAGCCGCATCAAGGCGTCGGCCATCGACAAGCTGGTGGTCACCAACTCGGTGCCGCAGAACGAGCACAAGGCCCTGCTGGGCGCGAAACTGGACGTCCTGGATATTTCCCCCATTTTTGCTGAGGCGATCCGCCGCGTGCACCATGGCGAGTCGATCAGTGTGCTGTTTAACTATGACTAATGTTTATGGGGTGAGCGTTGAGTAAGTACGTACGTACGTAGGGCGCGGTAGGGAAAGGGGGGGGGGAAGCATATATACACAAAAAAGACGGTGGTGAGGACTTGCGTGCATCGGGATATACATCGCATTTGGCGTTTGTTTTTCGTTTCAACCTTTTTTTGCCTGATTTGAAGGCATTCTTTTGGGGGTGTGGCTATTTGGTTTGATCTTGGGTGGTATGGTATGGGATGGAGAGAAAGCAGACCGACGGACGGACAACCAGACAGATTGCTAGTTGCTGCTGGTCTGCGATGACTTCCTTGGCTCGCTCATTCTTTTTTTCTCCCGTTGAGGAGGGAGGGAGGGAGGGAGGGAGGGAGGTCTCTTCTGGCGTTTTGGGGTACATATTCCTTCGTTTTAGTCCTTTTTTTTCACCGGACTTTTTTTTTTTTTTTTACACACTGTCCTTCCTGTGATAGGGATAGGAGGCGGGCGGGCGGAGGAGACGTCGATTGATATCGATTGGCAAGGGGTATTTATGAAGGGGTTCCGTGTAGAGTTGGGAACTTCGGGAAGACGACGGGAGGGCTGTGGCGGAGGGTCGGTTTCACGTACCCAGTCAAGCAGCCTAGTTGTTTTCCGTTCTTTTCTTTTTACACTACAGACATGCACAACACATGCAACATGGTTTGCTCGCTCTTCGCTTCTCGCTCTCGCTCTCTCTTGGGGGATGAGATGAGGGGTGGGGATGCTGTGGTGATGTGGGATGTGGGATGTGGGATGCGTTGCTGCTTTGCAGGTTGTGTTGATGGGTAAGTTGGTGAGGCAAGGTAAACCGTTTCCTTGCGTTGGTAAGACCCATCTCTTACAGTAGTCTCGGGAGGGAGGTATGGAGATTGAGATGGGTACGATACACCAGATAACCGGTGGCCTGCCCGTCTCTGGGATTGTGTCGTAAGAAAAGGCAGGTCGTTGACTAACAACCTCGAACTCTATTCGGCAGTTTGGCTCCTTCGTACGGATACTGTAAGTTACATAACAAGGGCCGGCGGTGATCCGTCGTGTCCATGCAGATCCGAACCCCCGGATCCGTAGCAGGGGGCCCACCTGACCCCGGCAGTCCGGCTTGGCATTGGTCTGCTGGTCCGGGAATGACGTCCTGGTTCTCCATCGGAATTTGAATTAGGAAGGGTTTCGGCGTCGCTGTTTCATGCCGTGAGGGGGAGGCACTTGAGGGGAGAGCAGAGAGGGGTCATGTCATGTCATGCCATGTTTGTTATCTTTCTCGCTTTCTCTCGGTTTGTTTGAGGTGAGTTGGACTGACTGCCGGGCGGTTTGCTTGCTTCCTGGTCGGGTTGTCCGAAATTGCTGGTCCGTGTTCGCGTTCGAGGCAGGCTTTTTCCAGGGGCTAATACCATAGTAGTGCTGATAGCGGTTCCTCACTCTCGGTACAGTCCCTTGTCTTTTATTCGTACCTACAATACACTAGTAACTTGGTAAAGTTAATTGATAAGTGCCAGCGGCGCAAGCAGAATCTCTGACCAACAAACCGGGAACCTTCAGACAGGGCTGGCACAAGCCCTCCATCTTCGCCGTTCCATTCGCAGCAAGCGGGATCCCGTCCGATCACGAATGAAACGCGCAACGCTCGCGGCGTGCGGCATCGCTGGCACTGTTGGCGTGCTCTGCTCTCAAGCGAGCCGGTCGTCCTTTGAATTTTGAGTTTTTTTTTTTTTTTTTGCCTCGTCCTCGTCCTCGTCCTCGTCCTCGTCCTCTTCCTCGTCCCCGTTATCTCGTTTCTCATTTCGTTCGGCCGCAGCCGGCCAGTCAGCGAAACGAACGGCACGGGAACTGGCGGTTATTCGGCACTTACACGCCTCCTTGCAAAACTTTTTCTCAGCTCCGGGGTCCCCTGTCCATCCGCATTTCCCTTTCCATCTTGCATACATACCCACAGGAGTACAATCCCGACAAAACACCATGCCGACGATAACCCACAACTTACACAACAACTCACGGCTTACTTACTCAAAAACAACACGAAACTGCACATTGACGAGTGCATTCAGAGACCAACTGAGTCTGGACCATTCCACGTCATGACTTGGCGGTGCGAGACTGCCGTGGGACCGGAAAACGTTGTTTTTGCACTTTGCGTGTGACTGACTGACTGACTGACTGCGAATCTGCATATCTGCATCGCAAGTGAGGTTGCGAGCCTCGTTACTGTTGTCGTCGACGGTTCGGCGTTGATTGTTTCGTTTCTCGCTTTGTCGGTCTTCCGTGGGTTATTACGTTTATTTTACTCGGGATTTATTTGCGTTTTACGTTTTCTCGGGTTTCTTGCGTCGGTCTAGTTGGGATCTTACACGCGACGGTCGATAATACATGCGGCCTGGCTGTGAGACACCAACTTACACGACTTACACCACCAAACTCACGATCTCTTCATCACCAACAACCTCAACCCCAGGATTACCACCGAACCTCGACCTAGAATCACAACACCACAACACCACAACACCACAACACCACAACACCACAACACCACAACATCTCAACAATACACAACAGCACTTCAACACCACAACAACACACAACAAACCAACCACCAAAATGACACCAACAACCGGTCTCTCCCCCCTAACGACCCCAACTCCAACTCGCCCCCCCTCCCCAATCCCAGAGGCCGCTCCAGAGACATCTCCAGAGGTAGCTCCAGGAGCACCCCCAGCCGCCCCAACCAGTCCAATCCACACCCCAACCCCATCCTCCCCCTCCTCCCCAACCCTCACCACCCGTCCCCCCTTCACCCGCCACCTCACCTCCGGCTCCGTCGCCTCTTCCCACCATCACCTCACTCTCCCCCTCCACAGCAGCCACCACGCTCATCTCCACCTCCACGGACACCACCTCCTCCATAGCGGACATGGGCATAGCGGACACGGTTATGGTTATGGAGGAGGAGGGGGTCTGGCATCGGGCTATCAAACACCCATGGAAGACCCCGCCAACGTGTTCAACTGGTCCTCCGGCGGCGGTGGTGGTGGTGGTGCGTCGGGACCGGGCACGGGGGCTAGTACACCCTCTCCTGGTCTGAGTGCCGGGACGGGCACTGCTACTGCTACTGGCACGGGTACAGGCAGTGGAACGGGGGCGTCAGCGGGCGCGGTATCGGCTGCTTTGGCGGCTCATGTACGGAGGGGAGCACGCAAGAAAGATATCGCGGTTGCTGGGACGGATGGTGACCCGGATGGGCATCCCATGAAGGAGCCTGGTCCGGGACCGGGGCTACGGCCGTCGGGGAGTGTACACTTTGCCGAGGCTATCGCTGTGGCTGAAGCCGGGGACGGGACCGGCCACGGCGGTCTTGGAATCAAAACACCCACCAGCCCAACACCCAGTCTCAGCAGCGGACGCTACGGCGTCGTCCCTCCCGCCTTTCCCCGACGGGCGCGCACCGATGGGAATATGTTGCATCACAGCACCTCTGGTACAGGAGTCACGAGACGAGCGACGGAGCTACGCTCTGCCGGCCCGCCGCGGTCGTTGGCTGCGCGGTTGAGGGGGTTGGGGGGGGTTGCTATTGGGGGGAGTAGTGCTGCTTCTGCCGGTGCTGCTGCTGCTGCAAATGGTGGAACTGGGGGTGGGTATGAAGGAGGGGTTGGCGGGGAGAAAAGGAGGAGTGGGATGAGGGGGGTGAATTCGCCGACGGAGAGCTTGAATGGGGTGGTGATGCGGGCGGCGTCGAGGAGGAGGGGGAATGGGAAGGTGGGGTTGAGGGATCGGATTGGGTGTTTTCAGTGGACTTGGTTTACTATGACTATGGTGAGTCTTCTTTTTTCTGTTTCTTTTTTCTTTTCTTTTTTCTTTTCTTTTTTCTTTTCTTTTTTCTTTTCTTTTCTTCTTTTCTTTTTTCTTTTCTTTTTTCTTTTCTTTTTTTCTTTTCTTTTCTTCTTTTGTTGTGTGGGTGAGAGAGAGAGAACAAGGGATGCTAACAGTCCAGGCTACCGGGGGAATCGCCAACGTGTTGCACTCCAGTAAGTCCCTTTCTTGCCTTCCTTTCGTTCCTTTGGGCCACACTAATACGTTTAGTCCCCTACGAATCGAACTGGCTCACGGGCATCGGCCTGGCCTTCTTCTTCCTCAACATCCTCCTGTTCGTCGCCAACTGCGTGTTGATCTCGCTGCGCTTCTACTGGCGCCCGGGCAGCCTGGTCGACTCGTTCAACGACCAGTTTGAGAGCTTGTTTATCTCTTCTATTGTACGTCTTCCCTCGAAGTCTGTAACCCCTGAAATAGCGCTAACTAACATCCCCAGATCGTCTCGTAAGTTTTGATGTAGAATCATGCAGCCCCTGATTTTGAGTTACACATTTACTTACACACACCCACAGCATCGCCACGATCCTCATCACCATCACGCAGTACGGCATCCCCTGCACCGGCCCCTGGCTGCTCAGCGTCGTCGAGGCCCTCTTCTGGGTCTACCTCGGCATGAGCACCCTCATCAGCGCCAGCCTGTACCTCACCTTGTGGTCCACCCAGTACGTCCTCAGTTTTATCCCTATCTTATACCCACCAAATAACTAATACTGACACAAAAAAGAGTCTTCCCAATCCACACAATGACCCCCATCTGGGTCTTCCCGGCCTACCCTCTCCTCCTCTCCGCCCCCTTCGGCGGCAACCTCGTCGCAGCCGCGCACAAAACCAACCAGCTCTCCCACATCAACACCATCCCCATCACCCTGGCCGCCATCACCGCCCAGGGCACGGGGTTCCTCATCAGTTTCATGATTTGTGCCGCCTTTTTGTACCGGTTGATGACTCAGAAACTGCCGCGGGATCATCAGCGCCCCGGTGTGTTTATCTCGATTGGGCCGAGCGGGTTTACGTGTGCGGGGATTGTGCAGTTGGGGTCGTTGGCCGGGGTGGTGTTTCCGCCGGGGTTTATGGATCGTGCTGGGTCGACTGGTGTTTCTGCGGGTGGTGTGGTTGGGACGGCTGGGGTGGGTGATGCAGCGTATGTTCTGCGGATTCTGGCGTGTATGGCCGGGTTGTGGCTGTGGGGACTGAGTATCTGGTTCTTTTTGGTGTCGGTTGGGTCGCTGTGGAAGTATTTGCGGCCGGAGAGTAAGGGGAAACTGAGGTTTCAGATGACGTGGTTTTCGTTTGTGTTTCCGAATACGGCGTTGGTATGTTTTTACTCCCTCTTTCCTTCTTATCTTCACTTTCCCCTACCTGTTTATTGAAAGGGAGTGAGGGAGAGAAAGACTAACAACAACAGGTCACGGCCACGGAAACCCTCGGCGCAGCCTTTGACAGCCCCGGCCTACAGATCTTTGGCTGCATTCTTGCTGCCTTCCTCGTGCTGGTCTGGATTTTGGTGTTTACCAAGATGATTCGCTGTTTGTGGAGGCGGGAGCTGTAAGTCTTGCTTTTGATCCTCCGAGTTATCATTCTCGAAACTGACACGACATGTGATTATAGGCTCTGGCCCAAGGATGTGGATTAACTTGTCTCGATTAAGGGTGTATTTCGGAAGGAGTCATATTCTTTACACATGTTAAGCGCAAGCGGGGTTCTTTTCTTATTTCTTTATTATTTGCTTTACTCTGGGAGCGACGGAAAAGGGGCACAACACAAAAAGGGCAAACGGGCAACGGTATAGAGGTTATTTGCTTTGCAAGCGAGGATCAACAGGTAATATTCCCTTGATTTTATTCAGTACAGTACAATTAGCGTATACCCCCAACGTAATACACATCTCACAACACTCAGTTCCATTCCATTTGTCTTCCACTGCATTACGGCACTAAATACGTACGATACAACAAAACGCATGCCTGAAACCCGCCCGTTGCCGCGAGACATCTAAAAGGCGGATGCGGTATATCCATCCATCCATCCATTCACCCACCCCCGTTTTCCAAAATCCTAACAAACCACATAACCAACAAACCACTTACACACAGGTACATGTACATACACCCAAGAACCCTGTCTTTTTTGTGTGTATTGTCGTTTTTGTGATTCCCCTTCCTGAGTATTAAAATCCAATTCCAGTATTGTTTGAATAAATGCTTGCAAGCTCTGAAGTAAACTTTCCGTATATCTCTCATGGAAGTTGCAGGCATATGCTAGGCTACTTTGCCAGCCAGGGGAACTTCTTCCTCGTCGCCTCGAGTGCCCCTCCACTCCCACTCGTCGGCTCGACCTGCAGACTGCGCTGATAAATGTCCTGGAATCCAACGTTAGCACTTCATTCCAACCTCGCACTCCCCAAGAGTAAACACTCTTCAGGGGCAAAAGGTGCAGGCTTACCTCATCATCCGTAGACATCCTACAATCCAGCACCAACTCCTTACACACATCATTCCTTGACAAATTCGGATACGGCTGCCCCTGGCTCTTCATAATCGGCAACAACACCTCCCCCAGCACCTCAAACTTCTTCCAATTCACCCTATCCCCGCCACTCCCCACAAACGTCTTGCTCCCTTCCTCCGCCGACACCAGATCCCTCCGATGCAGCGGCATAAACGGGATCCTCGGCAGCGGCGAGTTCTCCCACGCCAGCCGATAGGCAAAATGGCTCTTTTGCGTGCCCATTAATAACTCGAGTCCGGCAAACCGCTTCTGCACGCTGGCCGTCACCAGGGACCTCGTGGAGGCCAGACGGTGCACGGCAGTGCCGTTGATACCGGCCAGCACGGCAGCGAGGCCGTTGTAGTTGTTCATCTGCCGCAGGCGGAGGGCGACAGACATGAGTTTTTCGAGGCAAGGGGCGCGGTGTTTGGCCTTGTCGCGGAGGAGGACGATGTTGGCGACCCATTGGGCGACGTGGTTGAAGTGGGAGACCATGCGGTCGACGTTTTTGAGGTGGCGGCATTTGGTTTTGGCGTCGTGGGAGAGGGAGACGTGGCGGACCATGTCGCGGATGCGGATCGAGCTGAACATGATCCAGTCGATGCGCGTCATTTCGTTGGCGATGTCGTCTACGTCGAGCTCCATGAAGAGGTGGTAGCGGTATTTGTTGAGTGGGAGGATCCCGGATGGGATTAGGGTTGCTGCTTCGGCTTCGTAGTCTTCGACTGAGTGGAACTGCAGCCGGGCGGGGCCTTGCGCGCCGCGGGGTTCGATGCCGGACAGGTCGGAGCTCTGTGATGGTCGCCGCGCGCTTGCCAGTGTTGAGCCATCTAGGTGCAGCGAGCCCATCGACTCGGCCATCCCGCTCTGCCGTTGATCCGCTCCTCCTCCTCCTCCTCCTCCTCCTCCTTCCTGTTGATCCTCGTCCGGATCCGACTTGGCCCAGCTCGTGTCATCGTCCACCGTAACCTTTTGTTCCAGGTGTGCCCTCATCTGCTGGGCCGCCGCGACAAACACCGGGTCCGTAGATAGCTGCTTGATGAGCTCCTCCAGGCTCCTCCGCGTCGCCGGCCTCGCAAAGTCTCCCGGGTACAACGACAGCCACTTGGCCGCCACCTCGATGATGCGCATTTGCGCCTCGATCTTGAGCAGATATTCGCCCCCGCGGCCGGTCCACAGCTGGTCCAGCCGCGCGCGGATCGCCGCGAGCAGCCCGGAAGGCGTGCTGAATTTCCGGTAGAGACAGAGGAACACGTCGGCAAAGTTCTGGTCGGACTTGGACATCTTTGGGGCAAGCAGCCGGTCGACGAGCTCGCCAAAGCTCACGCCCGCCAGCTTGACCGGCTTATCGAAACCGTCGTCGCTGCGCTGCAGGATGGGGATGTCGTCAGAGCGGTACGATTCGCCGTCGGATTCGTCGACATCGAGAAAGGTCTCGCCGCCGCCATCCAGTCGGATGCCCGGCGTCCGGAGCATGTTCGACACGGTGGGCGGTCCGCCGTCCTCGGGGATGGCGGTGCTGTGGCTGAGGTTGCTGCTGGAGGTGCTCTGGTAATCCGGCCGCGGCGATCTCGGGGCCGGTCCTCGAAACTGGCTCTCGCTAGCAGGTTGCGAGAACCCCCGCAGCAGCGAGAAGTCGGAGCTGGCCCTGCTGTGCTTACTGTGCTGACTGATGGGGCGGCCATTATGGGGGTCCATCGGCGCATCGAGATTCGCCGTCGAAGCGGCACGCCTCCTGTGGCCTCCCCCGCCTTCTGACTTGTCTGTAGGATCTTGATTAGCCCCCTCGTCTCACAACGTGATACCAGCTTCGGTATACGGCCGGCCGGCAGGTCTGTCCGCTTGTCCGCTTGTCCGCCTGTTCCATGTCCTGCTCTCTCCCCCTGCTGTGTCCTCCCGCGGCAGCCTCGGGTAGGACAGACAGGGGGTAGCCAGCCGCCTTGCGCCTCCTTCCATCCATTCATCCTGCGGCTCCGCAGACGTAGAAGCTCAGACAAGGGTCTCACTCGCTTCACTCGCTCACCTTTCCGGTTGGCTAGCGCAACTCTTAACATCGTTTGTAAGCATTCGCGCGCGCTGGCCGGCGCGTTGGACGCGGTCCTCAAATGGCCCGCGCAGGTAGCAAATGCCTGCGCGAGCCCTGACAAATCGGGATGCCGGAGGTCGTCGGGGGTATCGCACTTGGTCGCGACGAGGAGAGTGGGTAGGGACGAGTTGTCAAGAGCGGCTGTTCCACCGGTAAGTATGGGTTTGTCTTGTATGTCTCGAATGCGTTGTGTATGTGTGCTCGTCTGGTCGGGCGGGTGGGAATTATTCTTCTCTGGTTTGACAGGGTAAACTTGACTCACCCATGATTGGGGGTACCTCACGCATGCTCCCTTCGTTCACGGCGTCGTATAAGATCAGAGCACCATCCATGCGAGGCATCGAGTGTCCTCCAATCTGTTTTGGCCAGTGCACCGGCTGGTTCGGGTCCAGCTCGATGCCCTCGAGGTCGAGCTCCACGAGCGTGACGAGGTACGGAGCGCCGTCGACTTCCTGGCGCAGCGTCGTGATGTTCAGCGCCGACGGACGCGGTGCTCGGCGGAGCTGTTGGATAAACGTGGATTTGCCCACCCCGACGGCGCCAATGATGGCTATGTTGATGGGCTCCATGTCGGATGGGGCACTAGCATGCTCGAACTGGGCCATGGGTTTTTCGGTCAGCCTTATTGTCCCTTGCTTAGGGTTTCTTTCCCAAGGTCTCTCCAATCTCTCCAACGCGTATCGAGCAGGTCAAGAGGAATGACCGAGATTGCGCTGCACAACACTGCAATGCATTGACGCCCTTTCTCCACCGCCAATTCCTCCCAAAAGGGGGGGTGCAAACACGGAATCACCGGCTATTCAGTACGAATCCGTACAGTGCTTGAGTGCATCACAACCAATAACTAGTGTACAAGTGAACGGACTGCATACCCAGGGGGTCGGATTGGAGTGGCTCAGAGACTCTTTTCGCGGCGGGATCCACGGCTGTCGCTCCTCATCACGGTGGCCGGCACTCGTGGACGGGGCGCTTGGCAGGGCGGATCGAAGCGCGGGTTCGGGCGCGGCCGTTGGTGCAGACGCAGACGCAGGCGCGCGACAGGGCTCGGGTTCGGGGTCGAGTCCAGGCGTGTGGTAACGAAAGAAAAACGGGTCTTCAACAATTGAAGCGAAGGAATCCCTGGACTCGGCGGTGGGTAAGTCGTCGACGAGCAGAAACGTGCCCCCAGATCCTACAATGGTCGGGAGTTGTGGCTGCTGCTGTTGTTCTTGTTGCTGGTGTTGTTGCTGCTGTTGTTGTTGCTGTTGTCGGGCGGAGGAGGAAGAGGAAGAGGCCGAAACGAGGCTCGGATGGTTGTTTGTTCGCGTCGTCGCATTGGATGTTGCAGGGCCTGAAGGAGCAGCACCACTCGCAGCAGGACCAGCAGGACCAGCGCCAGCACCAGTCCCTCCAGCGCGCAGCGGGGTAACGTTATTCGCCAAAGACGGCCGTTCAGAGGCCTGCGGCAGCGCTCCTCCGGTACGGCCTGACACGGACGGGTGAGTCTGTGCCCACATGGCTAATCAGAGGACATGGCGCGGCGCGCAGAGCAAGCACGGAGCATCACTGCCGCTTCGAGGCCGAACCTAGGGACCGATTGGGGGGCGGAAGCGAGAGACGCGAGACGCAAAGCGGGGTTAACGTTAGGCACTTCGTAGGCTGAGGGCGAAGAAAAGTGAGGAAAAAATAAGAGAGAAAGATGGAAGAAGACAAAGATGAGCCAGACAGCAGACGACGAAAAAACCTTCCGACTAGACAGCAAAATGACGGGATCGATTGGGTCGGATTGGGATTGGGATTGAGATGGGGATTGTGAGAAAAGTCCAGTCAGGGTCAGGGCCCTTTTTTTCTAGGTTCCATTCGTTCGTTCCTCTTCATCGGGCGATGCCGCGAGGCCAGGGCAGCACACCGGCACGGGCATGGGCACGGGCAAGCTTCCATCCATTGTCCCCAGTGTTCCGTGCTAAGCGTGCTAATCAGGGACTGCCCATACAATCCCCAGCTCCTATTCTTCCCAAGAACCTGAGGTCGGAGATAGGTGGTCGATAATTCGCAGTCACCTACCCAAACTCGGCACTCCAGCCGCTCGCTCTCGGCGGGCCTAGGCCCCCCAGTAGGGACCATGGACCGCTCAAGGAAGCTTGGCCGGGAAGCAAACGCCGTGATTTGAATGGTAACTTACTATGTAACTTAAGCCAGCGTTAACGTTAACTAGGTGAGCTCCAATTCGGCTGTATCGGTCCCGAGATGCATGTTGCGGCTTTGTCTCACAGACAGCAAACAGTGAGCGGCACTCGAATGCCGGTTGTTCGTTCTCCCCACCAAGACCACAACGGCTTCGATCTGCGCGGTCCCGATCGGTACGTTGTTTGCGACAATGAGATGCCCGTATTGGGGTCATTTCCACGTTGGGGGTTTGAAGGAGAAGTCAGTTGTGGTCGGGGCTTCTGTGCTGGGAAAGAGCGGTGGACCCTGGAAACTCATCACCAGCATCACATCACTGCATCAGGAAGGCACGGCCACTTGGTTGTCCATGTTGGGAATCAGCACTTGCCGTGTCACTGACCCGAAACGACACGGCCACCTCCAATTTCTCGAGTCTTTTTGGCACCTTTTAACCCCACTTCCTATGCATTGAATTCAACACTCTCACCCAACGTTTGGCTGTTACCTACCCACCCCAACTACTCCGTATGTAGCCAGAAGAAAGAGAGAAGAACAAAGCAAACGGCACAACAACACAAACAGATTTGAAACTCTGACGGCATCAACGGCATCTAGTGGTTGCACTATGAAACAAGTTATCCCTTCCATTTCCCCAAAAGAACCATTTCCTTCCAGGATCACGGGTCCAACACCCAGGCCCTCACGCACGGGGTCATTCCGTTGTCTTCTTCCTTGCTAACTATCAACTTGGGGGCTAATTCCTCGCCGGACTAGCTCCCCGGGATCTGGGAACACGATGCTGCTTGTGATCTGACATGCACCTATCCGCGTCCCAGCCGCAGTTGACTCAGGTATGGATGGCCGTCTTCTCACGCTTTCGACACTTCCTTTTAGGGCTGTTTAGCCCAGATCGAGACATCAACCGGACAAATCGTCTTCCATCATGACCTCGAACCGTCAACCCATCGAGTCACGATCAAAAGGGCGTTTGCGGTTTGGTCTGTTGACGAAGTAGCTCTTCCTCCGTTGCCGGTTTCACAAGCACACCTGGTTAAACGAACGCACACGCTCACACACGCATGCACACCAGACTTTACAAGTATGACCTTTCGCGGACATACTGCGTATATTCCCGGCCACAATCAGAGATACCAAAACGTCCCACAGGCACAAACCGATGATGGCCGCAGCGGCTGGACTCCGTCTCTCTCGTGGTTCGTCGGCAGGCACAACTTGTTGATCAAAACTGGGGCTACTCCCCTGGCTCGCTTGGGAGTTCTGGGGTCAGGGTGGTGGCCGGCTTGGCTCAAAACGAAGGGACCTAGGCCCGATTCGATCACCCTGTCGCTCGCCATTGAGAGAGTTTTACCTCACCCTTTTCCCCATTGGAGCGAACTGGCTGCTTGACACGAGCCCGCCAAGCGAGCACATGTGTCTCTCCACCCCGAAGTAAAAAATAAAACACACAACCCGCTGGGGGCACACAATGAGGGGGGGGCTGGGACGAGCCGCAAACTGATGGGTTCCACGATCCTGTTGGGGATGCACATCAACCTGTCGAACGAGGCGCTTGTGAAGGGGAAGCCGGAATATCTCGATGGGCAAAAAGGAGGCTCACTGCATGACCACATCGCCTGCATCCACCAGCGCTAGTCGCAGGCCATTCCTTGATATTTCTCCGATCAAGTGACCACTAACATTCACGTTCAGTAGCCTGCTCGACTTCTTCAGCTCGCATCTGGACAACCCCTGGAAAGGACTCGGCGCCAACCAGGAAGAAGTCGACGCCATCGCGTCTCTCCTCCCACGATCGAATCCGGCATCTGATCAACTTTATCCAGCGTGGATGTGACCCTGCATCTCTCTCACTCTCAGGCGCGAACCTCTGCAGTCTTGCGGTAACTAGCTGTCACGCGTCCCCCGCCGTTGGCTGCCGTCTGAGACAACTGCAACTCCAACTGCATCTGCACGAGAACAACTCGGCATTGCTGCTTCGCGGCAACCATGAGACTCGCGCAAGTGCACTCCTCAGAAGACCCCCAATCCAACGGTCGTGTGCTCTGCAACCTCAGCTGCACCGTCGACAGGGGGTAATGGCCTGGGGAATGGGGACAGTCGAGACATGTTGGGCGGGTCCGCCTATCCTTCATCCGCGATAGTGTATAACCTCCCCCCTCCCCTTCCTTTGAGCGCCCCATACCTTGACCGCCGCCAAGTGCAACCTTCGCCAAGTGGCCTCGAACTTTCGATGCCCCCTCCCTTTTTTTCCTCTTATATTTTCCGGGTCTTGATGAGCCCTGAACGCCGGGAATCTCGAAGCCGGCCTGTTAAACGTAATAATATCCGATGCTGAGCTGTTCCGGCCGAAGACTGGGTCTTTTTCCCTGGTAGGGAATAGTCACCGACACAAGACACGGGCAGCTGTCACCACCATCCTGGATCGTCCACGCCTCGTTAAGACACCACCAGCCGCAGCCGAAGACCGGCGGTTTTTAGAACGCCCCGCAAACAAGGATCCCGAGCGAGACGCGCGGGAAGATCTTGATCTAAGTCTCGCTTGAAAGCACCGCTATTCCCCAGCTAAGGCCGCGCTTCGTTGCTCTTCCTCTCAGGGATTTCTCTCTACCTTCGTTCACTTTGACGGAACCTTTCACACACGGTCATTTGCCTCCTCCATGTTTGCTTCCGAACCCCCTTGGAGAATGCAGTACAAAATGAACTTTGCCGGGGAACGGATCTCCAACGGCCACCGGCCAACACGGCCATACAAGCCGTCAAGCAGGGTCCCAGAGGGCCAGGTTGACCCCGAGGAGCTCAGCCGCAGGTTGTATGTCGTGTTGGCGGAGCAAAAGGCGTTGGCCGAACGGAAACGGAGACACCGCGGTGAGGTGCCGGCCCGGAAGGATGTCGTGGCCCATCTCACGAGTAGCCGGCGTCGGGAAGCCGCACGCACGAAGCCCGCTGAACCACCGACCGATTCCGCCACGGACCTAGGGAAGACGGTGTCTGCCACCTCGCGAAATGCACCACGGACGGGAGGCGAGGCAACAGTCCCAGCCGCGGCCCAGCAGGAGCCGTATCACCATGTCCCGCAAGAAGCCGCCAAGCAGTTCACACGGACAACCACGGTCGACAACATGCGCGACAGCAGCCTGGTCCACAAACTCTCCAAGAACGCCCTCAAATTCCACCTAGACGGCGGCCGTCAAGCGCGCCCCGCGGGCAACACCAACAACACCAACCCCAACACCAACCCCCAGGAACCCCCAGCCGCCATCGCTCCGGCTGAGCTGACCCGCGCCCTCCAACAAACCCAAGCCGAGCGCGAACGCCTCCTAGACCGCAACCAATTCCAGCGGACCAGCGCTCTCGAAGACGCCGCGCGTCAGGACCAGCACGCCCCGCCCGCCCCCAAACAACAACACACTTTCCAAGGCGAACTCGCCCGTATCTTGCCTCGTAGCAACAGCACCAAGCATCAGAACCACTCCCGCCGGTACAGCACAGGCACCACGGCCGATATCCTCGCTCACTCCAGCACTGCCGATTCCAACCGTGTCACCACCAGGGGCCCAGGGACAGGACCAAACCCGAACGCCTACGCCCGCCACTCATACATGGCGCCCGATACACTAACCATGGATACCCTCCTTGAAGACGCCGCTCTAGCCCAACATCCCGAGTGCCTCCATCACCACCAGCAACAATCACAAGAGACAACAACAACAGCAGCAGACGACAACCTCACCCGCTTCCCCCCACCAGACAGGGCCAGGACAGACTGGACACAGCGTGACTCTGCCACGGCAGCGGCGAGCGAGAGACAGTGGTTTTCGAAAGGCGGTAGTGGAAGTGGTAGTGGTAGTAATCATAATCATAGTAAGAGTACGAGTGGGAGTGGGCAGCGGTTGTTACTGCTCTCGCCTCTGTCGCCGTTGCTGCGCAAGGCTGATTCGTTGTGGACTTTGAAGGGGCGGAGGGGGAGTAAAGATGCTGGTGCTGCTAGTGGTGCTGGTGCTGCTGGTGGTGCTGGTGGTGCTGCGGTAGGGGGGAGGAGAGATTCTGAATCGGGGTCGAGGTTGAAAACTGGGACTGGGACTGGGACTGGGACTGGGGCTGGGGCTGGGGCCGGGTTGGGATTGGGGTTGTCTTCCGGTGGGAATGGCGTTGTTGAGGGTGGTGGGAGTAATAATAATGTTGGGGCGGATGAGAGTGCGGTGCAGTCGCCTACAACGCCTAAGTTGGGGAAGGGAGGGTTCTTTGGGCGGTTTAAGCGGTTGTCTACTTCTTCATGACGATGGGAGGAATGAGAGTGGGACATGTGAAGTATAGGGTGTAAGGTGTAGGGATAGAAGAGGGAGGCGGGAGTGTACTGTACAAGTTTATGGCTGGTTCGTTAACGGTGGCATCGTTTTCTACTGTGTAGTTGCGCGGTTGTGAAATAATCATGTCCGCCTTTCTGTTGGATCCTTGGCAGCATAATGTGCAACTAAAAGGCGGGAGAAGTCGTCGTACATGCCGAGGTCTGGTCTAAGGTCCATGTTTCAGGCGAGGGATGGAAGGGTGTATGGAAGATGGCGATGACACTATAATGACACGGCGACTTTGCGCCCATTTACCTATCTCCCTTTCTCCCTGTTTCTCCAGCTTGCGCATTCCAATCTTCCCGCTATAACTAACATATAATCTAACACCCAATTCCCAACCAATACCCCATCGCCAAACTCCCAGTCAAATATCCTTGAGAATCCCTGCGCGCCGTTTCATGTTTGCTTGCTTGCCTTGCTTGCGTAGAATCCGACGATAAGCCTCCCGAGTACCCGGTCCATCCCATCCCATCCCGTCCTTTGCACATGCCAGCCGGCTGAAAAGAGACGTGAACAGACCTTGACAAAGTGAAAAATGGAAGAGAGAAAAAATCATACAATATCGCGACACATGAACAAGCCCAATCAACCGACCGACCAACCAACCAACCAAGTCCACCTATCCTCATATCACAGCCAGGCACATCTTATCTTACCCTACCCTCTCCTCTCCTGTGCCTAGTTCACCCCCCCTCCTCCCTCAACAACCTCTCAATCAACCCCCTCTCCTCAGCCACAACCTCCCTCCTCACCTTCTCAATCCCATTCACACCCTGCCGCTCGCCACTCTCCAACTTCCGCTGCTCCCGATCCCGATTCAGCAACAACTTGACCAACTCACAAAACTCACGCACCCCATCACCCGTATCACTCGGATCCGTCCTAGCCCGCCGGAGCGCTTCGGCACCGCGACGCAGGCCGATGTCGCGCGACCAGGGTTGGGGGGTGTTGTTGTTGGTATTGTTGTGGTTTCGGTTGTGATGGTGGTGGGGGTGGGATTTGTGGCGGTTGGAGGACCAGGTGTTGTTGGGGTTGTTTGCGGGGGCTGATGATGGTAGGAGGGGTGGGGGGAGGGTCTTTTCTTGGATGCGGGTCAGTTCGGCGGCGAGGGAGGGGTATTTGGTGAAGAGGTGGGTGAAGGTGTCGCGGTGGTCGAGGAGGATGCTGTAGGGGTCGTCGGGGGTTGTGTTGGTGGAGTTGGGATTGGGGTTGGCGGTGGTGAATGTTGTTGTGGGTTCGGGCTTGGGAGCGTCGGGTGGGTGGTTCTCTTTGTGCTGTTTGTTGCAGGCGACGGAACAACTGGTTAGGTTAGTTAGTCTCTGCCGACACATACACGCTAAGGAGAAAAGCAAAAGGAACATACTAGGGCATTGCGCATCGCGGGCACTTGTACTTTCCCGGTTGCGCTCCGCATACGCCGCACGGCTTTGCCTCTCGCTTCGTGCGCGGGCCGTCCGGCTCGGCGTCCGATGCTGCTGCGCCCGGATCGGCGGTGGGATCTGCCGGTACTACTGCTGGGCGTGGCGACGGCGCGGACGCCACTGCGGGCTCTTTGGGGGACGCATCGCCGAGCATGGTGTGTGGACTCGAGCTGCCGTGCTCTGTGGTTGGCATGGTGCCGGTGTTGTTGTTATCGGTGCGGTTGCCGTTGCTGGTGTCTTGATCCAAGCTCATGGCGAGTTCTTTTATCTGTGTGTTGTACCGATTGCGCGCCGGAGAAGGGAGAAGAGAAAAGCCGAGGACGAGGAAAAGTAAATAAACACTGTTTCCCCTGGGTTTACTGGCGCGGGGTGATGGAAGTCGAAACAAAGATTGAGTTACACGCGGCGCGGTACCAATCAGATGCAAGATCTAGTCAATTTCCGACGGCTGCCGAGCTGATATCGGCGCGGGTTGTCGCGATAGGTAACGGATAACCGGTGGTTGTGTGCCGGTGTGCAGCTTGTCGCACCTGCAGTTCTAGAATATCGCGTCGAAAATCGACCCCCGGCTCCGTCCTGCAGGTGATTGCGATTGCGACTGCGATTGCGCGCGAATCAATGTGAATTGTTTTTTCGGAATGGAACGGGTGACGAAGGAATTCAGCCACTGAGATCAAAGATGGACCTGCTGTTGGACACGCGCTGGAGAAAGCAACCTGCAAGGTGCCACCGGAGAACCAGCAAAAAATTTAGAGGAGCAGGGGGCCGCTATGACGCAAACCCAGGGTTCAGTGGGGTCCATTCCATTCTGCGGGGCCGATTTGGTCGGGCGACTCGGAAATGCTGGGTTTGTCAGCTCCCGGTGCGAAGACGGATGCGCTGCGGCAATGCTCGGAGCCCCACAGCGACATTTGCTTCTCTTCTTCAACCTCGAAATCTCAAATCGAGAACGAAAACACAACAAAAATCAACAAATACGACCTATACACATAAGCCACCGACTAAGAAACCCACGATGCCGTCAAACAAGCTAGTACGCGGCTTCTCGCCGCTCCTCACCCACACAACCCGCGCCGTCAAGCCATCAGCAGCAACAACCTGCCTCCGTCTCCAACAAACCGCATCCGCCACCACAAAACGAACTTACACCAGCAGCACCACCCGCAACAACACTCCCACATCCTCCTCCCCCCTCCGCCCCCGCCTCCCACCACCAAGAAACACCCAACCCTGGCAATCCCTCCTCCCGCAAACCACCCGCCGCACCATCTTCATCCAAACCGAAACCACCCCCAACGCTGACGCCCTCAAGTTCCTCCCGAACCACCGCGTGCTCCCCGAGCAGCTCACAACCCCCTTCATCGAGTACCTCAACCCGCGCTCGACCATCGCCCCGCCCTACCCCTCCCCGCTCGCCGCCCAGCTCATGAACATCGACGGCGTGACGTCGGTGTTTTACGGCGCCGATTTTATTACGGTTACGAAGGCGGCCGATGCGAATTGGGCGCATATTCGCCCGGAGGTGTTTGCGTTGATTACCGAGACGATTACCTCCGGGCAGGCGATTGTGAACGTGGCTGAGCGGGGGGCGGCAGGGGCCGCGGGGGAATCTTCGGAGGAGACGGCGGAATTGGATAGTCTGGCGTATGATGAGAATGATAGTGAGGTGGTGGGGATGATTAAGGAGTTGTTGGAGACACGGGTGCGGCCGGCGATTCAGGAGGATGGGGGGGATATTGAGTTTCGGGGGTTTGAGGACGGGTATGTGATGTTGAAGTTGAGGGGGGCGTGTCGGACTTGTGATTCGAGCACGGTTACGTTGAAGAATGGGATTGAGGGCATGTTGATGCATTATGTGAGTTTTTTTCTTTTTCCTTTTTTCTTTCCTTTATTTCATTGTTACGACTTTGCTGGACCATGAGCTAACCCCATGCTACCAGATCGAAGAAGTCAAGGGTGTCCATCAGGTGCTAGACGAGGAAGAGGAGATCGCCTTGAAGGAGTTTGCCAAGTTTGAGGAGAAGCTCAAGGCGCAAAAGGGCGAGGTGCCGCCTTCGACGGTGGGTAAGGGGTCGCTTGATACCGTCGCTTGAAGCGGTCTCTAGCTGGGGCTCACGGATCTAGTAGAACTTGCTCATGCAAGGAGATTCAACGGTTGTATGCTAAAACGATACATGATGCGTATATTATAGCGTGGCACGGTGGTTTTGGATGCAACAAGGGGACATATTACTCTTGTCTCTGGAGTGGCTCAGGTGGGAAATCTAACCGTCGAGTCCATGGGAATGAGAATGCTCCCAGCTCAGCGAGCTTGAGACTCGGCCCTTGCTCAAAACGCCGTCCCGAGCCTCAAGTCTCCTGGGCTCGGTTCAACGTCGTCTACAATGGGGCTGCCCTTAAAGCAACATGTTCCACCAATTGCAGCGCTCTCCATCGTCATACGGGTAATGAATTCAACTAACCGCTTGCCCACGGACCTGCGCACATATGCGGTACACTACTTGCCAAGAAGAGCCCCGCGAGGTTCAATTCAACGGAAATTCCGAGGTCGATGTGGTTGCACAGAACAGCAACCCGATGGGCGTTCCCCTCCAATCCGACCAGTAACAAAATGCCTTTTTTTTGGTCTTTTACGTTACGGACTGCCTAAAGTCAGTTTCAATCAGCGACACTAACCTCAAACGAAGGTCCTTGCAGGTGTTGCAAAGATCACAAGATGATGATGCATGGATCCTCTGCCTCGTCAGAACTAGTGTAGCGGCGGCGGCGCCGATGATATTGAACGAACAGCTTTATCAGCTCCCCGAGAAACCACCCACCCAATTGCTCCAAGAGAGCGTTCGTTCCAATTCCCAAGCAATTCGGCCCCCATTTCCCCACCGCGGAAGCCCGATTTCCGAAGGGTACACCACCCAGAATACGGATTGGGCCGCTTACATAGTTACACACACAACACACACACACACACACACTCGCACACACACAACGCGCGCATACACACACACGACGAGGTCGATTTCGGGTGTCCTACCCGGAATGCTGATGATGATGCGATTTACCCCAGTCCCGGGAAGAGGGGTGCCACCCAACCACTGTGCCACTTCGTTATCGCCGTAGCTTGGTTGGGTTGGGTTGGAGTCAGCGCGGCAGGACAGGGGACGGGAAGCAGGGGGGGGTTGAAACGGAAATCCGGGGAGGCTTGTCCATTTGCGGCGTGGACGTTGCGGGGCTAGAAATACACTGGTGTTGTTTGGCAACTTGAAGCTCCAGTTAGCAGTGTAAAAGTTCGGGCTAACTATGGGATGTGTTGGTTTGTTTCTTGATAACTCATTTTGTATCGTTGGATCATTGCTTGAGCAACGGATTACCCCCTCTTCTTGGGACTTCGTTCCGTGGATTGTTTCTCCACTCAGACATTAGCTCGATTATTACGAGATTCCTTTCAGTTGCCTTAGTGTAGAGAAAGATAGAAGATTGTTTCTTGTCCTGCGTGTCGGCCGGGGCTATGAAGGCTTGGCTTGCTGAGAGGATTCCTTGACGCAGATTTGGTTGGTTCTGATGTTTGAAGGAAGAGATGGTTTTCTGAGTTGTTGAGGCTGTTCGTTGGCTGTGTAAACGTTCTGAGGTGGCAAAGACGGCGATCAGGCATATTTTGGCTGGGTCGAAATGGTTGAGGGGAGTACTTAAGAGAAACAAATGTGAGCGTTGCCGCGGTTTAGTTCTTATTTTTGTGTTCATCCTCGGCATGGATTACAGCAGAAGAAGCTCATCCGAAGGACAATGGATCACAAAGTCGAAACCAACGCTTCCCCAGAGGTTGCCCCGGCCGCCCGCTGCACCAATCTCGAACGCCAACTCACACATTGGGTGTGCATATTGTTCGGCTTGGCCCTCGATATCATCCTCCGAATATATGTGTGGCCCTTCGCTTCGGGCATGCCGTACTTGCGCTACTTCGTCATCGGCACGCGCTTCGCTATTGGGTTCGGGGAGACGCGATTGCATCAATACCTGACCGGCGAAAAACCCATCAACCTTTTGTTTCAATTCACTGCCGGCTTCTTACCGGGTCTCCTTGTCGATGTTGGGCTCGGGCCGTGCTTTCAGGATTGTCGGGTTGTATCCTGGGTGGCCCGGGGATATTGCAAGTACAGATAGACGAAGCTCTTGACTCGTGCTGTCCGACCTGTTCGAGCTGTTGTCCGTTGTCTATGGGGCAGAAATATTTAGCAAATTTAGGGGTTAAAGTCGGTCCTGAGACATAATGAACTTCTCGCGTTGGGCGATTGAAGATGTTACTTAGATACGGATTTCCCCAAATCACCCAGCTGGTGTCTTAATTTTACCGCTGTATTTGGTCGGTTCGTCTTTTGTGGGAGTGCGCTTTTCTCTCGGCGATCCTTTGAATCAAAAGGCCGCTTACACACCTGCGCGTTGAGAAGTGGCTTTTCCCTTCGAGTCTTCTACAGCTAGGTTAGTTCCGTAGAAGCAATCTCGAAATTTCTTTGCCCATATGTTTTCGCATGCGTGACGTAGTGGCGCCACTAGACCCGACCATTGAAGGGAACTAGCAGCCCACTAGGTGTTCGATTGTCATCCTCGATATTTGGATATCCCAAGGCCGGTGAAGCGCCCTCGAGGTCTTGTGAGAAGCGCGAGCCACTGAGCATGGAGCGAGCCAGCTTCCCGTCCTGCAGAGCTGCACTGTTGTGGCCGTTTTTGGCCACCTGCAGCCCCGGAAAACGTGCATTGTGCCGAAATTTGGTGGGCGAGCAGATCGCTTGCGTTGGGATATGCACGGCGGCGGCGTGACCAAAGCTGTCGAACGTCTCGCCCCAGTCCCTAAAACCGATGATGATATTCAGGAGAACTATAATCCCGACTGGAAGCTGGTGAAAGGTGTGACGGTGTGACTTAGCCGACGGACTCTCGCTTCCCCACGGCAAGTTGTCGCTGTGGGGCGACCCCGAACCACTTCTCCATTCATCCTCAGGCCTGGAAGACAAGAACCTCCAATTCTCGGCGACGTTGAGCTGACGTGTGGTGACGACTTTGGTTTAGATATTTGGCTGTGGTAAGAGCCTGTGATCTTTCTTGATCAAACGACTGTGGCGTATATTTTCTTCTCCGATTTCATCCCCGTCAAGTTCTGGCTAGGAAGGAGCTATGAGACCGCACCTGCTTCATCGAGTGACACAAACTACACATGAAGATGATGGGCCCCTCTTTCCCCGCGCCGTAATTCGAGAACCCTGGGCTGCCAATTGGAACAAGGGTTAGAAGATCATGCGACCATGGGAAAGTCTGATGCCGCTCGCCGCACAGTGTGAAATATGGAGAGAAATAACACGGTGGAATAATGTTCGTGCCAAGCCGGCGTAGTTTTACCGATCTTCGATGAGCTTCGAGGTGGCCGAGGTGGCCTCGAGGATGGGTGCAGAGGTCTTTGAACTGGCAAGTGACGTATGGGTCTGTGTTCAACGGTTGCCGCGATGGGGGGTACGCCGTCTTAGAGACTCGAGACATCTGGCGCCGAGCTGATGGCGAAACTAGAAAGAGACAGATACAAGGCTATCGTTGCACCTGAGGTGCTTGCTCCCTTGCTGGGAGCTACTGTGCAACCCGGCTCCCCGGCCTCTTGACGATATGTGCTGGGACTGAGCTAGGCTATCTACAGGTATTGATTGTCTCCCTGCTGTGGCTCTGCTGTTAGCGATCTCTTGGTGGGACTTGGGGAGACCCTCGAATGTTGGTCATAGGCGCAAAGTGTTATTCTATTTAATTACTTCGCAGGTGATTTATGGCAACCCCCATTGCATCTAGTTGATCGCAGGAGATACCTACATAGTACGTGCGTCGTGGGCTTCCATCCAATATTTCAACCCCTCACCGAGGTGTCGTTCGGGAAGCACCGATGGAAGGGATCGAGACCCCAGACAGTGCAAATTTTGCGCTAACACTGACCTTGTCCAGGGCGACCCCAACGTCCCATCCATTCCATTCCATCTGGTGACGGCGAAAGCTGCGTGCGAAAGCTGTGCCTCGCACCCTATGAGAAAAGTTTCGAGCAGTAGGTCCACGGCGCCTCGTGGAGCACAGCGCCAACTATGGTCTTTATCAATGCATGGCGCTCCATGATTAGCCAGGTCTCCACTCATTGCCCTCTCGAGCCTCTGATTTTCGCCTTCTCGCCTTCATGTGTCCGCCCCCAACGTTCTTCGCAGAGCGACGCTTGTCTGGCACGCACCTCGAGTCCCGGTTCTCCGCCGCTTGATTTGAGGGTCGGGCAGCGGGCATTGAAAAGACACGAGAAACCAACCTCGGTGATATGTTCCACTCCAGATGCTGCACCTTTTACTATGTAATGCTCTCCTATTTCAGTCGTTGGGAAGAGAAGCGTGATATGAGCCGAAAAACCGTTTTACTGCTTTCTGCGTGCAAGTGCTGTTCCCAAGGCCCCGTTCCTGCTGCGTCGATGCCCCTTGCCACGGCGTCAACGTATCGACCGGGCTGGTCCACGTTTGGTTAGCCTGACAGAACTGGACCGGGATTCTAGCCATTCACCAAGCAGCGTCCTTCCCCCAGCTTTCCCCGCTCACACCTCGATGGGGCTCCCAGCGCACGAGCACGCTTGACCTGGAACCTCGACCACCTCCATCCTAGAACCTCGAACACTCATCTCTTTCATTCACTCTTTACCCTCCCCCTTCTTCCCCGCCGTCGTCGCTCGTCATCCCACTTCCGTTCTCCCACTTCGCCCCGCAGCCTAGTGACCACCACGCGACACCAAGGACGCGCATTACACAAGCTGTCAAAGCCCCTCATCGCCTAGGACGCACAAACCTGTTCCATCCTGCCCGCGACACGCGATCTGCGATTCCCCAGTTTGTCTCTCCGCACGTCGGCTGACAGCGGCTCCCGCCTGCAATGGGAGCTCGACTTCGCGATTAGCGCCGTCGCATGTTTTTAATCGACGAGGCGCACGCCAAAAAAACCTCACAACCTCCTCAATCGTCTGTCTCTCTGATTTCCTCGACGGCGAGCGAGTCTCCTTGTGGTCGGACCGAAATCGGCTCCCTCCCTCTTACATCGTCCTCTTCTTCCCAACCCAGGGCGCCTCAGCCTCGGCCGCGACGGCCCCTCCTCGGCCTGTCTGCCCCGCGTGGCTGCACCACCCGCGCCTCGAGAGCCCATTTGATTTTTCCTATACATTTCTTTTCCTTTCCCTAGACACTCTTGTTACGACAATTCCGACGACACGAGGAACGAGAAGAATAGACGCGGAGGAAGCGATACCCAACCCCGTTGATATAGATATAATCCGAGCTGCGTTTCTTGTAAGTTTCCCTCATTGTATTGTTGTATCTTGACGGCAACTCCCAGGTGGCAACAATGGCTTTCGCTTTGCGCTTGTGATTATCATGGGCGAGAGATTTTGTGACTGATTTGCTTCGCTACTTGTTTCATTGCCGTTCCCGCCATCTGACCCTGTTACTCAACGCCTGCTGACCTGTCCCGTCACAGTTGACTGATTTCGAGACCAATCCCCCTTTTGTAATTCACTCTCATTCCCAACCCCGTGATCATGAGTTCAGGTGTGATTAAACCCGGCACTACACCCAAGCCGGGGCAAAACAGTTTCCCGGCTGGCCCGCCAAGCAGCCATGCTATACTGCTGGAGAAACTGAACCGAAGATCCACCCCGGACTCCGAGGCACTCGCAAGTTCCGACGACGAGCCCGATAACCACCGTCAGGATGTGCTTCCTCCCCCAGTCCAACCCACACAGCCTGTGCGTCGCTCGTCCTGGCTGAACGACACCTCGCAACAGCCGCTACCCCGCCAAGCCCAGAGGAAGGGCTCTTTTGCGAGCACGTCGATGTCTCCTACAAGCTCACATCCCGCTACGCCTTCTGTTGACTCGGGCGTGACGGCTTGGGGTTCCCATGCTGCCACTACCGGGGTTCTAGGAAGGGCTCACTCGGGTGCCGGTTCGTTTCCTTGGGGAACTGGGATTTGGAACAACGAGCGAAAGGAGCCTCCGTCTCGCCTTACCGAGGTTTTGCCGTCGCCTACCTCTACGGTTGCTCCTGGGGTTCAGAACAGCGCCTTCTTCGGTGTCGACAACGGTTTGGCTCAGACTTCGCCAGCAACGAGAGACGCCCCGAACTCGCAGATTCCATTTGCGATTCCGTTGCACCCCACGCCCAAGACGTACCGGTCCCAATCCTACTCAGTGGGTCAGCTCGAACCAGAATCCGTTGCTGCCGGATCTATGGCCGCCAACCCGCCGGTAATGAACACTCGTCGGACTATGGGGCACCCCGGCCTTCAGCATCGACCTTCTCGCCCGAGCATGTTGAGCGAGATGTCGAACGACAGCAGTATGCTGGGTAAGGTAAATGAGGATGAGGATGACGACAGCAGTGGTTCTATGCAAGGGAGCCAGCACCAAGACCCGGCAAAGACCATTGAGATGCTTACTCGGGAAAACATGATGTTGCGCCAGCAGCAGTACCAGAACGCCCAAAATGCGCGACTTCGCCCCCGAGCCTCGACAGCAAGCGCTTACGGCCTAAGCTCCAGTTATTTACAGGACATGCCAGAAGAATCCGATTACGCGGTCGATGAGCACGACGAGCTGAACGACGGGCCGGATGCAGCTTCTCGGAGGGGCGGTGGACGCAGGATGAGCGAATATGGCGTGGGCCCGTACAACAAGACTCCATACATGGTTGAGAACCGCAAGCTGGAAAATGTTAAAAAGGCTTTCTGGCAGAGTTCGCTTGGCTTCGGCGGGCTGGGAGATATTCCGCAGAGCCGGCGACACTCGTTTGCGGACGTTCCCACTCGGCAAGCATCCATCAGCTCTATTGGAGATGTCCATCAGGCACACGAATCGGCGGCCCAAGAACTTGGCCACGGCCCAGACCTGTCCGCGGCATACACCGACAACCACGGATATGCCATTAACAACCAAGGTGAGCACTATTTTCAACCAGTGCCTCGCTCACTTCCTATTCTGACCATGGATACAGTACCGCCTTACTTTGGCGGTGGGGCTGCTGCCGGCCTAGGCGGTACCCAGCAAGGACTCGCACCGGGCGCCTATGGAAACCACCTCCCGTCCCCTTACACGGCGATGCCCAATTCCTATGCCCATCGCCCTACCTCCCCTCACCGCAGCATGTACGGTATGGCGCAGCCGCGGCATAACCAGTCACTCCACATCGTTCTTTTCAAGTGCGCCAGGGCCGACGTTTTCTACATCCAAGAGGGTACCGGACTGAACGTTAAGCCGGGCGACCTGGTGATTGTTGAGGCGGACCGTGGTACCGATCTGGGCACTGTCGCACGAGATAACGTCGACTGGCAGACCGCGAAGGAGCTGAAGGAACATTACGCCGAGGAACAGTACCGGTGGCTGATGATGTACTCCCAAAATGCAGCTGCCGCGCATGAAGGTGCCGGCGCCGGCCTCATGGCAGCCAGCAACGGTCTACAGGGCAGCGCAGTCGGCGGCATGGGTCCCCCGAGCCAGCACCATCATCTCCAGGAGCCCGGTTCCGGAGAACTCAAGCCGAAGTTGATCAAGCGTCTCGCGCAAAGCCACGAGATCCATGCATTGCGGGAGAAGGAGGGCAATGAAGCAAAGGCTAAGCGGGTTTGCCAGCAGAAGGTCAAGGAGCATGGGCTCAACATGGAGATTCTTGATGCCGAGTTCCAGATGTGAGTTTTCTGCGCAATTTATACGGTATTGATGGGACGGACGCTAACTTGGAATAACAGGGACTGGAAAAAGCTCACCTTCTACTATTTCGCCGACACATACATCAACTTCAACTCCCTCGTCACCGATCTGTTCAAGATCTACAAGACTCGCATCTGGATGTCCGCCATCAATCCGGCATCGTTCGCCAGCCCCACCCTCGGGCTGCAAGCACCCAGCGGTGTCGGTCCCGGAGCAGTGGTGACGCGGTCCGCCGCAGCCTCAACTCGTCACCAAGATACGCAGCCAGAGCCGCAGGCTTCCTACTCAGGCTCCAACCAGGCCGGTCGTGGCAACCAGCAGCCCGCTTACACCGCGCCTTTTAGCGAACGTGCCGTGGCGCCTGGATCAAACTTCCCTGCCGCGAATTACCCTTACCAGCAGCCTTACAACGCTTTCGCCAATGCTGGTCGCGGAGGCGCGGTGCCGTACAGCCCAGGTTTGATGCAAGGTCTGGATGCTTTCCCCGGCGGGTTCCCCCAACCTGGGGGAGACTTCGCCGGACGTGGACGTTACCCAAGCCCGCAGTCTGCCGGTGGTCCCCAGCGTGAACAGGGCCTCCCACCTCTCGGCGCTCAAGGAGATATCCTTGGGTCTTTCCAGGGGCTGTCGTTGGGTTCACGCTAGCATGGGTACTCGAATATGGATCAAGACGAATCTACCGAGGAATGCAATCATATATCGGCTGTTTCTTCTTCTCATTTCTTTCTGATTTTCGTTCCTACTTGATCGCCAGCTTTCATAAATGCTCCAGATTCCCTTACACCCGGAAACGACGATACAGAAAAAGAAGATGGGTGGGGTACGAAAAACTATAGGGGTAACGGCCAAACCTTCTGTAACGAGAACATGGGACCATGTTGATACCACCTTTTCCGACTGCCGCACAACAAGGCCGGTTTACCTCGCTTTATCGGGCGTCGGCCAGCTCTTTTAGTCGAAAGGGGATGTTTGTCACGGATACACTGTCTTGGTTTTCCTTTCATTTCCTTTCGGGCGAACTTGATTCACTCACGGTTTAAGACGGGCTTTACATTTTCCCGGGCTTTGCGACTTTTCACCCCGACCTCCCCCCTTTTTTCCTGATTTTAATACTACGAAGATTGTCCCTTGGCTTGGGTGGCCGGTCGGAGTACACTCGCTTTCTTCTCTTTCTTTCCCTCTCTGCTTCCACTTACCCATTCTCTTCGACTATGACGCGATTGCTGCCTGCTTGTCACCACCCTTTGATGAACTGAAAGATTTTTCTACTTTTCTTCTTCTGGCTTTCCTCATTCTCCCCATTTTCTTTTCTTCCCTTGATAGACAGACACACCACACAAGACTGAGAGGGCTCGGGGCTTTCTTTGGCAGCAGGCATTGTGTAATTTCCGAAGAAAGACGGATGGACTTACAAAATGGGACAACCTTTTGTGGAAAAGTTCGGTTTGGTTAGGGGGTGTGATGTGGGATACCTGTCGTCGCAGTGCATACAAATTATAAGACTTGGGCTTTTCCGGTTATTTATTCATTTTTCATAATCGTCTACCTCCCTGTGACTTGTGCCAGATAACAATATCTGGAGTTGGTTGCTATTCCAGACCGTTGCTCACAGGTTCAGCTTGATGTGAACATTAGCAAGCGTTTCAGCTTTTTAGACACCTCAACGGACAACTTGCATCGTCCGTCCGTTTGGCGAATCAACACCTGACTCCGACCTAACGAAGGCAGGTGGGAAGGATCGCCATTGCCTTGACCCGGTCGGACACCGCCGGCCCGAAGCAGATAATTTTTATGCGAGGCAGCCGATATATCTGGTTGCGCTTTCCTTATGAGCATGGCCAGGAGAGGAAAGTGCAAAGGACAACATGCCTCCGATAACACGCCACAGGACAAGAACCGACCGCAGATGCTCCCCTTTTTTACCTTTATTTTATGTACGTTTAGCGAACCCTCTTCTAAGATTTGGTAACCGCACTTCTAGCCGTTTTTCCTTCCTCCTGCTGTCCATCAAGTTTCAATCCCCAAGATTCAAGAGTTTTGTCACCCGTAACTCGACCGCCAAACCATGCCGGCCAAACGCAAAGCTGGAAACTCTGCGCCAGCGGCCAGGAAAACTGGTCCAGGAGCCAAGTCTTCTCGTACAACCAAGACTTCACTCACCTCTGATGACAACGAAAGCGACGTGCCTCCTTTTAAGCCGGCCAAAAGAGCACGCGGGGCGACTTCTCAAGCCGCGAAGGACGACGACGACGATGACGATGACTTGGGATATGGGAGGTAGGGCGTCGATTGGTCATCCTGCGGTTGCTTTGGTTTTCGGTGACTGACTGTGTAAAAAAGGGGGCCCGCTAAGTCAACGACCATTGAACAACACTTGATGGACCAGAACAAAAAGTCCAAGGAGTTCATTAGTGCGTTTAAAAGCCAGATTGCGGAGGGTCGGGAGCAGACTCAGGCGGCGTTGGCCAAACTTAGACGGGAGCTGTTCGTGGCATCCCATATAATCCGTTGTTGATTTACAATGCCAGAGCTAACATATCAAAACACAGGGGCGACCCTCAGAACGATAGCAGCAACAATATGGCAGAGATCTTCACGGTCCTGCAAACTAGTGTGCGGACTGCCCTTTCTGCGGATGATAACCCACTTTTTGAAAAGACCCAACAACTTGTGAGCCTCAGCCACGCGATCCTCGATTGCCACCGGAAGGCGGAGAGAGACTCGCGTAAGCAGAACATTCAGTCCCCTCGAGAGATATGGAAGCAGGACGAGGAGGGCATGCGGAAACTGCTGGAATACGGTAAGATATTTGGCGAGAAGGTGGTTGAGGGCTGGATTAGCCCGGATGACCGTGGAGGGGACAGGGAGAGTCAAGAGGAAAGTGATAACGTGGATGAAGGGGAAGATAGTGAGGTCGAGAATCTGGCTAAAGGGTTGTTTGAATGGCGGCGGAAGGGCCGGGGATTGGGGAAGAGTGATGAGAGCTGGGGGGGCTTGGCAAGGAAGCAGATGGTTGCCATGGCGGGGGTTGTGAGGACACTGCCTTCGGAGTTGAAATAAAAAAAGGTTAAGCGGTATCGACGGGATGTTTCCATGTTGCTATGGGCGGATGTATCTTGATGGACGGCTGTCGACGGCGAAGCTTAAAGGAGGTGATGAAAACTACAACGTAATTTTATGTGAGATGCAGAGACCCATTGCCATCCAAAATACACCAACTTTCAAGAAAAAACAGTTTCAAACATTTTTTGCCAAACCGCCTTTAAACAAATTAAGGAAAGAAACTCGGGCAACTATCAGCTCTTAGTAAATTCTCCCATGAAGACGAGGTGAACCGACTGCTGTTAACAACAAAACATAGAGGGGTGTGGGGTAGCGCCAAGACCTGTCGTCGAGATCTGTTGTGTGGAGCTCAGACCAACAATCTAGTCCGAATTAGGATAAGCGTCCATGCCCTTCGGTTAGGGCTTTTGCTTCCACAATTGCAAGACTTCCGAAATTTTGTTCCCCGACTCTCACGACCCTTGGCTGGATTCCCTCAAACCGTACTAACAACAGGAATTCGTGGTTGGTGCGTATATCCCGCTCCTCCGTATTTCGACGATACAATCAATTTTCTACTCTTTTCAACGATTCCGACTTTTTCACCCGAAACTCGTTGGCAACGGGGTGCTGACCTGCGAAATTTGCACAGGCAAAATGGGTGCCCTTAAGTACCTCGAGGAGCTTTCGAAGAAGAAGCAGAGCGATGTCTCCAGCTTCCTTCTCCGGGTTCGCTGCTGGGAGGTTAGTTAAAAGCACCCTCGAATTCGTGGACGACGGCCGAACGGTGGTTTTCCTTTTCGACGACTCGCGAAAATCTTTTTCTCTGTATCTCGTGCTCAATACCGATTGGGAAACTCGAGAGAAAGAAAAGAGAGACCGAGACACTCGACGAAACGAAAACCACCGAATCGAACCGGCGTTCTTGCTATACACTCGTTGAACATTTGCTGAGAGTGCATCAATATAGCTCCGCCAGTTGAACGTCATCCACCGTGCCTCGCGGCCCAGCCGCCCCGACAAGGCCCGCCGTCTCGGCTACAAGGCCAAGCAGGGCTATGTCATCTACCGCGTGCGTGTCCGCCGTGGTGGCCGCAAGAGGCCCGCTCCCAAGGGCGCCACCTATGGTAAGAAATTTCCACCTGGCGTGGCGTGAAGGAACTGGCACATGGGGGAGAGTCTCGCAGGAAGAATGGAAGCTGACCTAGAATTCTTTCCTCTCCTCTAGGCAAGCCCACCAACCAGGGTATCAACCAGCTCAAGTACCAGCGCTCGCTCAAGTCGACCGCTGAGGAGCGTGTTGGCCGCCGCTGCGCTAACCTGCGCGTCCTGAACTCGTACTGGATCAACCAGGACTCGACCTACAAGTACTACGAGATCATCCTCGTGGACCCCCAGCACAAGGCCATCCGCCGCGACCCCCGCATCAACTGGATCGTCAACCCGGTTCACAAGCACCGCGAGTCGCGCGGCCTCACTGCCACCGGCAAGAAGTCGCGTGGTCTCAACAAGGGCCACCGCTACAACAAGACCCGCGCTGGCCGGAGAAAGACCTGGAAGCGCCACAACACCCTGTCCCTGTGGCGTTACCGGTAAACGTCTCGCCCCGGACAGGCGACGGCGTAACGGAATTAGCGATCCGAAAGACGGCGGTGTTCTTCTGGCCGTCCTGGTTCTTCAATTGTTTCATGCAGTGGAGTCGTGGGATATCGGACAGGCTGGCCCGCCTGGCGGCGGGAGGGGGTATGATGCCGCGACACAGCGGCGGTGTCATGCTTCCATTCGGACGGAGCATTGGGATGGTGGAAACTTCGGTTTAGTTGAACAGAAAGAAAAAAAGGAATGGACAGGCGTCCTGCGTGGCGCATTACATGATAATTGCCCGCATCTTATGTCTTGGTGTTTTTATGAATGGCATTGTGATTCCCCTTTGGCCCAGAATTGGGCTTTCATGTTGTGTCCCTCATTCTCCCGCCTTTCCAGTGACCCAGTGCTGTTTTATCAAGTCGTTTTTGTCCCATGGTTTGTTTCTGATCATCTACCATATAATATACTATGTAGGGTTGGGCATCCCGATAGACGAAGAGACGTAAAACAGGACAGACCAAGAGACATAAACGATGACAAGCAAAAGATGTGAAATACAACAGTCGAAGGGACGTAAAACGCAACAGATAAAAAGACCTGTAACCCAACAGACGAAGAGACGCAAAACCCGGTAGACGAAAGGATGTGAAATACAACAGATGAGGAGACGTGAAACATAACAGACGAAGGCATGCAAAACATAGTAGGCGAAAGGGCGGAAAATACAATAGACGAGGAGACGTGAAAGACGATAGACGAAAAGATGGAAAACGCAGTAGATAAAGAGACAGAAAACAAGATAGACAAAGAGATGTGGACGAAGATACATAAAACACAGTAGACAAACAGACGGAAAATACAATGGACGACAAGATCGGAAAACCGACAAACAAACCAACAGGAAACACAGTATCTAACAAGACAGGAAACACAAACAGACAAAGAGAACCGAAACACAGCCCACAACAGCACAACTGTAAGGCATAGGAGAGTAGCACAACCAAGAATTCAAAACACACTCAATCAATTCATAACATAACATACATTTTGAACACTCAAGGACATGTCACAACATACACTATCTCAGAACAAACCACATCGCCACCTCTACCATCCTCACCATCACTATCACATCCACCATCACCACTTATTACCACCTATCACCACCTATCACCACCTATCACCACCACTGTGACCATCACACCACACAACCCTCACCACAACCCTCACTAGCCCCCATATAAGGATATAAAACCCATGTTTTGCAAGTGTGAATGGCGTTAATCGCTCTTCTAAGTTACAGACAAGTTCAAAACCCAAGGCTTTGAGAAAAAAATCCATGCGTTGTCATCCTCAAAACGCAACGCAAGAGAAAGAGAGGAGGGGAGGAGGGGGAAGGGTAAAAACCCAATCAAAGCTTACTACCGAAGAAGAAAACCAAGACCAGCCCAAACCCAAACCCAAACCCAAGCCCAAGCCCACGCCGAGCCACGCCGAGCCACGCCGAGCTTGCTGCCCCTTCCTCGCTGCGATTCTCTTCCCTCTCGGCACCCTCTCGGCACCCTCTCGGCACAAAGGACCAGAATTTCCACCCCAGAATCACCAACCGTACCACTGCCAGCCTTCCTTCCTGCCTCTGATACATGTCGACCCCTTCTCCAGTCCATGTGTTCTCTTCGCTTCCTCCTGCTTCTCTAGCATCACCATTATGAGGCAACTCATGCCAGATCAAGAGACTTTGTGCGTCCCGGCCAGCTAGTGAGTGTTCCCCCTCTACACCGTGCGATATTACCAGTGATCTTGTCGAGAAAATCGGTCGGTTGGGTGAGAATGGAGAGAGGCCTGAGAAAGCAGTAGAAAGGAAAGAACAAAAAAAGTCCAAAGCCCAAAGCACTCCGAAAAGTGTGGAACCCCTTTACTTCCCCACGACCGGCAACAGACGTTGATGCCTAGTTAGCACGGTAAACGTAGATGTGAAAATCCACTGGGGAGTGGGAAAAGCGGGCGAAGAAAACGAAAAGAAAAAGGAAAACTAAAAACTAAAAAACGCCAAGGCCAGATGTGCAAAACGCAAGACGAAGAACCCGTAAACGCCCCGTCAAATGGGTTGTTGTCGCAGCGGCGGCCTGCTATGAGGGAGGGCGATACCATGATGAGACTAGTCGAGCTGAGTCGAACCGGTCCAGCCATCGTATCGCAACGCATCCAATCGATCGTTTCCCGTTAAACATTGGGTGACGAAAGAGGGAGGATCAAGTCGTGATCCTACCTGCCCTTTGTATCGAATTCTCGGAGATTTCCAGAAACCAACCATCTGTCGACAAATGGCGAGGATGGTGGTTGAGAAAAGTCGATATTGATCGAGGATGTGTGAACCCCAAGCAGCCAACCGCTGAGAAAAAAAGAAAAAAGAGAGAAAATCGGCGCAAAATACAACCCATATTCGAGTGCCCGACCGAAGCACAGCCCTCAGCACGCCCATGATGCCTATCTCAAGAGATTTGACCAGCCTGCAAAATCCTGTCGAGATGATTTTATCGATGCAGATCGAGATTCGGCGTGCGAGAAGCGGAAGATGCTCAGAATTGGTTGAGATCTGGGGACGAAGTGTTCCGAGAGGATCGAAATCTGTGCTCGGAAGAGATTCGAAAATGATGAGAATCAAGAGTCGAGAGCCGAAAACCGAAAACCGGAAGCCATAGTACGAAAAAGGGGAAGGAAAGTGCTGGAAGCTGAGCACCGCATGCTCCAGAATGCTCTATGCTGTGCCGTGGCGACTGCCTTCTTCCTCACCGATCGAGCCGGATAGTGTACAACAAAGCGAGGCCTTCGACCCTGGAACGGGAATGTGACGGTCCCAGGGAAGGTTCTGCTTATGGCTCGATGGTGGAAGGGGTCCTTCGTCGTCACCCAGTGAAGTACCGTGTCACATCGTGAGTAAGAGAAAATCAATAAGGAAAGCACCAAAGCAAGAAAAAGAACCGAAATGCCATGCCGATCGTCGCTAGTGAAAATACATGGGGGTGAAGAAGGGAGAAACGATCATGATGGGGTCGTAAGCATCCGAAAATCGGATGTCGCCTGTCTTTCCTAGCCTAATGTAGCAACAAGGGAAGAGAAATGAATGGCGATGCTGGGACAAAGGCGGGTGACCAAGCCCTGATGTCCCTTCGCTTCCCTCGGGAGAGCAGCGTGCCAGAGTAGAATGGGATATGCTTAGACCCACTGGGTCTCGCCATTCTCAGCGTTGCCCATGGGAGGGTACTGAGGCGGGTACTGCTGTCCGCGCTGCTGATGCTGCTGGTGCTGCTGGTGATGCGGCTGTTGCTGCTGCGGCTGCGCGATGGGGGCCGGGGCCGGAAGAGTAGGCACGGTGAGGACCTGGCTGCTAGGGTACATGGAGTTGGGTGCAGGAGCTCCGTTGATAGCAGCAGGGTTGTTGTTCCCGTTGACGCCGTTGGCGTAGGCAGTGCCCGTAAGAATCGCGTTCCCGTTGGGGGGGCCACGGCCGTGAGCAGGACGGAGTGAGATCTGACCGCCAGCGGGGTCGGCCGGGACCGTTTGGGGGGCAGCGCCCGAACCGCTACGGGTGTCGTGGGCCTGGATCTTGGCCTGGATACGGCGGCCGTACGGAGTCGCGCGGATGTTGGGGAGAATCGGGCGGATGGCCTCGATCAGGCGGTGCTTCGACATGTGGGGCGCATAGTCCAACGCGGTCTGAATCACATAGTTGCCGAACGAGTCGCGAAGCAGGCGCTCGATCTCGCCCTGGCCCAAGAGCTCCGTGACGATGATGTCGCGAGACTCATCCGAGGCGCAGCGCAGGCACTTCTCGACGACGTTGGAGCTGAACTTGTGCTTGGAGAGCATGCCGATGCGGCCCTGGAACTGCTTGACGAGCGGCTCAGTGAAGGACGTTTCGTTAAGATCGATGATGTACTGCACGACGTAGTTGCCGAAGGGGTCTTGGACCAGCGTAACGGCGTGCTCCGTGATGCGCTCGATCAGCCAGGTCTTCTGCGAGCCGTCGGCGTGGTCGATGCAGCGCTGGAGCACGCAGCAGCCGTGGCGATGAGTACCAACTTCGACGCAGTGCTTGCCAACGGCCTCGAAGATGAAGGAAGCATCGGCGCTGTTGAGCTTGTTCAAGCACTTTTGGATGACGTGGTTGCCGTTGAGGTCCTGGATAAGCTCAACGACCTGGTTGCGAAGGGCCTCGACAATCAAGTTGATTTGAACCTGCGTGGTCACATGCTCGATCATCTTCTGGAGGGCTCGAGTACCATGCTGGTTCAAGGCAATGGTCACCATATTAGAGGTCGCATTCTGGATTAGCACGGTACGCTCCTCGTCGTTGCAGTACTCCAAGAGCTTCTGGCACAGGTAGTTGCCGAACGGGTCGGTCATCAGCTCGATGACATGCTGGTTGGTCTCCAGCCAGATCATGTGGATCTGGTCCGGGATGCGGTTCTCCAGCTGCTTCTGCAGGTAGCGGCAGCCGTGCTGGTCTTTGCAGAGCGAGTAGATGGTGCCGCCGACCTGTTCCAGCGGCAGATTGTTGAATCGGGCCATGGCTGTGATCAGCTGTTAGTGAACATCTGGTTTCCCCGAACGGGTTTGTTTCTGGTTTCTTTTGGCTTACCTTCGCTGTCCATCTGGCGACGACTCTGGATGACACGCGCCTGGCTGTCCTGGTGCGCACGGGAGTTCTGGGATTGGCTATAGAGCGGGTTGTAGCCAGTGTAGTTCTGCTGCGGATACATCGCCTGAGGGTTGCCGTTGGCGATCGACATGTTCTGCATGAGCATAGGAAGGGTATTGTAGGCAGCGGGGGGCGCTCCACCCATGGCAGCGTAGGCAGGATTCGCAGGATAGTACGGAAACGGGATCGCGGGAGCAGAAACGGGCACGTTCGGGGCCGCAGAAGCAGCAGGATGGTGATGGTGCTGCTGGTGCGCTTGGTGCTGCTGGTGCGACTGATGTTGCGGATGCTGCGGGTGCTGCTGATGCTGATGCTGCGGGTGTTGAGGCTGCGGGGGTCCCTGCTGAGGCTGGGGACCAGTCGGGCCAAAGGCCGGAGCATTGGCTTGCAAAGTCGACGAGATGGACGGGTAGTTGGCACTCTCACGGCCGTTGGCCGAAGCGGCATCCGACGAGAGCTCACGGTTGTGACGGCCCGGCATGGCGCCAGCGGGAATGCGACCGATGCTAGCGTTGTGATTGTGGAAATGCTGCTGAGCGTGGTTGTTTGCGTTGCCGCCAGACAAACCGGCGCCGTTGGGTTTGACAGTGGGCACGTCGTTGGCGGAGTATGACTGATGCAGCTTCGGCGGAGAAGCCATCGCGTTAGCGGCGGGGGGCGTGGCAACCGAAGTGGCCGGAGCATCCGCCGTGGTCTCGGGGAAGAACTTCAGGCCGTCAACCGAGTGGCGGACATTAGCCGGACGGGAGTTGCTAGCAGTGTTGTTCTCAGCGGGCGAGCCGATGGAGCCGGAGCCGTTGATCGAGGTGGAACTCAAGGTAGACATAGTCTGTGTGTGGCGAGACTCGTTAATAAAGTTGCCCCAGCCGCTTCAAAACCCTCCAAATCTGCAACTCCAGGTGGAAGTTGAGACAAAGTTGCATGAAGGTAGTTGAAGAAATGAAAAGTTTCGAGGGAAAAGGGAATTTCAATCGGTTGCCCCGATCGGCTGCCCCGATGTGAATAACAATTTGGGCAGCGTAAGGAAGTGGTCTCGTGAAAATTGTGGAAGTGGTAAGAGCAAAAGATCTGAAAAGGGAACAAAGAAGAATGGGAGTGAATAATAGCAAAATTTAGTTTTTGTATGCACAAGGCCAAAAACTAAACCTGGAGTGAAGAGGAGATACAGCAAGCAAGCTCGGCTGCAGTGATTGACACCGCGTTGGGAAAGGGAAAAATGAAGATTCCGAGTGAAAAGTGAAAATGTTGTTTAGTGGTGGAAGCCGAACGCGTGGGGCCGCGGTCATCCGGAGAGAAGGGAAAGAACGCAAGATCGGACGGGAAGCCGAGCCGCGAAACCAACACGCCAAAAGAGCGAGGAACTGGCTAGACTGCTAAAAAACCTGAAACTTCCAAGTAAAATGGAGGCAGCTGGCAGCTGTTTTCTCATTTCTTCAGGTGAAGTGAAATTCGAAGAAGTGACACGCCAGAAGGGGGCAACGTGGGGTATAGCCAAGTATATCGAGTGGGAAAAAATATAGGAAACGGTCAAAACTTACTAAGCCTGAATACGCCTGTTGCCGGAATATAGATGAGAACGAGTCGGTAGTGCCGCTGACTTGAGCTGTGGCAGCGATCCTGGCCTCTGCCGAGGTTTTGTCTTCGTCTCCAAATAGAAAGCCGGTTGTATTGTTGCTGTCCTCAAGCCCAATGTCGGTCAAATAGGTCCGAGATCGGGTCACGGGCATAGAATACCGGTTGAGCCTGGGGAACACGATGTTGTTAATTAACTGTCGAGTCGGTGGTGGGCTGCCTTGCTTGAGATTGCGGGAAGTAGGGTAATAAAATGTTATGTTGGGTAGTGGATGTGGTCGAGGGTACTGGCTTCAACGCGCTTGCTGGTAGAAGCTGAGCTCTGGGTTGAATGGATGCAGGCGCGGTAGAAGCGAAGAGGGCGAATGGGGGAAAGTAAGGTTGTGGGTTGGGGAGAGTGTGGGAGAGGAGGAAGGGGGATGAGGATGTGGTTTAAATAGTCCCAGGTTGAGGCCCTTGGGCAGGAGAGGGAAACGTAGGCGGGTGGGATCAACACGATCCGGCAGAGAAGGTGCAGGAGGCTGCACATAGCTATTTTCTGCTCACAGAAGAATGGTGGCCGGGTAGGGCAGCAATAGATGGTGTGATGGGGGCTTAACAATAGGAAAGGGGGAAGAGCGGTGTTTGAATAGAGGCCGACTTTCGGCCTCGTTAGTGTTCAGGCCGGCGCATCTAGGGAGTCGAGATGGGATGAACCACATCATGCCCGGGCAACCAGCAATTATCAAAAATGGCATGGGCGCGATAGTCGCTGTGTAAAAGCGGAACGCCTCCAAACTGGTCGAAGCACTTTACTCGCAACCGCTTGTTTCGGCCAACCCACAAACCAGCCTTTGTACTTCGGCCTGGGATGTTGAATATCCAAGGACATGTCACGAACAAGACAAAAGCAACACTTACGCATTGGTCGACCGGTGGCTCGTGGGGTCCTGCCGTACCGCCTCTTCCTTCTCATCTTCGTCACTGTTTCTCCTCGATCCCGGAACGGAACGCGACGGGCCATCGTCGAACGGGAATCGAGACGGGAGAGTGCCGGAGAGCGGCGAAGTCAGAAGCGAGCCGGATCGGCTGTTGCGGTTGAGAACGCCCGGGGGCGAAGCCAGGCTCGAGGTCGAATACCGGTTCGGTCGGGAGAAGATCGAGGGGAAACCGGAGGTGTCACGGTATTCGGGGGGTGTCGTCGGCTCCGACTGATGGCCGTACCGGGCCGCGAAATCCTCCTGCATCTGGTGGAGCTCCCTCTCTTCCTGACGCTGTTGTGCGTCCAGCTTATGGATCTCGGCCTCAAAGCGCCGCCTGTGCTCGCGGAGTCGCTCATATTCCAGTCTTTTTTTCTCCAACTGTGGAAACAGTCAGCTAACGATTCCTCTTGCTGTACCATCCTTTCACGGTTCTCAGTCGTGGGCAATCACAACAGCCAACAGCCCCATGATATCTCATCAATCAAGCGTAACTTCGCAGCCGTGGTGGAAAACCAGCCACCTCGGGGGGTAGCCGGAAGGGTAGTCGAGGACACGTACCAATTGGACCTTGTGCAAAGCCTGCCATGGCCAATGTTAGCACTACTTCATAGATTGCTCCCGGGCAACAACACTAGGAAACCTAGAGTCCTCTGGCGTGTGCCTTCGTCGGACTCTAGTTGCCAAAGGATTGAGCGAGCGGATCGAGACACGTACCGAGGTCGAAGCAAAGTCTTGCGGCGGCTCGGGGGCGACGCGGGGGACAGTGGTGAGGGTTGACAGGGTCGGCACACGGCCGGAGTCGGTGGTGAACCGGCGTGGAAGCAGTGGCCCGCTGCCGTTGCGCGGGGGCGTGACGAAAGCGCCTCCGGCCTGGGGGTCACCGCGGGGGTTTTGCTGGGCTCGGAAGTACTCGTCCATTTTCGGGTTGTCCACTCCTCTATACTACAAACACAGCGACTTTCGTACACGGGGCGGCCCGGATTGGAGCAAGTATATCGTCGGGGGGTTGGGTTGGGCTATCGCTTCTGTACAATTCTAAAGGGTGGTGTTGTGGTGTCAGCATCTCTGGCCTCTTGGCTGTGGAGGAGTCCGACGATCCAAGGGGGGGATTTGCGCCCGCGGCCACAGGAGCAGGCTGGGTTGATGGGCGCAACGACTTGGGTGTCTTTTTGAATGTTCAATGCTCGCCCTCTTGGATGCTTTCGGCTGCCTAGTCGTCGATATCCTCAAGCTGGCGTTGCTCCCCAGGCACGAGCACCCTCCGTCTTGCGGGACCCCCTCTTGTGGCCTCCCCCCCTCGCGCCTCATGTCCACTCCTTCACCCGTTCCTCGGACAGACGAGAATCCGAAAGCCTCTGCGCGCGCGGCTGGCACACGCGGCCCAAAACAAGGAAGCAAAAGACGGGAAATGGTGGCAGAACTGACCTAGACAAAAAATCAAGACTTGTTGGCACAACGCCGCGTCCTGGAAACCAGGGCGCAACAGCAAAAGGAGTTGAGGCAATCGTCCCAAAAGAGCGTGGGGATGGAGGAGAGCAGCAACAAGCCAGCAATGGAGCAACTGGCGAGAGTCGAGAGCAGCCGCCGGGCCGCTTTGGGGCGAGTGGAGTGGAGAAGCGAGGTTCGGTTGATGGAACAGCCTCCTTCCGCAACGCAACGTTGGGCCCCCCGCTGGAGGAATAGCGCGGACTGACTGAAGAGGACCCCTGCGGCCCTGGCTGGCACAGCGGCAGCGAAGAGCGCAAGGGGGGACAGGGCGGCTTCAGGGCCTGCTGTTGGCCAGTTGTCAAGGAAGGCCCGAGCTCGTGTGGACAGTGGCAGGCGTCCGCCCAAAGTCAAAACACATCCCATTCCCCCACTCCATTGACGAACCCATCAAGCCCATCTCGATTGGGCGGCTCAGTACTGTGGACCCTTCACTCCCTCTATCGCCCCTGCCTCCTGCGTGTTGAAGAACTGCAAAAAGGGCTGGGCAACAGGGCTGCGCCCAGGCATGTACTTTCCTGTCACTCCATGCACCAGGACGGATACAAACCCGCGTTCCCAGTCATCTCCTGTGCACCTTCCAGATTCGACACTTGACTACAAAACGGCACTGGCCGAGAAAGCGCCCAACAACTAGAACCCGACTCGGGGCATCAAGAGAAAGCCAGTCCCCCCAACCAATCCACCCGAGTTCTTAGGCGGCCTTTCGAAAATAACCACAACCCATTCCCTGCGCCGTCCTTTGACAGAGAACCCGGCCATGGAGCATTTTGCTGCCCAAGCAAACCTCAACCTCGTTCTTCATTCAGCTCAAAGCGGTTGCAGGTATAAAAAGAGACGATACCACAAGTGCTGATCGCCGGTCCTAGGCGAAGCATGCAGGCCTAGCACACAAGCCGGGGCCTTCCGTCCTGACTGACAGACAGAATGCCGACTGCCGGATGCTTCCATGCTCTCCCTCATCAACCTCCTCTGGTGAAAAGGTAGAAACAAGCGCGAGTGATTCCCACCTGGGCATCCCATCATAAAAATATGATCGGGAACTCCATCGAAGAACTCGCGTTCTGCAGGATGGCCCGATGGGCAGAGAGAAGGACTGCCGGGAAGAAAGAGTCTCGACAACCCAAATTGGGAGTCAGCCTGGAAACTGGTTCGCCGGCTCGGGTGCTTTACACTCCAACAGTGGGACCCCCACCATCTCCTTACCTCAACACTCCAACCGACTTGTGCGGGGGTGGATGCTCAACAAAGGGCGGCGGCCCGCCATTGAACCCGAGAAATTCAATTCGTCAAAAAGGCAGCTGATGGATTTCCCCAGGTTCGGTCCCGGACCATGCGTCCGCAGAGGTGCCAAATTCTGCCGGGTGCCGCGCTGCGACTGGCCGCCTTCGACGCCACAACAACGGCGGGCACACGATGTACACAGTATCCAGCGTCCCGGATCTGACATCGTAGAGGCACTAGGCTAGCTGAACGTGACGGGTCCGCTACCGCCTCCCTTTCTATCATATCCACGAGCGGAGTCTTCTAGAGGGGAGAGAACCAAGACTCACAAAACCAGACGAAATAGATACAATCAGGCCCCGATTACCCGCTGAGAAAAGGTTGAACTCGCGTATTCACCTCTGAAGTCAGCCAGTGCGGATATCTCACCTTTGGCTCGGCCCCACCAATCCCCGTCACGGAACCTCAGCATCCTCGACTCCTCAAAGTGCTCACCTTGTTCCGCCCCTTTTGTATTCGGCTATTTGTTCGAAGGGTTTTACGCCACCGGACGGCAAAACGGTTCACATAACTGGTATTTTGTTGAAGGGAGTAACTGCAAACCGCAGATAATCTCTTGAGCTCCCTGCTTTAACCGCCGACGAAACGGAGAGGTGACAACAATGCGGGATCAAGCATTGTTTAATTCCCCAACTCCCGAACAAAACGTCATGGCTCACGGCAAGAGGGCCACAGAGCAGAGAGACAGCGACTCGGCAACGGAGCTTTCCCATGCCGAAGAAGCTCGGCGGTGCATTTAACCGCCGCAGACGTTTGTTATTCACGACGCGTCGTTTTGCTTGCCGTTCTGGCGATCCGCGGCGACATGAGATCTGGCCATCAAACATGCACCGCGCAAGCAACCACAGTGCTTCCGGATCGACGCCGGACTCCACGGCCCGACCAATCTCTTCGGGTTTCCGTTCTGGAGCGAAGTCTCCGGCAATGAGCCTCTAACAAATGCGCGGCTGTGACGGCATTTTCTTCACGGGGGGTTACCAGCTGGCGTGGCTGGCCTAGATAGCCTGTTTCTCCCCCGATGCCTGACGAAACAGAAACGAAAGAGATGCCTTTCTGTTCGTCATCTTCCCTTCGACTCCGACCCCCCGAGCGCCCCTCCCCCACCACCGATGCGGGCCGCGGCAACCCCTCTTTGAACGTGTGCTAGTGAACGTTGCAGCCAGGGGCGGCCTCCCGTGGAGTTGTCATCCTTGCTGACACATGTTGACTCGGGCCCAAAGAAGAATCACGCCGACCCAACTGCTTCATCGAGGAGCTGACCAACCACTTTTCCACAATTGGACACACGCACAGGCGATGGTGCTGTCGTAGCAGAGTAAACTCCCTGACTTTGATCTGTAAGAAGAGCGGGGGACAACACAGGGACCGAGTTGGGACCCCAACCAACATTTTGTCGCATGGCAAGCGCGCTTCGCATCCTTCTCTCATACTCAGATGGCGTAGCCAATCGTAACCGAGGTGTGTTTCCAATTCCGGGACGATGCGGGAGACGTACATCAACTGGTACATATGTACATACATACGAGTACGTGTATGGGTGAGAAATCTGAGGCGCTGATGCAGCTGTCCTCTGCCCCACCTCTGCCCGACCACCTCGACCAGAACCACTCGTGGAATGGGTATCACAACCGACCGTTGATCGAGGTCGATGGCCGTGGTGGTGGTAAAAGATAGTGGGACAAGAGGCTTCCTTGATCATGTGCTTTTCCGAGACAGTGAAAAGAGCCTTGATCCCATTTCTTCAAGACTCAAGACAACATCTCGCCAAAGTTAGCTCATTATAGGTGGTGATACACAACACTTTGGTAAGTCTCTCCAGTCGAGTCGAGTCGACCTAGGTCTTTAGACCACCCACATGCGACAAACTACGGTAATGCATAAACCAATTACGTCCGCACAACATATGCGGTGCAATGACTGCTGTTGTACACAATAAAGCTGTGGATTTCTAGCCAAAGGACTATCTTACACATCTTGAAGGAGCGGTTGGCCACGTCCTTTTTGCTCTAAAAAGTCGGTGAGTTTTGGTTTCAGAGATGTGAGTTGGAAGGAGGTTTTCTCTTCTGTTGTACGGCGGAATCAAAGGAAGGAGGCTCTCGGAGAGAAATTAAATATGTACAAAATGGTAGTTGTGGTTTGGCAGTGTTATCTTGGGACGTAAGTTACGTTGTTAGAAGCTCTCAACGCTGTAACGCCCAATTTAGGGGTAATGACGGGTTAACACTCTAACCTAAAGTAGGTCGCTTCTTTGATCATACCAGGCGTACCAAACGTTGAGCTAGGTTTATCCCCAGGCCTATCTACTTACGTATCTAGGACCCCTTTGATCAGAACGGCAGAGAGCCACGTTGAGACTAGCTCGCTTCAACAGCACCCACCCACCCCCGCCATGAAACAATGGTACTAAAACTAGACCGTGGGATAATGAGGGGTATCACAAATGGACCTGCAGCTTGAGGCGGGGTAATTTTGTTGGAGTCGAAGGGTGAGTGGGAGGCATCGACTAGCTGCCTCGAAAGAGAGGGAGAGCTCTTGACGGAGATTTATTTGGTGAACGGGCCTGGGATGTGGGATGACGCACGCCGGTGGGCTTTCGAAGGTTGGGCTGTCAACAAACACTTTTGTTTCGGGCTTGGGCAGGATGTTAAAGAATTGATGAAAATGTTTGGTAAATTTCAAATTACAAGGGCCAGTATGGCGTATCGTGAGAAAAAGAATTAACTCGTTAAAATGTGTTTGAATTGGGGCCGTTGATTCCTTGTGAGCTCTTTTGCCTGGCTTGCCTAGGTGTCATCCCAGCACCCCTGCACAGCAGCTTATCGCGATAAGGATTGCTCTCCCAGCGCGGGGCAAAAAAATAATTGTTTGGCTTGCATCGGCTTGCACAACCCCCCCGGTCGCCCTTCAACAGCACGATTCGGACGGCCAAGATGGGTGCGATCGACGACGGTTTCGAGGCGTTGCTGGAGCCATTCTACAATGGCAAGAAGCTGACGGACCCAATTTCTACTAAAGAGGATAAGTATCAGCTTTTGCCCGCTTTCCTCAAGGTTAAAGGTGAGTGACGGGTGACTCAGCGCGAGGTGTGGGTGTCCGTCTTGGCCGAGCAGCTCTCGCGACTCAGTGACTTTTGGAGTCCATATCTTGGGCATTGTTCCGGATGGGCTGAAGGTTTCTTTGTGGACGTGTTGTTGCTGACATCTGGGGCCTCTCTTCTCCATCTTGTCATTAGGTCTCGTCAAACAACACATCGATTCATACAACTTCTTCGTCGAGCAAGAAATCAAGGACATCGTCAAGGCGAACCGATCGATCCGAAGCGACCAAGAAAAAGACTTTTGGCTCGAGTTCACCGACATCCGTGTCGGCACCCCGACACGCAATGACTACACCGACTTCAAGGCCCGTGACGAGGTCACGCCCATGGAGTGCCGTCTCCGCGACATGACCTACGCCGCCCCCGTCGTCGTCGACATCACGTATTCGCGCGACCGCAAAAAAATCGTTCGCAAGGACATCCCGCTCTGCCGGATCCCCGTCATGCTCAAGAGCGCGAAATGCTGTCTCAGCGGCGCCAACAATGCGCAGATGGAGGTCATGAACGAGTGTCCGCTCGACCCGGGCGGCTACTTCATCATCAACGGGACGGAAAAGGTCATCCTCATCCAGGAACAACTCAGCAAGAACCGTGTGATTGTAGAGGCGGATGAGAAGACGGGCGGCGTGTCGGCTTCGGTCACGAGTTCCACGCACGAGCGTAAATCCAAGACCTACGTCATCCTCAAGAAGGACCGGATCGCCCTCAACCACAACGTTCTCGTCGAGCCGATCCCGATTGTCATCGTCCTCAAGGCGCTGGGCGGTCTCTCGGATTATGAAATTATGGAGCTCGTCGCGGGTGGGGATGCGCGGTACCAGGATGATTTCCTGATCAACTTTGACGAGGCGACCAAGGCCGGGGTGTTTACACAGCAGCAAGCGTTGGAATATGTCGGGTCGAGGGTCAAGATGGGAGGGCCGAAGAAAGGGCGGTCCATGGCGGCTCCTCGGCGTAGTCCCGTCGAGGAAGGCCTGGATGCGCTGGCGGGCATCATCATCGCCCATGTTGAGATTGAAGACCTGGATTTCTACCCCAAGGCCATCTACATCGCCATGATGGTCCGGCGCGTGCTGATGGCAGCGCACAACCCCAAGCTAGTGGATGACCGCGACTTTGTTGGTAACAAGCGCTTGGAGTTGGCCGGACAGTTGTTGTCTCTGCTGTTCGAAGACATGTTCAAGATGTTTGTGGGCAGTCTCAAAGGCAACATGGAGTACTTTTTCAAGAAGCCCAACAGGACCTCGGCCTACGACCCCGTCGGCCCCATCAGCAGCCAGGGGCAGTACATCACCCAGGGTCTCAACCGGGCCATCCAGAGCGGGAATTGGAACGTCAAGCGGTTCAACATGAACCGGGCGGGCGTCACACACGTGCTGAGCAGACTGAGTTACATTGCCGCGCTGGGCATGATGACCCGTATCAGCAGTCAGTTTGAGAAGACGAGGAAAGTGAGCGGACCCCGTGCACTTCAGCCGTCGCAATGGGGTATGCTCTGCCCGTCCGATACACCAGAGGGTGAAGCCTGTGGTTTGGTGAAGAACTTGGCCTTGATGACCCATATTACCACCAACGCTGAAGAGGAGCCGGTCAAGAACTGGATTTTTGGCATCCTCCCCGGCGTCGAGCCGATCCGGATGTTCACGGGCACGGAGATGCACAAGCCCGGATCGTACATTATTCACCTAAACGGCACGCCGTTTGCGCTCACGAAACACCCGAAACAGTTTGCGTCGCGATTCAAGACTATGCGTCGTCGCGGCCATATCTCTCCGTTTATCGGGATTCACATCAACGAGCACTTCTCGGCCATCCACATCGCCACCGACGAGGGGCGCATTTGTCGTCCTTATATCATTGTGAAGGATGGGAAGCCGAAGCTTAAGGAGCAACACTTGAAACTTTTGCAGATGGGCAAAGCGACATTTGACGATTTCCTCAAGGGCAGCGTGATCGAGTACTTGGACGTCAACGAGGAGAACGATGCGTTGATCGCCATCAGCGAGACCGACGTCAACCAGTCAACCACGCACATGGAAATCGAGCCCTTCACGATCCTAGGCGCCGTCGCCGGGCTCATCCCCTTCCCGCACCACAACCAGTCCCCGCGTAACACATACCAATGCGCCATGGGCAAGCAAGCCATCGGCGCCATCGCATACAACCAGTTCAACCGCATCGACACCCTCCTGTACACGCTCGTCTACCCGCAGCGGCCGATGGTCATCACCAAGACGATCCAGCTCATCCACTACGACAAACTCCCGGCTGGGCAAAACGCCACGGTCGTGGTCATGTCATACTCGGGCTACGACATCGAAGACGCGCTGGTGCTGAACAAGGCATCCTGCGACCGCGGGTTCGGGCGGTGCCAGGTGTTCCGCAAGTACACCGCCGAGCTGCAGCAGTACCCCAACGGACGCAAAGACCGACTCGGCGGCATCCAAAAGGACGAGGAAGGCCGGACGATCGCCAAGCACGCCTGCCTCGATAAGGATGGGCTCGCAACAGTGGGCTACCGCGTGCACTCAGGCGAAACCATGATCATGAAAGAAACCCCCATCGACCAAACCTCCACCGGCATCGGCAGCGACCGCGGATCCGACGACTTCCGCCCCGCGGCCACCAACTACCGCATCCCCGACCCAGCCTACATCGACAAAGTCATGGTCTCCAACACCGAAAAAAACACCGCCATCATCAAAGTCCAAACCCGCCAAACCCGCCGCCCGGAACTCGGCGACAAATTCTCCTCCCGCCACGGCCAAAAGGGCGTAGTCGGCATCATCGTCGACCAAGAAGACATGCCCTTCTCCGACACGGGCCTCGTCCCGGACATCATCATGAACCCGCACGGTTTCCCCTCCCGCATGACAGTCGGCAAACTCTTCGAATGCCTCACGGGCAAAGCCTCTGTCATCGCCGGCGAGCGCGACTACGGCTTCGGCGACGCCTTCCGCACCCACCCCGTCGAGGAAATGGGCAAGGTCCTCATCGACCACGGCTTCTCCTGGGAAGGCAAAGACTACTTCACCTCGGGCATCACAGGCGACCCCCACGAAGCCTACCTCTTCAACGGGCCCATCTACTACCAACGCCTCAAACACATGGTCCAAGACAAAATGCACTCCCGCTCGCGGGGTCCCCGCGCCATTCTCACTCGACAACCAACCGAAGGCCGCTCACGCGACGGTGGATTGCGGTTGGGCGAAATGGAACGGGATTGTCTGATTGCGTATGGAGCGTCGCAGTTGTTGTTGGAGAGGCTGATGATTAGCTCGGATGGGACGCAGGTGGATATTTGTGAGCGGTGTGGGTTGTTGGGGTATAAGGGGTTTTGTCAGACGTGTGCGAGCACAAGTCAGGTTACGCAGATGACGATGCCGTATGCGGCGAAGTTGTTGGTGCAGGAGTTGATTAGTATGAATGTGGGGGTCAGGATGCAGTTGGAGGATCGGTTTCCGCATCCGAGGTAGTCCGCACCCGGCGTAACATGCGTCTGAGGCAGTTAGGTGGATGAGCGCTGTTCTATACTCGGGTAACCGCGAGAGAAGGGGGATGAGAATGGGGAGTTGGGTTGACAGCGGACGAGTGGACGAGTGGACGAGTGAGAGATATGGCGTTGACAGCAGCAGCAGCAGCAGACGGCGTTCTCGGGTTTGTTTTTTAGTTATTGTTCTTGTTCTTTTTGCTCACACCTATGAGCTCTCATATGAAGCGATGTAGGATATCTACTCTGCCTGGGTTGGTTGCTTGCTGCGTGATTTAGCATGGCGCCTGAGACAAGACAGTTAGACAGTATGTAAATGTAAATACATCTGTGTCCTTATCCTCCCTCAATTGTGTGTGAATGTTGAGATGCGGGCATCCCTGGGGTGGAAGTAGGTGCTGAGTTGCGCTGGACTGGTTTGATATGAGCCATGATCAGGGTGTGTGTGTTGTATTTACATGTATTTGTCAGTGCAGTTCACTAGCTACCATGCTTCTATGCTGGACAGGCTGGGCCGTTGACTAATCAAGACGCCGAGCTAGCACGCCAAGGTGCTATATCCTAATCCTCCCTCTCATACCACCTTCGTACTGTCCCGTTTCGTCTCCTCTTCCTTTCCCTACTCCTCCTCCTTCACAACGTCATCCCCCTTCTCCATTCCCTCTTTTCTGCCCTCTACCTCTTCTTTCCCCCCCTCACCCCCCTTCTCATCGATACCCTTTCCCACCCAGCCGTGCTCCACCCCCCTCCCCCTGTACCCCCTCCTCCTCCCGGAGCAGTGATATTCTGCATCATCCGCCAAGTCGACACCGGCCTCCGAAAAAGCGCCACCCGCATCGCAATCTGGGTCGTCCAGACTAGCCCGAGAGATGGTGTTTTGAGTTGGTTGAAGTAGGGGTCGTCGCCCCAGCCGGTGAACCAGCGTTGTTGGTGGTCTAGGAGGAGGGCCGGGTCGTTTTCGGTTTCTGGGTCGTTGTTGTTGTTTTTACCGGGGTGGGAAGAGTAGGTGGGATTGGTGGAGGTGGGGAGGTATTCAGGTGGCGGTGGGGGTTCTTCGTGGAGAGGGGCTGGGTAGCTGGAGGGAAGGGGGACGGAGGAAGGTGGTGGGTCGGTTGGTAGAGGTAAAGACGGGAGAGGACGGCTGCGGGTAGCGAGGGGGGATTCCTGCGTTAGGCGAGGTGGCGGGCCAGACGAAGGCGGGTGTTGTGGTTGATGAAGGAACGAGACAGGAGTCCTGAACTTAGCAGTACCCCCTCCCCCGAACCGATCAGCCACCTGGTTAGCCACCACCACGGCTAGATTATACCGCTGCGCCAGATCCCGCAGCTGCATGCCCAGCTTGACCAGCTCGCCGGTGCGCGCGCCCATGTTGAGGCCCTGCTGGCCTTGCCCTGCTGACCGCTCAAACTCGGCGCGGTAGTTGGCGGCTACTGAGTCGAGCACCACCAGGCCAATGCCGCGGCGCTCGACTTCGACAGGGACCTGGTAGGTGAGGATGTGGTCCTGGCTTTCGAGGTCGGGCGTGACGGTGCTGATGATGTTGTCGAGGGATGGCCGCTTCTTTGGGGGTAGGCGTTGATAGACAGGGTTGGCGGAGAGCATTTGGTCTAGGCGGCGGGTGGACAGCGCGGCTTCGGTGCTAACGTAGAGAGCTGGGCGGCCTAGGCCGTGGGGCGGGGGTAGCTGGACGGAGAGGAGGAGGGAAAGGAGGAACTGGGTCTTGCCGGAGCCTGACTCGCCGGTGACTTCGGTTATGTAGCCGGCGGGGATGCCGCCGCCGAGAGCGCGGTCCAGCTCGGGGTCAAGCGTGCTGATGGTTTGCCATTGCGCAGCGAGCGACGCAGCGGTGTTTCTTAGGGTGGTGGTGGGGAGTTTCCCTTTTGGCGGGTGGTCCGGAGGCTTCCGGTCGTTGGGCCCCGCTTCGGCGCCGGGCTCCGGTTCAGGCCCGGCTGACTGCGCCGGAGCTCGGGCCGCAGCGTCCAAGGTTTGCACGCCGAGATCGGCATGGAGGGCGGTGAGCACGGCGCTACACAAGCGCTTGACGTCCAGTAGTGGCAGCTGGGTACGCTTTCCAATGTCGGCCGCCTCAAGGGTTAGCAGCTCGCTGGTCGAGATGGCATGTTTCTCGAGTGCCGGAATCAGTCTCGCGAACTGCCCGATGGGGAAGTGCGGGAGCACGCGCGACAGATCGCTCATGGGTCATGGGAAATGGAGACAGCGACGGTGGGAGAATCTCTCTTTTTTTTTCCGCTGTGTGGAAATTTCCCGGCGTTGCAGCGAATTCCCCACCGGCTCTTGAGTGCTGCAACTGAAACGGGGCAGCTGTGCGCCTACTCTTGCTGCAGTTCGATGATTGTTGCGCTGGCAGGCAGGCTCGCTGGCTCGCTGCCAAAGCACAGATCAGGCGATGTCAGGTCGGAGCACGGATGAACTGTGCTTTGGTTCCTGACTTGAGCGGGTCCATTTTTAGCGTGTGGGGGCGCCGGGTTATCCGCTTTGGGAAAAGCAATTAAACTTCTTGATCGATGCAGGGGTTCCAGCCAATCAGCAGCAGGATGGTGCAAGGGCAGGGCAGGCATCCAGGTTCTGTGCTTCCTTTCATCTTTCATCCCACGGCGCGTGGATGCGGGTGCGCAGCACAGCAAGAGCAACTGTCATGTGTTTGCAGAGGAAGGAAGAAGGGAGGATATCAGAGTAGCAGAGAAAGAGGCGCAGTAGGCGTGGTTTCCTCGGTGGGCGATCAGGACATTTATCATTGGAAGCCCGGTGTTTGCTCGGCAGCTTTCCGGGCCCGACTTTTTTGCGTCCCAGCTGCCCGCCCACCTGGGCCACCGAGAGGAAATTTTCCCGCGATCCTCTTTTTCCCATCGCCAAACTCCCAGAGCCTCGGAATTCCGTCCTTCGCTGGAACACCGCGCAGGGGTCCTCGGGTCAGCCCAAGGCTAGCAGTCCCCGTCACCCCGGCTTTTCCATCTGCACCCCTGAGACGGTGCGTGCTTTCGGCTCAATCGGGGCTGGTGCCAACCTGCCGTGGTTGCGCGTGGCTGCAGCAGCGTCTTGGCCGTTGGGGGAGGTCGTCCTGGAGGGTCTTGGGAGGGTCTTGGAAGACAGAGTCGTTCGAATCCTCGGCCGGAAAAACGGCATGGGGCCCAAGAAGGGCGATATGGTTACAGTGACAGACATGGATACCCCCCTCCAGCTGTCCGCCATGCCCGCTGGTGGCATTCTGTGGCATTCTGAAGCAATTTTTACCATCCGGCCGCCCTCTGCCTTCTGCGCCCCCGTGTGCCGTTTGTCGTTACTGCAAACCTTCTTTGTTTCCTTGCGGCTCCGTCAACTGCGAGTCCGCCGTGACACGACATCCATGTTGACCACCACGCTCCTTTAGCATCACCACTCGCTCCGGCTTTACCGATGTCACTCCTTGATCGGTAGAAGCAGTAATATAGTTAATCAACACCATAGTCACGACGACAACCTGAACAACAACCACAACAGCTAGAACAACTACACGACAACTACGACACACGACCAAGTAATTAATACCTCAAACCCTCACCATGGGCTTACAGCAACTCCTCCACGGCGCCCTACTCTTCGGCGCGTCGGCTCAGGCTTTTGTCTTCCTTCCGCGCCCAACAGACCCCTCTCAACCACTGCCTCCTGGGAATGGGTGGTCGCCAGTACCAACAGAAGCACCAGACGCCGGGTTGCTGCGTCGGAATATCGGCCTGCCTGACAAGTACCTGCTAGCTCCGGACAACACGTGCGGCTTCATTGATGGCCAATTAAGTGAGTGTCAACGCTATGGCTTTACTGTTACGACAGCGACTAACTGGCCAAGAATCCGCCTATGCCTGCGTCGACGAGGACTGGCAATGCGCCTTTATCCCGGCGTCGGGCAAGATCCCGGGTGCTGCGGGCTGCTGCAAGGACAACGACTGCGCGTTCCGCGTGACGTGTATGGACCGGAGTGACGCGAGGAAGTGCGACAAGGACTGTCAGGGAGATGACCTGACGCTGAAATGGTGAGTTTCCGGCCGTACTTTCTTGTCGTAATCATGAACGGGTATCATGATGAGAGAGTCCGAGATTGGCTAACGGCAGCAGCTTCGACTCTGGGGCAAGATACTGCAACACGGTTGCCTTCCCGGGAGGCGTGACGGACTACTTTTGCGGTACGAAGCCGATGAAGGTGCTCGAGGCCGAGACGACGAACCCGTCCGACAAGCACCGGACCATGAAGACAGTCTCCAAGACCACGTCGAGCAGCAAGAAGACGACGTCCACCAGCTCGCGCAAGTCATCCTCGACCGCCAAATCTTCGTCCTCGTCCAAGTCTTCGTCTACCAAGGCTTCCTCGTCAACCACGTCCAAGTCGTCGTCATCCACCGAGTCTACTTCCGAGACGTCCTCCGACGCGCCCACGCCTACCGCTGCGTCCTCGACTTCCTCAGCCGCAGCCGACGCGACCCGTGCCGGTGCAGCCACGTCTTCGGCACCTCCTCCCGTAGCCGCGAGCGGAGGTCCCCCGGTGGGCGGAATTGTGGGTGGTGTGATCGGTGGTATCGCCATCATCGTGCTATGCATTTTCGGGGCCATCTTTCTCCGCAAGCGCAGGCAGAACGAGCTCGCGTCGTCCGAGCTGCCCCCGTCCCAGCCGTTCATGGCCCAACCCACGTACCCGAACACGCAGCCGCCTCCTGGGCCTTCTGGGCCATCAGGAGCCTACGGACAGGCCGCGGGTGCTCCCGGAATGTCTGGTTATCCCCAGTCCGCCGCAACGCCGGCTCATCAGCAGAACATGTACGGTACTGCTGCGGCCGGCGCAGGTGCCGTAGCATCCGCTGGTGCCGGCACCTTCAACTCGCGTCACAACTACGCGCCTAGCACGCACACCGCCCAGAGCATCCGCTTCGAACCGAGCCCAATGGGCACGCCGACGGGTAGTCCCCAGCCGCAGTTCGCCCAGCCTCACTTCACCCCCCAGCAATTCCAACAACACCAGCAACAGGCCCTACCCACCTTCCCCACGCCCCCCTTCTACAACAACTCCCCGCGCCCCTCCCACGACCTCCAACGCGTCGACACCTACGGCACCACCGGCAACGGAATCGACACCCCCGACCGCCGCTCCACCTCCACCCCGGTCTCCACCTACAACGGCACCACCCCCGTCGCGCCAGCCTCCGCATTAGGTCCCATGCCCGGCGAACCAGCCCACCCCAGCAGCAACCCCGGCGCCAACCGACCCGGCAGCAGCCGCGGTCCTAACCCCAACAATGCCGGGGGTGTACCACTCGCCCTCCAACCAGCAGGCGGCAAGCCACCAGGAGCCTACAAACCGTATCGCCCCCCGGGAGCTGGCGCTCAGGGGGCAAACGGGGGGAGTATCTCGAGTTTGGCGGGGAGTATTAATACCGCGGCGGTGGCGATGGTTGTGCCGAGGAAGGCGGTGTCGGTGTCGACTACGCCGGCGCCGACGCCGCCGGGACAAGCGCAGGTTCGGGCGCCGATGAGGGCGATGACTGGGGCTGTTGAATTGCCATAGCATGGAGTTTAAGAGGTGATGGGTTGAGGAGGGTGCGGTAATTGTGGGATACCCGTGTTTTTGGTTTGGTTTGGTTCGGTTTAACAATGACTTACTTTGTTGGAAGCGCTTTTGTCTGTCCGGTTTGGTATCAACTTTTGGTTCGTTTTCCCTTCTCACGAGACACCGTATTTGGAGACGGAAGGAGAGCATTGTTTGGATCGTTCTTTTTTTATTCTGGGAAGGGCCATATATATTAGACCCGTCTGTGGGTTGTGGCAACAGGGGCAGATATTTACCACTGGAATAACCGGCCAAGCTGATGCGCTGGGCATGATAGAGTTTGGATTGGATTGGGGGGTTGAGCGGTGTGGTGTATATATGCCTAATATAGACGAACGCTGCCTATTTTGATGATACTCCTTTGCTGATGATACGCTTGTTTTTAACGATACATATCATACATACGCCTACTTTTTCCAATTCTCAGGCTCTTCTTCCCTTCCAACTCAAATAAACACAAAAGAAGGAAAAAAAAAAAAAGCTCTCAGCCAAGCTCTATCCCCATCCGGAGCGCTAGACGTCAGCTGTTACGAAAACCTTTTTTCTGTTTGTTTGTTACAGAAAATTTTTACTTCGGCTGACCCTGGGGATCGAATCGAACCCAGAAGCCATTTCGATTTACGACGGTCAGGTCGTACTTGCCATGGAGTGGGGATAAGTTATGATGTATGGAATTGGGCTGTAATATAACATAACCTGGGCTGTGTAAATAACTTTTGGCCCTGAATAGGGGCTGGAGCTAATTAATATCTTGGCTGCGCATACCGGAGATCCTAAGGCTGGCGTTGTTCTCCGGCACCTAGAAGGAACCGTTGATTAACCACTCAGGCTACGGAGGGTTTACTATGTATGACGCAGCGCAGAGATACACTCCCTTAACGCGGAGCTGTATGAGGATTATAAGCTCTGGTGTTCCTGACTATAAGTTGAGAGACCAGCCCTTAGATCTAATTATCTCTAGCCCTTTCCCCTGTGCTTTCGTCTGTCTATCTACCTTTGTATTACCCCTCGATTACCCACCTCGTCCACCTCGTCCTATTCGTCCAGTTGTCACTTGGTCCCGTTTTTGTCCGTCTTGTTTTGATGCCTTCCATTTATTTTTATGACATTTTACTGCTTTTATATCCTGGTTTTACCTTTAATTTCATCTTCCCCTTCAGCGTCCACTTATCACCCATTCAATCCCATTTGATCTCATGTCATCTACGGTCTACCCCATCATCTACACCATGCACTTACCCCTTCAGTCACCCTTGACTCACCCCTGCACTCAACCGTTCATCCATCTCTTCAACTCCATCTACCTTACCTATCCCTTTGCGTATCCCACATATCCGTATATATCCCACGCCTATGTCACCTCCCACACAGAACCAAACCATCTTACCACATGAAACAGAACTAGCAGAAGCAGTGGTGTGGGTTAGACCTGGTTAACAACGCTTACTATAAAGTTGTAAATAACACCCCCTATCCACAAACAGCCCACCGCCCTGCTATCATATCATAAATAAATGCTCTGTCCTCAAATATCCCCCTATAATAAATTCTGTCCACAAACAGCTTCCTATCATAAATGCTTTATCCAGTCAAATTGCCGTCCCATATCCCACCTCCATATCCCATCTCCATATCCCATCCAAACTGTACTAACGCATCCAAAAACCCCTCCCGAGAACACCCTCCCCACCCCCTTCCAAAACCCTCCCCACTCAGACAAACCAACAACCTAATAATCAACCAACCTCAACTTCCTCCCCACCTCCCTCCGTCTAGCCTGCACCCTCGCCTCCGCCACCGCCTTAGCAGCAGCCGCCCTCTCTGACGATTTACCCCCCTGGCCCTGACCCTGGCCCTGCCCCTGTTGCTGGTCATTGGAGTCTGCAGTGCCGGACCCGACAGCCCCGGTGGTGGTAGTGGGAGGGGCGGGTTTCTCGCCTCGGGCTTTGAGGGCCTGGAGGAGCATGCCTGCGTCGAAGAAACCGTCTGTGATTATATTGGTTAGTATCGGATTGTATTGGGTTGTGGTGGGTTTAGTGGGGGTGTGTATCTTGTTGGGTTATGTGTAGTGGAATGGACTTGGTATGGGGATGATTGTGGTGATGAGGTGAAAAAAGGGGTGCTGGATGAATGATGTAGGTGTGGTGAAGAAAGGGGAAAGGGGGAAAAGGGGGAAAAGAGGGAGAAGGGGGAAAAGGGGGAAAAAGGAAAGGAAAATGGAAAGGGGAAAACGGGAAAGCGTCCAAAAGATATAAAAGAGAAAAAAAAAAACTTACACCCCCCCAACTCATCATCCTCACTCAACAGCAAACTCTCCTCCGTCGGCGACGACACACTCCCCCCGACAGCGCCCAAATCCGACCCCTTCCTCCCACCACCCCCGACCAAACTCTCCCCTGTAATCAGCCTCCCCCTCAATCTCGTCCTCCCACTCCCTCCACTGCCTATACTTCCTGCTCCTCCTCCGGTTCCACTTCCACTTCCACTTCCCCCGCTTGCGCCAAAGCCTCCGGTACCGGTATTACCGCTGAACCCGCCAGAAGTAACACTCATCCGTCCCCCCTCTCTCCCCCGTCCCGTATGCCCGACCCTCTCCCTCTCCCTATCACCATGCTCTGGTCTCGTACCCCCCCTCAACCCATCAACCTCCCTAGCCCTCGACGCGCCCCCCCCCCCCACCCCCCCCCGCATGCCCACCTCCCATCCCAACAACAATCCTCAACACCCTTCTAATCTCCAATAAATAACTCTCCAGCGTATCCACAAACCTCCTCGTCTGCCTATGCCTCGAAGAGACACATATCGAAATCCCCTCGTCTTTAATGATATACCCTATCCCGAACCCGTCTCCCGATACAGGGCCGAAACCGAATTGGCGCAGGGATGGGTTGCCGCAGTTGGAGGTGGAGAGGATGGTGGTGTTGAGTTTGTCCCAGCCGGGGTCGGCGAAGAGGGCCGGGAGGTGGTGGTTGTGTGGGTGTGGGGGGGTGCTGGAGGAGAGGGAGGGGGAGGAGGAGATGTTGCTTGTGAGGGAGTCGTTGCGGTCTCGGCCGGGGTTGGGGGTGTGTGTTTGGGTTTGGGTTTGACCAGGAGGTGAGGCGTCGAGGAGGTAGGCGGGTTCACGCGGGGGACTGCTGCTGATGATACCTGCTCCACCGCCGCCGCGATCAGACAGCCGATCGGAGAGACGATCCGACAGGTTATCGTCGACCACAGACGACGACGACGGCGAGGCATAATCCGCCGCGGGACTGCCCGGGGCCGTTCCCGTGCGCACACTCTCCTCGTACACCGTCCGCTGCCAGAGACAAAACAGCGCGTACAAGTGGCGATCACACCCCTGGGCTTTCGCACACTCCCGCGTGGTAGCCACATGCCGCTGACACGCCCGACGCAGGGCGGCAATCTTTTGCTCGGCCGGGTTGTCGGCCCAGAACGTCTGGACAAACCGCACCGACTCGTCGGTCACGGTGCGGATGGCCTCGGTGCGGCCGTGCAAGTACATTTTGGTCATGGCCGGCTCGTAGGTGCACTCGACGCGGCCGTAGAGGCCGTAGTAGGCCGCCTGGAACGCCATCTGCACGAAGGCGTCCGGGGAGAAGCCCATGGACGTAATAAAAGTCTTGCCGTAGGCGCCGAAATCCAAACACTGGAACTCGTTCTGCTCGATCAGGTCGGCCAGGCGGGTCTCGGCGAACCGCACGGCGATGCGCAGCTCCGGGGCCATGTCCCACTCCAGCTTGTGCGGCAGCGTGCTGACGTCGCCGAAGCTCTCCGGGTCGCGGCGGGACGGGTCCGGGCTGGTGGACGCCCACAGCGTCGGGGCCTTGCCGTTGATGGTGCGGGCGAACCGCAGGATGGTGTCGGTGTAGAGGTCACTCACAAACCGCAGCACCGTGTGGCCGTCGACGCCCGTGTGCTCAAAGTTGATGCCTGCGCTGCCGTTCTTGCACACGATGATCTGCAGCTTGTCGTACCACCGGTTCGTGCAGGTCCCGATCTGCACCCCCTTTTCGATCTCGCTCGTGCCGCACAGCATGTTCTGGCACAGTGCCGCGGCCGTCGCCGGTTCCGAGTAGTCTAGGCATATCACAAACAGCGCTGTGTCCACGATCCCCAGGCAGTCGGCGTTGTTGGACCCGGGATCCCGCGTCAGTACATCCCGCAAGCCCGACCACACTTTCCGGTTCTCCGTGCTGAGCACCCCGAGGGCCCCTTTCGCGGCCTCCTGAATCGGCGTCTGCGCCGCGTCGTCGATGATCGTCTGCAGGTTGATGGCGATGTCGCGCTCCGTCATAATCAAGTCCGAGTTTTCGTCTAGGACATCGAACCAGTAGAACTGGCCGTGGCACATGGCCACGACGTGCTTCGACTCCGGGTCCTGCTCGATCTGGCACCCCGCGTCCGTCGGCACGCGCGCCGTGCCGAACAGCCGCGAGTACTGGTACATGCACAGCGGCGTGCCTTTGACCGTGTCCGCCGGCAGCTCCTCCTTGCGCACCGCTCGCACGAACTCGAGCGCCGACACCACCAGCGACGCCGCCCGCGTCACCTGGTTGTTGCGCGCCGGCGTCGGGTCGTCCTCCAGCAGGAAGAAGGGGTTCAGGTTGAGCACCACCGGGTTGTCAAAGTTGAGGTACGAGTCGTACCCTAGCCAGTCAGTATTCACACCGTTTTCTGTGTAGTAAGAGAGGGGAAACGTACAAAACTGCTCAATATAACTCGTCCTTGCCTCAGCATACTTCTTCAACTTCTCATTCAGCTCCGGCCCCTCGTTCCGCAGAAACGCCTGCACCGCGTGCTTCGTCTCGGCATGCTCACGCGCCGACTGCAGCGGCTTGAGCGCCGCCAGGTACTTGTCCAGGCTCGACTCGAGGTCTGGGATCGGCAGCTTGGGCAGGTCGTCCTGGTGCGCGTACGTCACGCCCCCCTTGGGCTTGTCCTCATGGCTGGCGTCCGACATGGGGGCCGGGGTACTGCCTTGGTTCTGGTTTTGGTTCTGATTCTGGCTTTTGCTGTGGTTTTGTTTCTCACTCTGTCTCTCACCCTGTCTCTCACTCTGATAATCAACAGGTCTCGTCGGCAGCTCAATAGGCAAATCCGGCACAGACCGCGGGGTCGTCGTCGTCGGAGACAGCTGCTGCACAGGACTAGAACTAGAAAGTGTCTCCCCAAGAGACCTGGGCGAGGTGAAGATGCGGACTTGCGTAGGCATTCTCGTCAGCAAGTCAGTCCCGAGAGAAGGAGTCGCTATGCCTTAATCGATAGATATCAGGACCAGCCCGTCAGCCGTACAGCGGCGAGACGCGGGTGCTGATGTTGAGACCGCGCAGGGCGGTGCGGTAGAAGTAGTGGCAGTCTTGGAGGTAGTATGCTGGCATTCCACTGGGAACGCGACCAGACGAGGTGTGCGTTCGTGGATAGAGTAAAGAAGAGCAAGCTGGGGACATGGGAACATCAAAGGAAACGAGCTGACAGCCCTGGCCGGGCCAGGTTCGGGATATAAAGCACGGGAGACGGGATGATAAACCCGGGAGGGTGTGGGGAGACCTAGGGGGATCTCTAGGGGGGGGGCGGATCTGCTTGCATATCCAAGGTACGTACTTGATGTACCTTGGGTAGTACCTTGGGGTATGTATGAACGAGGAATGGAAGACGTGAATGGAGAAAGACACCACAAGCAACGCAGCCTAGCAGCCCCGTGAGATCCCTCACCGTGGTCCAGTGGCCCACCGTGAGCAGCGGAGAAACGGATGGACTGCTTCCCCAGGAGGCCGGGGTGCCGGGATCTCGGGATCTCGGGAGACTAGGATGTTGCCCAGGAAGTATCATGGTCCTGGCCCTGGTGGAACTTCCCCAGAGAATGTACACAAGGAGACCGGGAACGAACAGCGCGGGCAAGACAGACAGACCACTGCCTGGCTGACTGACTTCCTGGCTGACTGCCTGCTGGAGCATGTGGCTAGGTCGCTTGCTAGGCGCCAGGAAGAGAGTCACGAGCACCGCCGGGGTGATTGGACACGGCAAGGTTGCCACGGCGGGCTCCGAGCTGAGACTCCTCCTCCGCAGGCCCGAACCGAGCCCTCAATCTGGGAATCTGCCGAGCCATTTCTCGCAGTCTCGGGGTTAAAACGAAACGACAGAAAACGAGATGCAACGTACTGGTTTGGGTGCGGGTGTTCTTGGTTTGTGCCTGCGTGCGTCTGTGCTAGAAAGAGCGCCCGAGACACGTACAGTGCGTGGATTTGTCTGAATCCTCTGTCGAGGTGTGAATGTGTCCAGTAATCCGTCGGCTTGGAATCGTCGGTGCGCTCCGTTGTACCTGACCGCCCGAAGTCGTGCGCGGTGAGGCTGAGAAATGAAAAAGAGAAAGCTTGTTTCGCAGAAAATCGTAGTGGTTGGTGTTCGTTGGTTAGTGGCTGTATGTATGTATGCAATGTATGTATGTTGGTCTTCCGTCCCTCGATTTCATCCGGTGGTCCATGTACCTGGACTGTGAGTGTCCGTCAACCTAGTCCGTCAACTAACCGACCAGATTCAGCCAGCGAGGTCATCTGCAACGTAGGTGGCGGCTAAGCTTGCTAGCTCTCTCTCTCTCTTGGACCCCAAGGCGAAAACCAAAGTAGTGTATGTCCCGCAGCAATACACAGGTCGCCCCTCAACTCCGGCGCTCGACGCGCCGACCTACCACAATCTAGGCATGCACTCAACAATCGTGTATGACTGCGTCACGGGCCTGGTAAGAATAGGCGTAGTGTGCTCAGGGGACCAAGGTCTCACGGGTCTTTTCCAGGGGGAGTGTGGGGGAGGTGTGAATGACGTTGTGCGGTGCGTGCCCCTCACAGTGCGATGGCCCTTCTCTGTTTTTCTCCGACCCCTTTGCTCCGGTTCGATTTCCCCCAGAAATGACGCTTCTGGTTATTTGTTTTTGGCCCACTCAGTCCCCGTTTCTGTGGCAGGGAAAAGGGCGCTTCGCCTTGGCTGATGTCGGTTCTGGCCTGGTCTTCGGACAAGAGGATGTTCGGATGTGCTGTGGGAATGGGACTGGAGGGGGCCGAATGAGGGGTTCCATCTGTATTCGGAACGAGCCCTGCGCTAACAGTGGCATTGTCCCGTTTTGGCAAGTGGGGTGGGGGTTGCACATTCCTTGAACTCCAACCTCACCTTGAACAATATTTTATTTTGTAGGTGTGCTGGCCGTATCATCGTGTGTCGGTTGAATATGTTTGGCTCTTGTTCAAGAGATGTGTCTATCAACGTTTAAGAGAAAAACCTCTTCATCACCGTGCTAGTACACCAGTTCCAACGGTACCTTTAACAGGATGCGCCATATTCTCAAGACATTGAATAACCTCTGCGTCAACCTCTAGCATGTGATGGCCAAGCCAAAACGACCTCATGGATGCAACATGCGACATGCGACCTGCGAGAATCAAGGCGGGCCATCCCACTCAGCACCACCCATCCTGCCTGCTGCGCTGCGCTGATATTGAGCCTCCCGGCCGAACGGATCGGTGGGGCGGTTCAACCCGGACTTGGCCCGCTCGGCTTTACAATGAACCACCGAGAGCTTCGTTCGTGAGTAAGTCAAAGATCTCTCGACAGTCTGCCGTTTTTATTTTTCTATTTTTCTGTAAACGGAAAAAGACCATGGAGAATATCCTTATCTTCTCTGGAAATAGGAAATGGAGAACTTATAACATCACATTTGAGTGTCGTGGATTGGAAAGCGAAGAGTCTTTCGGCACGGCCCAGCAACCGGGCAGAGCGGTTCGGGTCAAAGGACGGCGACGTTGGCTGCAGATCGCACGCCGCTGCCGCAGCGGCCCAACTCGCTCGTTCCATTGGTGTATTTTATCCGCAGGTTACATGGACAAAGGTAACGTTATTCTCCGAACGGTATCTCATTCAGATAAATGGATGCTGTGTCTTGGAATTTGCAAACTCCAGATTCTTCCATTATTGATAGAAGCCGGTGGGAGCAAAATGCCAAGTCCCCGGTGACGACAGCTGTTGAACAATGTGCAGGGGGTTGGTTTGCAGGGGCTTGAACCTGGTGATGATCACCCACTCCCCATGGGGATTCTCCAGCCTCACCCCAACCTTTTCTCAACGTCCAGAGTTGTGGGCTGGAAGATCAATGTTCCGGGTTAGCATTTATATCTGTAAACTTGCCAGACCGGGCTTCCTTCAGATTACTCGATGACACACTTTCACGCCGGACACATGACACCAGCGGCGGTCACAAATACATTTCACCTCTGTGTCAGGTCATGGACACTTGAAGTTCCAAACCGTTTGAGCCTTAACTCTCGATTGGGGTCGTCAGACGCCCGCCGTTTGGTTTCACTAAAACTCGCTCATTATACAAGTCGTAATTTATGCCGGGTTTACTGGGCGGGCCATATTGCGGCCAGACAGGCCGTCGCAAGGTCGTGAAGTTTTTAACGCTTCTCAATTCCGGAGTTTAGTAACTTCCAACGTGCACCTGGTGCTAAAGATCTCCTGGACGGGACGTTGTCTTAGTTATGCACTTCGAGATACGTGGCCGACATAAGCTTGTGAAATACTATCAGATGAATCAGATGACCATCCATACTTGGAATATGTGAAAGGATATCAGCCCTCTCAGCTGTTTCAGACTTTGGGGACTGTGAGGGAGAGGTATGGTCTTGGTGTTCTCATGCTTGTGGATTCAGCAGCAACGAATCCCGACCCAGATAGCCCTTTGTCTAGGGTCAGTATGATACGCTCAGGCTCGGTGAATAAATAGATACTACCAATTCTTTGGAGTCGATTCTCACATGAACGCGTTGAAACCTATTGAGTACCCAGTTTTGCAAAACGACAAAAGGTTCCATCACTCTGAAAACATTACTCGAAGGGTACAAAACTGAACCGAATATATGGATGATTCTTCGAGCTTTGCTGGACTGGAGGGAGGAGAAAGAATGAAAGGAGAAGAAAACGATTAACACCTGATTACCCTCACACCACTATATACCTACCAACTACCTAGTGTTTTCTCATACCATTTGCCTGATCCTTCCCCCCAAACCACACCAGCACCAACAACCCTTCCATCCCATCTCTTCCCTCCCAGCCTCAGGCCCCAAATCCCCCCCTTCCACACCTTCCCTCCGCCACCACCCCCCTATATACCCCCCCTCCTCCCTTCCCCAATCACCAGATCCTCCCAACCCGCCAAATCAGCGATCGATGTTTGGCACAGCGGAATTGGGAGGAGCATCGCCGGTTGCCCGTCGTCGTCGTCGTAAATCGAAGTGGCCCTGGCTGGGTTCAATTCCCCGGGCTAGCGAAGAAAAGTTCTTTGTACTAAGGTACTGGAAAAGAGTTTTCGTAGCTGCTGATGTGTGTCCCTTTGGATGGGGGTGGGGTTTGTTTGGTGGTGAGACTTTTGTGTTTTTTTCCCCAACCTCTTTTTTGCCCTTTCTTTTTTCTCTTCTGATCATGTCCGATCGATCTGTTTCTGGTCAGTTCTTGTGTAAATTCTCCGTGGTGGGGAAAACATGTGTGTCATTCCGAGATGCATCATGCACAGGTATGCTGTCTAGTGTTGTTCCTGGGACTCGTTAAAAGCTGATTGGCAACATCTGTAGTGTTATTATTGTGTGTAATAGTAAAGTACCCCGTACATCATCCCAGTAAGGTAACCCCATTACGATTGTATTAACCCTCGGTCCCTTAACCGCAACCACTCAGCAAATCCGTATGACTCCAACCTAACCTCGACCATCCGTTAGAAGCCAGACCAGACGCTCCATAACCGAGCCGGGCATCCATCTGTTTTCTTGTCCGACAAGGAAAACGGGCCAAGAGAACCGCAACCAAAAAGAAGAAAGCCCCTCCTTCAATGTGTTCGTCAAGGGCCATCCTCAAGTCGACTTGAAAAGACATTGAAGCCTTTGAGGTGTTGGTTCCGAGTTCAATTTAAAAGGAAGGCTCAGGCGGATTAGGAGTGTCGGGAGTCGGGCCTGGTTTGGGATTCGGTTTGGCATAATCGAGAGAGACTAATGGGCGATGTTGGGCCATGGTGATGGTGATGGTGATGGGTGGTGTGTGGGTTTGGTTCTAGCGTGAGTCAGTCGGGTGATGGTTATATCTCAAGTCTCACGGCACCTACATGTATCCGACTGCTATATGGATTTAATAACAGGAGAGAAAGTCTTTGGGCCGAGTCTGTTGAATGGAATGGGTGTTGGATGATAACCAAAGAGGCAGAGCAGAACCACACTCAAGAGTTCATTCACCCTTGTAAAGTTTGTCTCGTGTCGTGTCTCCGAGCGGGCCGTGGGGAAGAAGGCTTGGAAACGAGTGAATCTTGCTCCAACATCCAAGACCTCCCACCAGGACGAGACACACCTCTTTAAAGAAAAAAAAGAAAAGACAGCTGAACTACCAACCCTCCCTTGACCCCACCCACCTTACACACTACCCCCCATCTTCAACCCAGACACACGCCCCTCCTTCCCTTCCTCGTCACATCGAAGTGCAAAACACCGTTGCATCCTCAGCGTGGGACAAACAGGGAGTAGGGGTTGGGACCTGGAAGAGGATGAGGGTAGGGTACCTAGGACAGGGAAGAAGGGGGGGTCACCACATCTGGGGTAGCACGGCCCTTGACGCGAGAGGCGAACGCGGCAGCCCTATGGGAGGGCCCAAGGGAGGGCGATGTCTGAAGTCGAAATGGGATGTGTGGAGGAGGCCGGGTGAACGATGCTTCGGTAGTGTAGGCGAATTACCTTGAGATAGGACGTCGTCAAATATGAACAACAGTCATACCGAAAGCTGCACGAGGTATAGCATCCCGGGATACACTACTCTGGCGGTTGGTTTGATCATCCTGCGGTGGGGTGCCGCGGATACGCGGTCGTGGCCGTGGTCGTAATCAACGTGTGCGAGTGTTATAGTTTCCCCGGTACTCCCTCCATTAATAGAGATCATCTGGGTGTGTTTTCATTTTGTGTTGATTATCTTGTTCCCCTTTCCGGCCTCCCACTTGAAGACTGTCACCAACGTGACCCTTTTTCGACAATGCAAAGAGCCAGGCAGTGCCACGTCGTCTCCGGCGTGGAGGCGTAGGACCAAAGAGTGGGAGACGCACGGATCAAACCCATACTTTCAAGGTTGCGGAACGTCATCATCCTTACTCCTAGAGTAGGGGTGAAAGAGGGGGAGCGTCCACAGATGACGAGGGCTTGTCCGAACCAGGTTGGTTGTGAGATCGTTTACGGTGTTGTACATAACGTCCCAATACAACGGCAGCAGTCGAAGACAGGGATTATTGCGAACTTGCTCAGGTGACGGCCGGCGGGAAGCATGGGTGCTGCCTGATGCAACGAGGCTTCCATCATTCCATGCCTTCTTCCTCCAAGATCAACCGGCGGGACGGTCCTGTATGTCATCCGGCTGCATGACTGGCACGCTGGCTGCACGTTACTGCAGAGGGCCGAGTCCTGCACGTCCCCGCGGCCGGCAGAAGGATCCACGAAGGCGCCGAGCTTTTCGAGAACCCGATATACCCGGGTCCGTGCTCAGGCGTTTATTCACTTGTTAGGGGTTACCAAGACTCCGGGGGCTGTTTGCTGTCATGCACCAGGAGATAATTGTACCAGGCGGCAAAACAGGACGGAGGGAGGAGGGGGTGTGAGGGGGTATATGTGAGTAGGAAACAAGAAACCATGGTGTTGATTCTTACCGTAGATGTCCGGATTCCAATGACGAATTCTCCTAGTATCCGAGACCAACCGCAAACAACCGCATCACCCCAGACGAGACATCCCGTCCTCCTGCTTAAAAGTCTGGGCTGCCCGTGTGCTGGTGTGTTGTGGACGCGGCCAGCAAAGGCAATAGACCAATCCGTGTTGATCAGAGAGCGGCCGATCCATTGCCGACACCGCTACGGATGAGCCAAACAGCAAGGGCGATTGCGCAGCGTGGTGTCAAGCTCTGTTGCCGTGGTGCTAGCCGCTAGTTGTCCATTGGGACCTTTCCTTTCTCGATGACATGGCGGAGGGCGGACGACGATGACTCCCAAGGCCCCAAGCAGAGCAAACCCCCGTCACGGACTTAGCTCCGGCAGACTCGACTCGAATAGGTATCGACATCATACGTTGCAAGGCCCCCGGGTGTTTCGTGTTCCTCGACTGCCGCCGTATGCGCTGTGAACGGGAGTGGTTGATGTCCTTTGAGAGAGAGTTCCAGTGCCATTGGGAATGGAGTCCACTCCGCTCCTGCCCCTGACGATGTCAATGCTTGACCCCCACCGACACCACGGTGCTCCGGTTGGCATTGTTTCAAAGTCGGTCCGTGGGGAGCCACGTGCGGCTAGCCCGTCTTTTCTGGGGGGTAACGGCCGGCTGCGAAGTGTGATGAGTGTGATTCATCAGTCGTTGACTAGGTCGCTCCTGCCGCATTCCTCGTGTTCTTTCTTCTTGTACCAGTCCAGATTCGATATGCGAGGAAGGAAGGATTGTACGGAGTATCCGTGAACCAACAACTTGTGGCCCGCTCTTTCCCTCTCGGCCGCTGACGTTTCTCATGACCCCCATCTTTCTTATCAGCTCAATATCAGCCCAATATCAGTTCAGCACGGTCACGAGATTAATAGAATCAACTCGGATTGGAGAACGTGGTCCGGTTCCATCACTCATCCGTTCTTCCGCGCTTTGACTCCTAGAATTCTTCGGTTTCCGTCCTGGGCTGCACGGACGGGTCGTTGGCGGTTGCGAAAGTTCTCGGGCGCAGTCGAGGTTGTTTGATTAAAAAATGGTCAGAGAGAGCAAGTTTCCTCGCGAGACCCAAACCCCACGAGCAAATCCCCCACATGTGGCCAGTATTATCTCCACTTAGAGCCCCGCAGAGGACCCTGCCAGGGCCTCCAAGCGCTGTTTCTAGAAGGTTTCCCCGCTAAGAACGTTCAACCGCCGAGATCTTCAAGGGGTCGCTCCAGGCAGAGAGGGTTCATAGACTTGTCCCCTTGATCCCAACAATAAGCTGCAAATTAACGGATTGCGTGGGTGGAAGGGAATCCTTGAAGAATTCCTTGAAGCTCCCAATCACCAGAGACCATGAGGCGCGAACAATGGTAAAGAATGCCGATTGTCTGATTTGAAGCATGCGCGGCACTTTTTCGCTGTCTCCATTCGAGCCCCTGATATCTCCCAAGCGGGAGGAAGACATCCGTTTTTCAGTCCTCGGGCCCGAAAAGAACACTAAATTGTTAGTAGGCTCGCAAAGTTGACTTAAGACAGCCGCGTATGGATGGACAACCAAATCCTCGTCCCCGAAATGGCTGGGCTTACTCGACCTTCAACAAAAATCCCAGTTTCACCACTCTCTCGGTTGTCCCGGCACATGGGCGGCTCCTCAGCTCGGCTATCAAAGAGGTGTGTCATTTGTGTAACCTGTCACTGAAGACCCGAAGGATGGAGGTGTAACGCCCCGGCTGCATCGCCGTTGTGCTCCCTTTGCCTGCTTGGGCAGAGGATGCTCATCTTATTGGCCTGTTTGTCTTGCTTGGACCTGCGAGCCATCCGTTCCTTCCAGCGGCCCCGGATTGCCGGAGCGGACCTTGGACTCAGCATTCTTGTACCCCACCTTGCCCACCAACACTGCGAGAGACGCCCCGCCACGATGCCCCCACCAGCTTCCCTCGCTCAGCTTCGGGCCACTGGATCTCGTCAGCACATGCCGAGAGCTTGACCTAGCTACTCAAACACAGTGCCTGAGGGGAATTGACGGAGGGGGCCTTGACTCTACTTGAGTTGAGCGATTTCCGGTGTTCATGTGAGGCTTAATACACAGAGAGAAAACCTGTTGAAACAGAAACCATCCATTCAATTGGAAATCTAGTAAGTTGGCACACAGCCTGAAGACTAAGAAATGCCGGCCGCGTCAAATGCCATGTGGCCCGCTCGGTTCATCGTAGCCGAACGAGGCCGAACAAAGGAAAGGACAACACTGTCGTCGCAAGGGATAGACTCTGTAAGAAGTGGAGTTGATTGAGAGCATCTCTTTTCTCATCTCTCCTTCGACTCGACGAGTAAACTATGCTCATCATCTCAAGCTAAAGTGAGGAGACAACACCAACACCAATACAATACTCACCCTTTCTATCCCATCTTTCGAACCCATACCGGGGAAAAGGAGAACCAAAAAACAAGCCAAAATGTCCCCCATCAAACCGCACTGGGCCCAGCCCTCGCACCCGCACGTCCAAGAGGTCATCGTCAACGAGGCCGCCTTCACCACCAAGAGCATCTCCAAGACCACCCTGCCCCCTTTCGGCTTGTTTGCCAAGATGGACTTTCCCCCTTGCACCGTCGCCCCGGAAGCGACGTACGCCACGGTCCAGACGGGCCGGGACTCGCATTTGGATTTGAACAGCGATTTGCTGTATATCAATCACTCGTGCGAGCCGTCGTTGGTGAGTCTTTTTTTTTTTTCCTCCCTTCTTTTTGGTCACTGCTTGGGGAACTGGTGTGGAGGGTTATGTGTGTGTTTGGGAGTTTGTATGAGTGTGATAGGGGGGGTATTTGTTGACATCGCTCGCTAACCCAACCACCCTTTTCGGGTACGTCCCACCTCCAGATCTTCGACACAGCCAGCTTCACCATCACCGCCGGCCCCAAAGGCCTGAAACCCGGCGATGAGTTAACAGTACGTCCCCTACCCCCTCTTCCCGCAAAAAAGCAAAAAGAAATAGCGAAGCTAAAGTAAAGTTAGTTCTTCTACCCCTCCACAGAATGGTACATGGCCCAGCCCTTCACCTGCCTCTGCGGCACCCCGACCTGCCGCGGCCGTATCGCTGGTGCCCGCGACATGACGCCTACTCAACTCGAAGGGCTTTGGCTGAACCGTCATATTCGTGATTTGCTTGAGGAGCGGGACGGCGCTGCCGCTGCTGCCGCTGGTGGTGCTGCCGCTGGTGGTGCTGGACAGGTTAATGGCCAGGTCAATGGTCATGGCCATGGACTGAAGGGTGGTAGTATCAAGGTTGGTGGTGGTGTTAGTGGTACTACCGCCGGCGCTGGTGCTGCCGTTGGGGGAAGTGGGTATGTCACGGCGAACTCGGCTTCGGCTGATGTGTCGGCTGGGGCGCAGCGGCGTGGGCCGACGTCGAGGGAGTTGAGCGGGGAGATGGGTGGTGATACGTCTGTTTAGAGTGGGTGATGGATGGAGGGGGTAGTTGGGTATGGTCTCATTCTTCTTCCTTTTTTCGTTACTTTTTCCTTAGTTTCGTTTTTGTTCATGTTTCTGTGAGGTGGTTGGCCGCTAAGTTTCAACAACGACACGACGTCAAAAAAAGGAGTGATATTTCCATTTTATTTATCTTTAGGCTTCCGTAGTCAATGATACATTGGTGCTATGTATGTTACACTTGATTTACATTGTATCTGATCGAGGAGGGTGTGTGTACGCGTACCTATCCCAGCCGCCCGTCCCACATGTAAAAGCCAAACCAGCCAAACTCCTATTCATCAACAACCCATAAAGGCTCCCACTCGCCATGCTGCCTGCCTGTCAAAATAATATGCCATCGTATCGTACTGTACAAAAACAAGGCGCACCGGCCCTTGTCAACTCCGAAGAGTCGAGGGTATACAGGGGATCTCGATAGATCATGACCGACCGCCCCTCCGAATCCTCGCCCGTGCAAAAGCAGGACACGGCGCATCGCCCCCCTTAATCCCGCCCAGCAGCCAATCCGTCAGCCCAACAACCCTAGCACCCACGCCCTTTTCCCAATGCCCACTCTCTTCCACGTGCTCGATGATGTGGTTCAAGATGCGCCCTTCGCTGTCAAAGTCGAATATGAACAGCCCCGTGAACTCCTTGCCGCTGCTGGATCCCGCAGCCTGCGCCATCCCGATGGGGACCCGAGGGGGTTCATCTGGTTCGCGACCGGGCTGTTTCCCGCCGTGTGGGTGTATCCCGTTCGGATTATCTGGGGTGTGGTTGTTGTTTCCCGTTGTCTCGGATTCGCTTAGACTTTTGTTCTTATTATCACCACCCGCCCCGGAACCATTCCCAAACCGCAGCAAATCCCTCAACTTCCTCCCCGCCCCCCCAACCGTCCGCCACCGTACAATCAACTGTTCCCCACGAGCCCCCTCCGGCCGTCTCCCACGCCCATCACCACGATCCCCCCCTACTCCACCCCGTCCCCCGTCACAAAGCCTCCCTGATGAATAAACCGGGTTATCCACCATGCGCTCGCTGAGAATCTCCAGCCGCACATTCCCCACGAGGGGCACGCGGTTCCATGCGATGGGCGACGACCATAGCGCGGCGGTGTAGGCGACGCGGCCGGAGACGGTGGGCAGGTGCGGGTGGGTGGAGGGGAAGAGGTGGAGGGTGATGGAGGGGGCGAGGATTTGTTGCGGTGGTGGTGATTCGAGGAGGGTGGGGAGGTGGGTTTGGAGGATGCGGAGGGCTAGATGGGAGAGCGGTTAGTTGGAAGAGCAGTCGGCGGGGAGAAAGAGAGGGTCATGGCGTACTCTTGCCTAGCTTGACTTTGCGGTCTTCGGGAGGTTCGTTGTTATTACTCGGCGGCTCGTAATTGCTCGGCTCGTAGGAGAGGAATGGTGCGCTGGGTGTGAAGTGCGCAGGCTCGAAGAATGCTTTGTTGGGCCGCGGGGTCGTGGGTTCTCGAAAGGCGATTATGTCATTTGTGGTCGTCGGTGGTAATGGCGGAGTCAATGGCAGTTGAGATGCCGTAGAAACCTGAGCGGCAAATAGTCTGGTGCCGCCGCGCTTCTTATCTGTGGCTCTTGCGGAAAGACTCCATGATGGTGGTGCGGCAACTGCAGCAACTGCACCGGCTGTTGTCGCTGAGACCCGCCCGGCAGAGCTGTGCAGAGAAGAACGCAGTATCGACGCCTGTGAGGGCATTTGTGTGTATCTTTACTGGCTCTGGCTTTGAATATCACATTCCCATGAGATTGGCCGACTGCTGGACCGAGTCGTCCTCGATCGCTGGGTTGGCGGGGCTTGGTGTTCAGGTGTTTGGGCGCAGCAGGGATGATGTCAGTGATGGGATTTGTTTTTGTCTCGGCGTTGACATTGGCTCAGGGCCCCGATAAGGCGATAAGCCCATACCATGGGCCATGACTGCTTGTAATGACGGTAACGATGGATGAGAAAGCAGGACCGGGTCGAGCAGGAAGGAATCGATTCCTGAGGGGTTGCATCTCTTATCGCTACTGTTCAAACACGCACCGACCCGTCCACGATGCTGTGCTTTGTTGCTGCCGGCTATTTATTCCCATGCATATCCGTCAAGCACATGCACAAGACTATATGCGTTTATCACGACGTCAATGCCACATTCTTGCGAATTCTGGCAAACCATCACCTCATTTGCCGTAAGCAAAGATTTCGAGGCCGAAATACAAACCAAGTAAAAATAATCCTTACAAAAGAGGTCCCTTTGTTTACTCAATCTCGTGAAAAGTGGCTTGTTGTTGGGACATGCGTTGCTTGCATCCCTGTGGTTTGCTTCAACGAAAGCAGGCCAAGCCCGGGATCCATGCTCCAGTTGTCTCAGCTCTTGTCTTTGCAGCCTGACCGCTGCCAGCTGACGCCCAGTGCGACATGCGACTCATAGGAGCCACAACTCACCGTCACGAGCCGGTCACCTGGCTCTTGGGTCCATGGCATTCAGGCACCCCATTCATGGGATTTCGAAAAGGGGACAGTTTGGCATCTACAGGCCCCCTCACTTCCAATAGTGGACTTTTACCCGGTTGTTTTACACAGTTTTGGGGAGGAAACTTGGGTTGCATCTTTGGTGCAACTAGCCACACTTGCCACAGTGCGCATACCAGTCACGTGACTGTGCCCCCTGATACGCACCCCTCCAGCGGTGTCCCCCGGGCCAAGCTGGGTCATGGGCCAATTGTTCTGACGCCCTGACGCAGCAGCCTTCCGGCGGGCGACTGCAACACTTCTTTCGCAGAACGACTGGCCTTTCCACATCATCAACTCCCAGAACCATCATCAACCTTTGACTTCGCCGATTTTCCCACCAGGACCATCAACCAACCAGTCTTTGCATCTGACGCCTTCGCATCTTCAACGACGCAACTCCACAGATCGCCCAGCATGAATCCCGAGTAGTACGTTCGACGCCCGCCCGCTTCCGGCGCTCGCCTTCGCCGCCTTGCTCCGCCTTTGATCCGCTGCTGACCGTTCTGCTCTCTATTAGAGTTCTCTCCGCCTAACAACGCCGACACATGCGCCGCCCGCTGTGTTTCGCTACGGTCTCTCCGACGAACCTACTAACCATGTGCCAGATACGACTACCTTTTCAAGCTGCTGCTCATCGGTGACTCGGGTGTCGGCAAGTCCTGCCTGCTCCTGCGATTCGCTGACGACACTTACACCGAGTCCTACATTTCAACGATCGGCGTCGATTTCGTATGTTAAATCCACGATATCCAACGGGAAAACAACCGGCCAGAGTGGCTGAGACTGACCGACCCCTCCTTTAGAAAATCAGGACTATTGAGCTTGATGGCAAGACGGTGAAGTTGCAAATCGTACGTCCGGTCCCCGACACCCCGCCTTACTAGGGATGATATGCAGGAAATGGGAGCGACAGATGGTGAAGACTAGGCAGAACAGTCACTAATTTGACACAGTGGGATACTGCCGGCCAGGAACGGTTCCGCACCATCACATCGTCGTACTACCGTGGCGCCCACGGCATCTGCGTCGTCTACGATGTGACGGACATGGACAGTTTCAACAACGTCAAGCAGTGGCTCCAAGAAATCGACCGGTACGCCACCGAGGGCGTCAACAAGCTGCTGGTGGGCAACAAGAGCGATATGGCGGACAAGAAGGTCGTCGAGTACACAGTGGCCAAGGTAGGCAGGCGTTCCCCCGCGCATCCGCTGCGTGTCAAGTTACACATAAAACCACAGAAAACACTAACCCCCCCGCTCAGGAATTCGCCGACAGCCTTGGCATCCCCTTCCTCGAGACCTCAGCCAAGAACGCCAGCAACGTCGAGCAGGCCTTCTTGACCATGGCCCGCCAGATCAAGGAGCGCATGGGCAGCAGCATTGCCACGAACAACACGAAAGCCAACGTGAACGTTGCCCCCGGCCACGGTGTCTCCAACAACCAGTCGGGCGGCTGCTGCTAGGCGGTTTTCAAAACACACAAACAAACAACCTCCGACTTCTGCGCCGCCTGTTTTTGACGTTGACGTTGCCGTTGCTGTTACTGTTGTTGTAGTTGCTGCTGCTGCTGCTGCTGCTGCTGCTGCTCTGCTCTGCTCTCGGGTGTTTACGGTTTCTTTTTACACATCGGATGGGTTTTGTTTTCGCCGGGAGGGGAGGAAGGGAGGGAGGGTAGGGAGGAAACACACTACTATCTATCGGGCGCGGTTAGATCATCTGCGGGAGGATGCTGCTGAGGGGGTTTGATGCAGTGGGTGAGGAGTGCGTCCCGGTCTAGAGAGAGAGGGAGAGAGGGAGAGAGAAGAGGTATGTGGGGTGTGGGTGTGGGGGAAAGTGTCGTTTGGATGCGTTGGCGGCGGCTGGTTCGGGATTTTCCATTTGCCTTGGGCTTATCTCGCCATTCTTCTGCCTAGAATCTTCTGAATCATCATCATCATCGTCAATCGTCAGTCACTCTTGGGATTGTCTTGGAGAATTCCGAAGTGTTTTGAGGGAAGAGGAAAGAGGAGATATGGTTAGATGGGGCTGTCTTATCTATCTATCTATCCTAGGTTGTGAAGAAGAAGAATAGGGGTAGATGGGAGGTCTTGGTAGGTCTTGCTTGGGCATGGTAAACGGGGAAGGGAACCGCCGTAGGATATGACATGACGGGACATGCGAGCCAGACAGATATAGGATAGGGATGAGGTCGGAGAAGGGTATGCTGATTTTAGTTATTTATTTATTACTTCTTTTCGAGATTATCCTAACGACACCACCCCCAGAACCGCTGACTGTCGTGTTAGTACCACCTACCTACCTTGTTTACCACTGCTCGCGGCTCCATGCCTGGTGTTGGGTGCCACGCCGATCATACATAAGGTTTGGTGTTGTGTTGATATCTGGGTTGAGTGATAAATCGACGGATGAATGGATTCATGAACTGCTACACTCATGCCTGTACATCGCCGATGTGATGCTTAGTGGTCTGGCAATGGCCACGGTACTTCCCGCTTGCGCATGTGTAATGTGCCCAAGGTACGTACCTAGGTCGGTATGTGGTAGCAATGTTGTACCACCCAACTTACCCGAGACTAAACCACCTACCATACCTACAGTACCATTTCTCACTGTACACAGCGTGACACAGGGTGGAGCTACGGACCTTGAGGTGGTGGGTGGGATGTGTTAGAAGGGGATGACAACTCACTCACTTGCTCACTCACCAGCTGTGACACTGGCCAGCGACGTACGTTACGTGAAGAACGCAGGTATTATCAGCAATACCCGAGGAACTTTGCTTACCTAAATGGGGGATTGATGCTTGTTTATATTATTCTTCCATGTTTTAGTTAAACATTTCCTAGAGCAGATTGATGATGAAGAACGATGCGCACATAAAATGCAGAAAGAATGACGAGTTGGTTGGGGAGTCGGGATTGCCTAAATGAGGAGGCGTGATGCGGTGCGTTGTTATGGATGGTGTTTGCCCTATCCTAACGTTAATTCAACAACCAGGCAGGGCGGGTGGGTATGTATGCCGTAACACATGCGTTCATCCACTGTCTTACACGTCACATCTCACAGGTATGCACACAAACAACCCTGTCAAACGACGAGCTGTATATCGGTGGTGTTGTATCAATACATACCGAGATGGTATTCAACGCAGGTAGGCAGGTAAACACCCCATTCACTACCTAACTAACCCCGAAGCCAAGATTTCTCTGGTTCAACCCAGTCCATTCTCATTCTGGTCTGTTGTACTGTGATATCACGAACAAGGAGAGAGAAAACAGGGAAGGAAAGTTGGCAGAGGCAGGAAGTAAGAGTAAACAATATACAATATACAATACACTACCAAAGGCAGAAGAGCAAATAAACTGACAAAACTAGAGTTTGACGAAATAAATGCAGCCTGAGGGCTCAGTGAGACATAGGAAGTACTGAGTGAGTGATGGAAGGAACAAAATAGAGAAACAAATAAAGATAGATATCAAACAACAGATCCAAGAGAAAAAATCAAGATATAAGAAACATCAACATCAAAGCAACTGCCCCGCCCAGCCCCAACCTCCAACCCCCCCAAACTCGTGCCCACCCGTCCCGAATTAAAGTTATCGTACATACAGTCACGGCGTGCCTTTGTTGCATCGTGAAGGAAGGAAAAAGAGAAGGTATAAACCTAAAAAAGAGAGAAAAAAAGAAGGGAAATGGTAGGAGGTAGGTACCTGGACCCATCCATCCATCTATCTGGCAGGGGAACAAACCCCAGGTGTTGTGTTCTCGCCAGCACAAGCCTGCCCTGCCAACTAAGCCCTTGTAGTAAGTATCGAATCGAAAACCATGACAAACGAAAATAGAAAGGAAATACGGGCGGCCAGCCCTATGCTAGTGCCCCGTCTCCGGCTAGCACCGTCTCTGACACACAGACCGCCAGCCAACCACCTAGCCAGCCAGAGCCAGCCATCCAGCTAGAAACAACCCTAAGCCAACCCCAACCACTTCATAGCCTTGCTACTCCGTCCCCTCTCAATCTCAGCCCGCGTCTTCATAAACAACGGCATCAGCCGACGCATTTCCTCGTCGTCGTCCTCATCATCATCGTCCAGATAGTCCTCGTCGACAAAGTTATCGTCGAAGCCACCGGCGGCAGCGTTGTTCGCAGAGCCTGTGTTGCTGTGGAGGTGGGCGGTGTGAGGTGTGAGGGTGAATGGGTTGTTGGTATTTGTGGCCGTGGTGGAAGCGGTGTTGGGGGAAATGATGTTGTGAGTGGGTTTGGGGTTGACGAGGGTGGTGCTGCTGCTGCTGTTTGTGACGGTGGTGGTGGCGCTGTTGGGCAAACCACTACCAAGAGGTCCGATATCGATCGCGGTGGGCGTCAAGCCAAAGTTTTGTGTGTTCGCAAACTCAAAGGCATACACGTCGTCGTTGAACACGGCCGCCTTCTCGTCCACAATCTCTTCCACTTCTGCTGTCTGCTGCTGTGGGCGCGGAGGCTGCTGCGAATGCTGCGGCTGCGGCTGCGGCTGCTGGGGCTGTTGTTGCAGTGGATGGAGTGGCTGCTCCGGCGCTGCGTGTTCGTCACTGAAAGGGTTGCTGAGGTTGCTCAGGTTGCTGGTGTGGCTAATGCTGCCATTTCTGCTGGCCACCTTGACAGGGCTGCTCACCGCGATGGTTGTGCCGGTTGCTAACACCGCACTAGACACGTTTGGCGTGCTAGCAGGAGCTGGCACACTCGGAATAGCGACCGGCTTGGTAGACTGCAGTTGTGCCAGCGGTTCGACCTGCGGTATCGACAGCGAAACTGGTGGCGGTGGCGGCTGATACATCGGCTGCGGCACGACCCGAGGGATCGCGCGTGGCGAGAGCTGTTCCGAGGCCTGGTGCCGGTGGAGTTGGATATTCGTCACTTTGGTGACGATGGGAGCATCCACAGCCGCGACCGGGCGAGTCCCGGCTAGGATCCCACCTGTAGCAGTGATCTCACCAACAATCTCCGCAGGCGGTGTCAAGACAGCCGGGGTCGGTTGTTGCTGTTGCTGCTGCTGCTGCGGTTGCGGCTGAGGGGCAGGCGGAGGAGACAGAGGCGTGTAGTTGATCTCGCCCCATTGCACGCGGCCCTTGGCCGGCAAGCTTTCGCATCGGAGTGGGTGGATGATGCGGCCCCAGCTGGGCGGACTGGTTACTGAGACGGAGGAAGACCGTGGCGGAAATCCGAGTTGTGGCGCTGGCGTGGCCAGGACCGGTTGGGCAGCTTGTGGGGGTTTGTCAACGGGTTTCGTGGATATGGAGGACTGCGAGTACACGGATGACGCCGTGGGTGAAGTTGGTGGGGTGATGACGAGGGTGGAGGTTGGCATGTGAGATGCCTCCTTTTGCTTTTGCGGCGGTGTTGACGGGCGAGGCGATGTCTCCTGCGATGGATCGCGAGGGGGTGATTGCGACCTTGTTCTGGGAATATCTGCGGCTTCCCTCTCCGGAGCTTGCGGCACAGGTGCATCATATGCCGGGCACTCCGGGATATAGTAGTCCGAAATGGATATCAGGTTTTCCCGGACCGCCGCCACGAAGCTGGCCGTCTCAAACCCAGTCGCCGATGAGGTTAGCAGGAAATTGGCATTCGAGAACGAGAAGGGCCCGGAAAACGCGCCCGGCCTGAGCGAGCCGTTGCGGCTGTTGTTGAGCGATCGGAAGCCCTCGCTCGGCCGGCGGCTCGGCTCGGGGATCGCCAAAGACTGCTGCGCCGGGGCTGACTCGTCGTTGTTGATAATGCCCACGACCCTCATCAGCTCGCTGCCGATGAGTGTCTGTAGCGCGAGAACGGTGGGTAAATGTTCGGGCGGGTACTCGAGCAGCAGAAGGCGGACATCTGGGTGCGCCGCGAGGTACGTCTCGAGATGTGGGATGATGAGCGCGGCCAGCAGCGCGCGGTCTGCGAAAGGGTTGCTGTGGACCTGCTTGGTCAGGGGCTGGGCCGTGAATGCCTGCATTGCGTTGGCAATGAGATACCTGTTACTCGTTAGCATTTTTCAATACCCTTTCTATGTCCTTGGAACATACCGAATATCCAACCGTCCACTCCGCGACAGCCCGCTCGACTTGAACCCCAGCTTCTCGATCTGCCCCATGACTTCTGCCAGCCGTGTCTTGGTCACGCCGCTCTCCGACCCAACCGCCATGATCAAATCCAACCTTCTCTCGCCTCCTTCCTGGGGCGCAGCCCCAGCGGCCACCTGCTTCTGTTTCCCCTCAACGTCCAGCGGCCTCCACAGACCCCCTTCTCCATTGGTTGGCACCTCGATCCCGCTCGCAGCCGAGAACCGGCGGTCAGCCAAGGGGAACTGTGACCCCAGGAAGGACCGCAGAAAGTTCTGGATGGACAGAGCAGTCTCCTGGTCCACGCTGATGCTGTACAGGCGCGTCTCACTCGAGGAGATGCTCCGAATGGACGATGACGATGAGTTGGGGGGGTAGGGCGAGTGATTGGGCGTGGGCAGACCGTGGACCAAGTCCTTGCGCGCCCACGGTGTCATGGCTGTGCTATTGCTCTTGCTGTGGCCGTTGCCGTTGCTGTTGCCGTCACTCTCACTTTGACCGTCCGCGGCCCGACCCAGATCGCCTTGTTCGCCCTGCTCACCTTCCTGTACATCTTGCACCCGGGACCTCGACCGACTCCGAATTTGAAATGAGTCGAAGTCCGACTCCCACGAACCCGGCACTGACGGCCTCCGGCTCCCATCGTTCAGCCGGTTGAACACAAAGTTGTGCAGGTCGTCAGGGGTTTCAGGGGTAAAGAACACGACCAGGTCCTCGAGCAGTGGAAGCACAGATCCAAACGGCGATCTCGTCGACGAGATTGGTGGCTTTGCCTCTGTTGGGTGTGATGCCTCGTCATTTCCAGTCTCCTCTTCTTCAGGCAGCGGGCCAATCCGAGCCGGTGGTACTGTCGCCCCCGCCATCGTCGTCGTCGTCGTCGCCGTCGATGTAGTTGTTGCCGTCGTTTCACCCTCTTCACCGCCCCTCCCACGCACCGGCCCCTGCGTTGGCGAAATATTCGACTCGACAGTCCTTGATCTCCTATGAATAACCGAAGGCGCGGCTTGCCCCCGTGCCTCATACACTACCGGCAGTCCCCCACCAGCTGCGGCGTCACCAGCCCACGGTACCGACGATGATGGGATGTGCAGCTTGAGCGATGGCCGGCGTGAGCCTGACGGGGAAGAGTGCGCTGTGCCTGACGCAGAAGAGGAACTGTCCTGCGATGCCCGTGGCGTGGTATGTGCGGAGTGCCATATTGTCTGTGTTGGGCTTGTTTGGCTGCCCCGGCGTGAGCTCGTCCGGGACCTCGACGACCTCCGAGAAGTTTCGGAGGCCGGGGTGGAGGCTGAGGCTGAGGTCGAGGCCGGGGGTGATCCAACTGCGAACGGTTGGCTCGGCCGTCTCCGAGATGGTGGGGGCGGGATGTCGACCAGCTTTACAGTGAGCTCCACGTCCGGGGTGCGTGGTTGCAAGAATTCGGTTTCCTTGTCGAGAGCCTCGGCCGCTCGCATGGCGCGGATGATGCGGTCATTGATCGAGGAACGGATTTTGGCTCGAGACTGAGTGCTCTCGTCCTCGCGAAGTGCCATAGTATTGCCCCTTCCCCAGCTATTTCGGAAGCTGCTTGCCTCGTCAGTGGTCGGCTGTTCCGTGATCCTGTCCTGGCTCGCATAGTGTGGATGTAGATTTTGATCTTGGTTCCGGTCTCGGTCCCGGTGGCGGTCCTTGTCTTCAGCGTTCAGAGGCGAGAGTGGCTCGATATACGGCAGCGTCATGGTGGGATACCCAACTGACCCAGCTGATCCGATGCTGGCGAGCCGTAGAAACGTGGCGTGGGCCTCCTCGACCTGAGTCCCGGGTTCGTGTTCCATGATGGCCGAGAGGCAAGTCAGCCGTGCCGACAGAGCACCGCCGTGGAGAATGACAAGTTTGGTAATCGACCCCTCGGTCGTGTAAGTCGGCAACGAGGTAGGCCGCAAGAAGTCCAAAGCCTCGGCGTGTCGAGCCTGGTACGCCGCGTGATACTGGTGAATCAGCTCGCGAGGGCTGAACGTTGTCTTGGAGTGACCCGCGTGATTCTGGTGATCTTGGTGATCCCCGTGTCTGGTGTCCACTAGGTAGTGTTGAAGAGGAGGGAGCACGAGAATGTGGCGGGAAGTCGGGAGAAGACGTAACTGAGTCGAGACAAGTTCCGAGGGGCCCTCTAGGGAAACGATATGTCCGGACCGCTGGGAGGATGAGATCGGCAGGGCCATGATATGGGCCCAGGCTCAAGCCGCTCAACGGCCGGGAGTCGCGATGTTGGGCTGGCAGGGGGGGAGAAGAGGACGACAGGGGGGAAGACGGAGACGGGGGTCGTGGAGGGTCGTTGAGATCGTCGCCGCCACGCTCCGAGAGTGAAACCAGCACCGCAAGCAACCGGCAAGGTCCGGGGTGAGCGATGAGAGTGGGGGGATTCCAGAGTATTGTGATGGAGCCCAAAAGGAAAAAAAAGAAAGAGTAACCCCGGATACACAGACCCAGTCTGGCCGAGGGAAAAATGATGTTTGCCAAAGTTGCTCCTTGACCGTCCACAGTATGGACTTGAGAAGACCTAACGAGCCAACCGTCTGGCAGAGAAAGAGCAAGTGGCTTCGAAAAAAGAAATCGAGATCGCCCAAACACCGACTAGGATGAGGAGTCCTCGGGGGACGAGGAACACGAGGGGCTTAAGGTGGCTTGCTTGGAGCCCATGAATGGGGGTTGAGAAAAAAAAAAACCGAAAAGTGACGAGGGCAGCAGACTTCGGGTGAGAGACCTGCAGGCAGCCTGCGTGCATGGCTTGACAAGGCGTCCGGGTTGGGAAATAAGACGAATGAATGAATGGGCGAGTCAACCGATAAGCCTCGACCCAACAACAAGCAGCAGTCTCATCAGCCCTGCTGCGGATGCATCTCCATGTTGCGCGGGACAAACAACGCCCAAAACGTGGATAGAACGCGAAGAGGAGTGGATATGGGAATCCGAGCTTGTGGAAGGCAAAGTCCCTTGAAAACGAGAGGGAGGAGAGGGCAAAATATTGGTCAGTCTACTGTGTAGGGGGAGTGGAATGGAGGGGCATGTTGTTGTTGCGTCTCTTTCCAACCTTGGAAGCTCCAAGCTTGTTTTCAAGCTCCAACACCAACCAGATCTCATCACGATCCCACCATCACGGCACCAACCAAGGCTAAACGATGCCCAACTGCGAGCTTCGGGCTGTGAACAACGCTGCATCCCACCCTGCGATCCGAAACGGCCATTGTAGGGTAGCAGCGACCACCAGCTTTCTTTAGCCTGCTCTTGGGGGCCAGGGCGCTCTTCTCGAGAACTGGTTCCGTGAAATGTTCTCTCCCCGGGAACCAACATGGGCATGGAAAGCTTCGCAATCGTCTCATTGGCTCACTGGAGTTTGAAACAGCCCTGTGCGACGTACCATTCTGTTAGAGGTCCAAACTTTACTTTGGGGAGAGCAACGTAACGGCCTGGGGGATGGGATGGGGGTTGCTCTGCCGTACCTGGGCATGCAAGCGCCCGGTGTGCACACCAACCACACGACTAATCCACCACAACAGGGACAGGCTCACTTGCTCGCTGTTGCTTGCTACTGGACGTGGTAAGGCCCGAGCTGCTTGACTAACTCAACCCCGCGTGGCTACTTGTGTCAGAGCAAGACATTCGTGAGGCAGCTGGTTCACGCACGTTGCCGGGTGCGTCGGATCGAAAGAGGTTTGCTGACTGACGGCCGAGTTTTTTCTTTCCACTCATATTCGGGGTTCCAATCGTTCCGTTCGTCTGCAGGTGGTGTTGCTGTCGGTCAGAGCTGTTCCTGTTCTCGAGGCTGCGCATGCGCCCTTCAGGTTCCAGGTCCCCCCCACTTGAACGCACGTTCAACAGCTGGAGTCGCCAGGGTCAGGGGAATGTATGCGCAGAGGCTGATCGCCGCAGGGCCTGCTGTCGGCATTCGACGGCAGAAATGCGAAAGGGCCCAGTTTCCTCGGGATTTGTGAGATGAGGATCGCGCGAAATGCAAAAAAATGGAATTGGATGGGGCGGGAGTTACGGGAAGCGAGTGGCCCCAGATGGACCAAGCTCTTAGGGCAGAAAACCCCAATGCCCAACGCGAGCAGGCCGTCGGGTGCTCTTTCTCTCCAAGTTCTTTCTGTTTGTTCTAACGTTAGTGTAGGCTTCCAGCGGAGGCAACTGGCAGTTGGGCAGTTGCGAACCAGAGAGCGAAACAAGCAAAGCAGATGCGCCAGGCGGCCGGGGTGCCGAGAATCCTCAACGCCACAATGTCTCTGAATGGTCAGCTCCACGGCGCGCCAACTCGATCGGGAAAGGGACGTGCACCGTGCTCTGTGGGGTTGTCCAGGGCTGAGTGCCGTAGCGTCCCATCACAGATGAACGGGCATGGTTCCGTGAGCGGCAGACGGCAACAAGGCTCAGGGGCCAGGGGTGCCTGAGCCTGAGGAGCATTTTCTCCCATCTTTCGTTTTCTGCCCTGGGACTGCACACTGGCTTTGCTTGCTCTGGCTCCCACAGCAACAAGAACAAGCCAACAAACTCGGCCTTAGCGTCCCTGGGCGCATCCCCGATCCGGGATGGCGTCGTGTAAAAATAGGGCAAGGTTGTCATCACCTCATCTCTTTGCCCTTGTTCTTCTTGGTTCTTTTTTCGTCTGGTCCTGTCGCCTTCGACGGTGAGAGATTTGAATGTGCGTGGAATGTGTCACCATGTTTGATTGATGATTGATAGTTACCACAGTAAAAAAATCTCTTTCTCATTCTCTTTTTCCCTTGCGGCCGCGCACGCGCATCGCGTCGGAGCTGACAACCGTAAGGGGGAGCAGATCGCCCGACCCTGCGCTGCTCTTCTCCGCAGACTGTACTGTATGTTCATACCGTCCGCAGGTAATCGGACCCAGGAATCGAGTACGGGACGAGACGAGACGAGATGACGAGCTGGGCCTAAAAAGGTCCCAACCGCACGGCACTTCGGCACTACGGCAACACGGTAATGTAGGCACCACAGGCTCGGAAAATGTCCGCGAGATGTTGTTTGTTGGTTTGACCCATGCCCGGGTCTCAAACCGGCCTCCCGCCGCCAACAAGCGCTAAAGCCGGGCGAACTAGCAGCCGGCGAGCGGACAAACTAACGGATGAACTAACGACCGTTACTACGCACTTGTCACGGAGTGGCCTGAGCCTAATTCGAGCGTCTTGTTGGTAACAAGATATGTGTTGTGACTGCTGTACTTCGTACACCAACGTACTTTCCAGCGCTAAACTATTTTCTATCTTTTACGTGGTCGTGTGTCGTCGTCTTGCGGCACAGCACAGGGGCAAACGCGGGATGAGGTACTATACCACATGGCTAACAACACAAGACAACACAGGAAGAAACCGGAGAGAAGAAACGAAAAAGTGGTCAAGGTCGCGAACCGTCGAATAAGCGGGCTCAACGCGAGGAATGTGTGGCTGACTTCGTTCCCTTGGACCTGGGATCCCACCGTTGTGGAATCCATTCCTTCTGGCACAAAGTTTGTCTGCAAGTTGACCCTGCCGCCTTCCGGTCCTCCCGTTCGTGATAGCGTGGGGTTGAAGCTCGACGATGAGAGGAGGGTTGACCACCGGCTCTCGTCAGCCACCGACCGTCCAGGCCATCCGGACGGTCCAGCATGCGCATAATGCAGGCAAACAAGATCTCACACAAGCTTCCCGAGACAACAACGACGCGAAACACGACCTTTTCTGTCTCCCCCTTCCTCTCGGTGTCACCGAGCTCAAGGTCTTCTCCGTTCAAGACATTTTCTCCGTGAGGGTAACGATCATCCCCCCCGTCGACCCCTTAAGCCCTACGATACGATAAGCCCGAGAAGCCTGGTCTTAGCTCTTTGACTTAGCTTAGCGGTACGAAGTACACGTACATACTACGGAATCCCGTGGGACTGGAATCCGAAAAAGTCTACCCGCAGCCGATGGCGCCACACAGCGCCAGTCCTGGCAATCAAACTGAATCATCAACCGTGTCTTCTTCAGTGTGTGGCGACCAGTGTCGTGGATGGTTGCGCAAGAGTGTGTAACTGCGGGAGGAAATCCACAGCTGCCAGTCCCACGAGAACGTCTTTTTAGAAGCCAGCCACCCGGACGCAAGCACGCAACACGGAATCACGCAAGCAACTGCAACTGCAACTGCAACTGCAACTGCAACTAACACTTATGCTTAACGCTTAACACAGCACCAGATGCACGTAAAAAGGTTTATTCGTCGTCGCCCATGAGCTCGGCGAGCTCAGCTTCCTCCTCCGCGCTGAGTAGATTATCACCTGTGGTCTCCTTCTGCTCTTCCTGCACGGGCTTCTGCTGCTCCTTGATCACAGCATCCAGCCCGGCCTTCTCCAGCGGCCACGTCCGGACAGTCCCGTCAATGCTCACGCTGCAGACCCGGTCGCCGGAAGAAGACCACCCGCCGCTCAGGCCGCTGCTGCCATTGCCACCTTTGTCACCTCGACTCCTAAGAATGACCAGTTCGGTGACCTCGTCGTAGTGGCCGACCAGCGCGCAATACAGCTTCCCCGAGGCCTTGTCCCAGATCTTAATGTCCTCATCGCGCCCGGCCGTGATCACCCACTGGTCCGTCACCGCCAAGGCGCGTACGTGGTCGCCGTGTTGGAAGGTGTCCTCGCAGGCGAACTGTCTAGCCCGCGCGAGACACTTGGCGGTGCCATCGCCGCTGGCCGTCCACAGGTCTGCGTCCTCCTCATCTCCTTGATTGCCATCCCCCGCAACCACCAGCTTGTACACGGTCGTCTCGTGCTCCAAAATCGTCCGGCGGTCCGTGCCGTCGATATCCTGCCCCCCCTTCCCACCCCCCTTCTCACTACCCTCGGAAGCACGCAGCGGCAAGTCGACGACATCAACCTGCTCCCACCCGTCCAGCCGGATCTTCCACCGGCGGATATGCGGGTCACTGCTGGCGCTGAAAAGCACCGCCTCATCCGGTGTCGACGCCGCATAGTCGACAGCCAACGCCTGCACACTAAGCATATTCACAACCACATCCTGAAGCGTGTGCAGCCGACGGCCCGTCGCAATATCCCATACCAGAATCTTCTTGTCCGCGCCGCCGCTGATCAGCACGTCCTGACCCCCCACCGTGGCGCACACGAGGGCCTTGACAAAGTCTGTGTGGCCGCCGGCGGCGTATTTGTGCCGCGGCGCTTTGGTGGCCAGATCCCACGACCAGACCGCCCTGTCCCACGAGCCGGCGAACAGTGTGGCCGAGTTAGGCCCGCCGCCGATGGCCACGGCGCTGATGGGCGCTGTGGGGCCGCGGTAGGTTGTTTTGGTGTCTGTGGGGTCCTGGGAGGGGGGATATCATGTAAGTCGTAAGGAGGGAAGGGAGGGCAAGGTAGGTACTGTACTGTACGTACATCTAGGTTTACCAACCGCACAGCACCAGCCGACTCGGCGACTAGGACGGCGGATGAAGGAGACCGCGGGTCCGGGATGGCGGCTAGGATCTTGGACTTGAGGACGATCGGGCTGCCATATTTGTTTCCGGCTTTTGCGGCACGGCGCTCTTTTTTATTGAGAGCGGCACTAAACCTAGTTAGCAGAAATTCGAGAGAATACGGATAAAGGTACGGAGTAAAGAAGATCAGAAGGTGTGGAGTGGAAACGAGGCTGTTTGATAAACGGACGAAACTCTCCAAACGCCAACCTCATCCCTTCAGTTTCCCCCTTTCCCCTTTTGGCTCAACTTACTCGGTCTCAAAGAAGTGTTCCGGGTCTGCTGACTGCATTTCGTCAAATATGGCTGGAAATTGGTGGGATAAAATGTCAGGCAAAAGATCAAAGCACAGGCTGCTTTAATACACCTCTCAAAGCTCGCTGCCTAGAAAATACTTTCAGTTTTTTGTTGTTGCCTCGAGTTGTTGATGAGTGATGAGATCTCAGTTCAGTGCCTAATGGAAGGGAATGGAAGTGGCAGACGTTCTCAGCTGGCAAGCAACTGGCAGCTTGACTTCCAAAGGAAGAAGTTATAAAAGTGGGCCTCGACGCGAAATCTAATGGGAACGCGGGTCGACGCGTCTCCCTGCAGCGCTACGACGTCCACTAACATCCCCGCAACAACGGCCCCACGAGAAAAGAAGCAAGACAACAACAAATACGACCAAACCACCAGAAATTGGACCTCGAAGTGCGGAAATTTGGGTTGAAACAGTCGAATGCCCAAAAATCGAATTTTGAAGGCTTAATTGACAGTATGGCGTCTCTCATCGCCTCACGGCCCCGGGCCCGGCCAGCGCACGGCGAAGGCACAACACGCTGTGTGTACACACCCGACGGCACGAAGCTAGTCACCGTCGGGTCCAACAACACGATCCGTCTCTACAAGACGGGCTTCAACGGAGAGCCCGACAACATCGACGACTGCCAGGAGCAGAACCTGGCTGTGTCCACGAGCAATGCCTTCTTCGTCGCCGGCGCCGAGGACGGCACGGTCAGCTATTACTCGATCGCCGACAAGCTCTTCGACAAGTTTCTACTGCGCACCAACACGCCCGTCCGCGATGTCGCCCTCTCTCCCGACAACAAATGGTGTGCGGTCGCCAGCGACGATCTGACTGTCAAACTGGTCGGCATCGAGGACAACACAAAGCTGTTAACCCTCAAGGAGCACAACAAGCCCACCAAGCACCTCTCGTTCGACCCCAAGGGTAGTCTTCTGGCCCTGTCCTGCACCGACGGCGTCATCTACATCTACTCGCTCACCGCCGACCACCCAGAGCTGATCCGCAAGGTTGACGGCGTCGCAGGCCGGACCGATAGCGAGGCCGAGGCCACGTGTCGGGCGGTTTGGCATCCAGACGGCCGCGCCTTTGCCGTGCCAACACCAACAAGGGACATCCAGGTTGTTTCCAAGAACGACTGGGAGAAGCAGCGCGCTTTCTCCAAGGGGCATGACGGGGACATCACGGCCGTGGCCTGGTCGCCCAACGGCGCGCTGCTGGCCTCGGCGGGCAAGGACAAGAAGCTCCTCATTTGGCAGACAAAAGATCAGACCGTCGTGGCTAGGTACGACTACCCGAACATCCTGGACATTGCGTGGCACCCGACCAAGAACTTGGCTTCGTTCACTACTTCGGAGGGCCAGGCTTTTATCTGCGATGACTTTGTGCCGGAACAGTTCGCGTCTCTGCTGGCGCTTCCGAAGCAGCCTGCTCCTTTTATTCATGATCCGCTCGCGGAAGTCGCCAATGGCCGGAGACCGGAAGCGAATGGAGCCAATCTGCCGTCACGCCCGCGGAGGGGCTCCCTGGACAGTTTTGCCGATTTGCTCGACGATGACGTCCTGGGAGATGAGGACGACGGGTTTGTGGTAGACGACGACGGTGCCGGGTACACGGTGAACACGGGCCGGAAACGCCCTGCTGAGGAGGATGGTCTCTTCGGACAGCAGCGCCCCAGCAAGCGCGGGAACTTTGTCCAGCCGCAGCTACACCCTTCGTTTCAGCCCGGGTCGACGCCATGGCGCGGCAACCGCAAGTACCTGTGCCTTAACCTGATCGGGTTCGTGTGGACGGTCGACCAGGACTCGCACAACACGGTCACGGTCGAGTTCTACGACCACGAGTTCCACCGAGACTTCCACTTCACCGACACGTTCTTGTACGACAAGGCCTGTCTCAACGACAAGGGCGCCCTCTTCTCGTGCCCGCCCAAAGACAACGCCCCGGCCGTTGTGTTCTACCGCCCGCATGAGACCTGGACGCAGCGCAGCGATTGGCGCATTCAGCTGCCCAAGGGCGAGGCTGTCTTGGCCATGTCGCTCAGCGATACCTTCATCACCGTGACCACCACCAGCAACTACGTGCGGATCTACACCTTGTTTGGTATCCCGTACCGTGTGTATCGGCCGAAGAGCACGCCGATTGTGTCGTGCGCCAGTTGGAAGGACTATGTCTTGACCATGGGCAACGGGCCCGTGGGTGCGGACGGCATGTGTCGGTTGCAGTACACGATCGAGAATATCAAGCGGGATGAGATCTGCCAGAACGAGGACACGGTAGCATTGCCAGAGGGCGCCACGGTCAAGAGCGTGTTCTTCTCGGACAATGGGGTATGTCTTTTCTTGCAGCTGCCGTTTTTCTCTGGGAGGGGGGTATGTGTTTGTGACGATACTGACAACCACAGGACCCATGCATCTACGATTCAACCGGCACGCTTCTAACCCTACTCCACTGGCGCAAACCCTCCCGCGCCACCTGGATCCCATTACTGGACACCAAGCTCTTGTCCCGCCTAGCCTCGGGCCGCAAGAAGGAATCCTACTTCCCCATCGCCGTGGCCGACGACAAGTTCCACTGCATCATCCTCAAGGGCGGGGACCAATACCCCTATTTCCCACGGCCCCTCCTTTCCGAATTCGACTTCTCCATCCCGCTCACCTCAGCCCCCAAGAAAAAGAAGAAGAAGTCCAAGCAGAACGGCCGAAAAAACGCCGACGCTGTCGACTCCGACGAGGACATGCTCGACAACAGCGACGACTCCGACGAAGGGGGCGAAGCCGACGACGACGAAGACGAAGACTCAACCGACCCCCTCGACGCCGAAACCCTCGCCCTCACCCAAACCTACCTCCTCAAATCCCTCCACGCCTCCCAGCTCCAAGACGCCCTCCACTCCTCCTCCTCGCACCGCGCAAGCACCGTCTCCCAACGCGCCCGCCTCGGCCGCCTGCACATCGACGTTGACAAGACCCTGCTGCAGATGCTGGCCATCGAGTGTCGCGCCGGTGGCGAGGAGCGGGGCATGCGCGCGCTGGAGGTTGCGGCGCTGTTGCGGGATCGCACGGGGAGGATGTTGGAGGCGGCGGGGAAGATTGCGGAGAGGTATGGGAGGGGGATGTTGGGGGAGAAGATTCGGGAGTTGGGGGAGCGGAGGGTGGAGGGGGGTAGTGAGGGAGAGGAGGAGGGGGAGGAGGAGTTGTAAGGGTTGCGAGAGTTGTGAGAGGGGGATTTTATATAAAGCGAGATTGGGCATGGAGTTGTGTATTCGAGTGCGAGAGATGGGAGGCGTGCTGGAATAATGATCATCATGAAGCAAAACTACTATTTGCGAGACCTACCCCGACTCCTTTTTACCTTTCTCCATTTGCGCTGATGATGGGAAGGCGTGTTGTTTTTGTAAGCCCCCATGTTCAACACTCTATCACTGGTTGTTTAACCTGGTTCCCGCGGGGCCAGTTCTCAGTGCCTCGCGAGTGGACGTGTTCAACCGCCTATGGACGTCGTTGCAAAGGGGCCTAAACACTGATAGCAGTATAAGCCGGCAATAAACCCCTTAAAATGATATTACCCCGAGGTAAATTTACAAGTACCCCCTTACCCATGCTATTAGTACATGTACTAGACTCCAGGTAGGTATCATAGCAGCAGCTGCCCCAACCGTTGGAACCACAACCCAAGGTATACCTAAGCTATGCATTAAACCCCCCACGAACTTAAAACAACAACACACAGAACAAGAAACCCAATGCACTACCCAAGCAAGCAAACCGAACAAAGAACAACCTTCCATACCACATGGAAACCCCCCGCCTCGAAACAGCAATCATGTTCGCCCGCCCAACTCCAAATCATGTTTGAACATCCATGGGGGAAACTGAAACAAGGCCAACCGGCCATTTTTAGGTGTAGGTAGGTGAAATCTAACCCGGGAATTACTATGTACCTACGGCAGGTCAAGGCCGAGCGCCCGCCCGGTGCTTTATGCCGGCCGTTTCGACTAGTGTCGTGTAGCGTAAATTCCCGGCCGCGGGGTAGCCGAGAGCTTTTGGGGGGTCGGTACCAAAGATAGGAGAGACAAGCTTCATGTTTCCGAAGTGCTGGGTACGCCATTTCTAGGTATGCACATACACTATGTATACTGGGGGTTAGTGTTCGTGGTGAACGGGCGGGCCGGCGGGAAACGGAATATGGGTAGGCGGGACAGATACTACAATGCACACGAGGTAGGCAGCCTTGCGGCGCTACGTAGGTTCAAGTAATGGAGGTAGGTAGTTAAGGTAACATTGAGGCTAGCGGTAGCCCCCAAAGAGAGGCGATGAAGCTGAACATGGCTGAAACGAGCTGCTATGCATGGAAATACGGTCAGCGGTGGCAACATCCAATTCGATTCGTGTTGAGATTTTCTATGCCCGAGTTGAGGAAGGCTGAGAGGCCAGCGGTAAAGCCGCGGTGCGCGCGCGGCAACGACCTGAAAAAGTGAGCATGCAAGTTAACGAACGCCCCCGCCGAACAAGAAACAAGGCAGGAGCTGAAGAGGTCCTCTCAATGGAAAGGCGGAGTGAGCGCCTAGGTTTTGTTTGCCGGACGGGACGGAGGCTCCCCGATTCGCGGTCGTCTCCGGCAATGCGAGGGGCCTCGGACTGGAAGGCTATCATTAGGTAAGTTGGTAAGGTAGGAGGGCTGGTACACGAGCTGGAAGGAAAGATGTTGGTGTTGGCCGTTGTGTAAGTCAGGGGAGTGGTGCGAGATGTGGAGCAAGACCCTGGGCTGCGAGCGGTTCAGGCTTCCGGGTACCGAAAGGCTACAGGGGGCCCCAGGCCTGTAACTGTTCGGTTTGCCCGATGACGACCTGGAATGGAAGTCTTCATGTCAAGCAGCGTCACGCATGGACTGCAGCTGGGATAGAAGCGTAGACGACGGCTCTTCAACCTGATGTGCTCGAGGCATGTTCGATCTTGAGATGGCCACTTGCGCCGACTGATCGACCTAATTCATGCGGATTTGTTTGCGCAGCTGACCGATGTGTCTGTGATGCTCCCCCAGCCACGTCCTCCACCAAGACTTGAAGGTTGACCCCACGCGGGAAGTGTTATTGGAGTGCCGAACTGCGCAGGTGAGACAACACGGTAGCACAATCCGGTGTTCGAGTAATAAGGTACCTCGAGCTGAGCGAGCTGTGGGTTGACTCGTTTCCGCCAGTGTTCGGCCGTGACCAACGAGCGGTGCGATGTTTGCAGGGCCAGCCTCGAGGCAACATTCAACGGGCCCGGGGCGTGGAAGCCAGGGCAGTCGAAGCAGGACTGGGGCATGAAGGTTCGAAGACCTTCTCGGGTTCGGCCCGGAGTCTCTAGCTGTTTCAAACGTGTCGTTCCGCGCGTGGCGAAGTCACAGACGGAGACCAAGCCGGCCAGTCTGACTCGCTAGGCCCCCAGATCGAAGTTCTCTCCCAGCGCAAATGCATACGCGGGCCGGGGGCCGAGACTAGTGCCGCTGCCTTGACAGGAGCGGGAGGTTGACAAGTGACAAGGCGGGAACGATTGTTCCAGCTTACACAGTACGGACATAGTAGGTGTGTTGTGTCTTAGTGCTGCTGATGCGTGTGCTCGGCCCTCGTCTGGCTGGGTGCCTGCTTTTTCATGATGCATCCATCGTTCTGTGCTGTCTTGGAGTTGTCTTTGGTCGCGTCCCCAGTGGTTCGCCGGGCGCCTGCGCGACATCTGCTTCTTGTTGTTTCTTTTTGTCAAAGTGGCGCTACGCAAAAGGGAATGCGGGCAGCGATCCGACGAGTTGAAATGGCCAGTCCAGCAAGGTAACGTTAACTCCCGCCTATTCGTTCAGGGAAGATTCTACACTACACTATTAGTAGCCTTGCTTCGGAGGTTGTAAGGCGCAAGGTATATAACGTTAGATGATGTCGATACGGTCGCTAGGTACCAAATCCCGAAGCGAGCAGCGCCTGGAGAAGGATCGATGCGACCGGCTTCTGGAAGATGGGATCTTGGAGGAAGATGGACGCCCGGGCCACATAAACGTCTGTGCGCAAGTAACCGGCAGCTGGCAAAAGAAACCATGCATCCGGCACCCCTGCTTCTCGTCAGTTGCATCCTCCTGCAAGTAGAAGGAGCATTCAATGCACTCCACAGAGCCACACGCAGGAAGCTTTTGTCAGAAATCCGACTTGTTAGCGCCACAAGCGAACCCCCTGTCAACTTCACTTGTCGAGGGCGTGAATGCTACTTCCATGTTGTGTGTCACTGGGCAATTTGGCAATCTCGAGCCTGCATGAGATCCCATCTTCCATTTCGGCATCGTTTTGCCTTCTCCCTGCTCAGACCGAGCTCCGGGTCAATATATCGGCGCATATCTCCCGCCTGGAATAAGACGTCAACAACTTACCTAAAATAGCTCGTTAGTTACCTCCACCCTAACAACTTTGTCTCCGTACAATACACAGCCTGAGCCATTGAATCCCTTAGCGCTCACTTCCTTGTTCCTTCTCCCTGGGCCTCAAACCATTCAGCCATTGTCTTCAGCACTCAGCTCAAGATTCTTCTTTGCTGCGCACCTTCTAGCCTTGCATCTTCGGCGAGCGGATCTCCTTATTCGGTGGTCGGCCAAAACGAGCCCCCAACCCCTGGCCCCCAGAGACCCTTGGGTCGTCCCTGGAGCATTTGGCCAATCAGTACCGTTCAAGAACCTCCATCCGTCTCCATCGCCTGAATCCAGGTTCTGTTGCCACTGAAGCGACCATTGGGGGACCACCTCACTGCACCACTGGACACTTGGACGCTTGGACACAAGAAAGAAGCGGCGACAGATTCCAAAAAGAAGTTCGTCCGCTCCACACCAGAAGGTTTCCTTGGGTTTCGCAACCTTCTCCCCCTTCTCCGCCATTTTCCGTCGCAGCCCGGATCGACGAGAGCGCGAACACTTCGAGACACGCGTGCATCCAGCTCATCTCTTCCCACCAACCGCCCGACTAGTTAGCTCCTACTGCCGACTGCCGAGTCAGTCCCGACAACGATCGAGCGGTCGACGAAGTTCCGCCCACCGCTAGACCCGCTTGCTGTGCGGCCATTGCACGAAACCCACCCTCCGCGCCCGCCCC